TTTTTTACATGTTCTGTAAAGAGACAAAAACAATGGAGAAGTGGAATTTAAAACTGTTCAGAAGTAGTCAAAAGTAAATGTCACTAGTTACACTCTCTGTCTCTCTCTCTCTCTCTCTCTCTCTCTCTCTCCCTCTCTCTCTCTCTCTCTCTCTCTCTCTCTCTCTCTCTCTCTCTCTCTCTCTCTCTCTCTCTCTCTGTCTCTCTCTCTCTCTTTCTCTCTTTCTCTCTCTCTCTGTCTGTCTGTCCGTCTCTCTCTCTCTTTCTCTCTCTCTCTGTCTGTCCATCTCTCTCGCTCTCTCTCTCTCTGTCCGTCTGTCTGTCTCTCTCTCTCTCTCTCTCTCTCTCTCTGTCCATCCCTCTCTCTCTCTTTCTCTGTTGTCCTGATCAGAAACCTGCTCAGGTCTTCTCAGGGTTTCATCTCCTTCATTAAAATGCTTTGCCCTCGGGCGGCTGCATCGCTTCACAGGCCTCATGCATTTACACAGGTGTTAGATAAGGTAAGACTGACACACACACACACACACACACACACTTTAATCAAGGTAAAGGCAGGGGAGTCAGCACAGACCTTCAGAAGGTTTTTAAAAGAAGAAGAAGTAGAATTATGGTTTACACACACAAGAAACTGACCTCTGTATTAATTCACCCTGAGCAGTGAAAACAAACACACACACACCTTACCGGTACAGGACCTTGCTGTCAAACCATCATCGCACTCAGAAATTAGATGATTTTTCTGTATTTGAACAGTTGGTCGTCCTCAGTCTGTCTGTTATCTACAACAGTTCAGCTTCTGTCAGTTCCAACTGAATTTTTTACACCAGATTCTCCTTTCCTCACTAATGTTCATCACTATGATTAACATTTGCTTCATCTAATGATTAACATTAGATTCACAACCCCCACCCAGCTCCTACATGAAAGCAAGACCCCCCCCCAGACTTCAAGAGACACAAAACATTGTTTGCAGTTGGTTCACTTTGTGTCTCTGTAGTTGTTTCTTGTCTCTTTGTAGAAGAGTAAAAGGAGAGAAATATTAACACTCACTTCAAACAGAGGCACTGGACCAGGGGCACCCTGACCACTCCGGCCCCTCAGGCACCCTGGGCCTGTGCCCAGTAGGCCTGTTCAGTAGTCCATTCATGATGAAGTGCATTGAAATCATCAAACTGACTTTATTATTTTATAATTATTAATTTTGCTGCCACAACAAAATCTGCTCAGTTTCTGGTTGTAACAGGATTTTCTCTTTTTCAGGTTTCAACCTTTTTATTTTATGTTAAGTTATTTTTGGAGCTACAGAGCAGGAAACCAGAGCAACAGGAGGACGTTCAGGTAAAGCACAAGTGTGTTTTCCTCTGTGAGAGTCATTTTGTCTTCACCCTGACCTCTAACACTAGTCACTCTACATAACACAGAACAGAGAAAGACAGTAGCCAGGTTTCCATTCCAGTTATGTGCAACATGGAAAAGATTTTTTAGAAAATTCGACAAAAGTCTGTGTTTCCATTGAATGATATCGTGTGAATAAAACTGGGTTTTCACATGGTGACAGACTTCAAGCAGTTTGCACCCTGGCTTGAATGCAAAAAGTGTTTCCTTTTCAATTTTGCTAAATGTTGCTTCCTCAAATAGTCTGAATAGTCTTTTCTAATATTTGAGAGTTTTTCCTAAAGTCACGTTTCTATTATTATTTCAAATTGTGCATTAAGCAGGTTAATGGAAATGAATCTTGTGTCACTGTCAAATCTGTGGTCAAATAAAAACCCTCTGCTTGTAATCTCGTCGTTATCTTTTTACTGTGTCTCACTTTGATGAGACTCATCTGGACTGAAAACTCTAAATCTTGCCTTTTCCGTAAAATCCTTTTTTTTTTTCATTGTTTTCTTCTGCAACATTACACATCTCCTCTGTCAATCACATTTGTTCACTTTTGTAAAAAAAAATCTGCAGTTAAAGAGAGAAATAAAACTAAACTAAATTAAACTTTAGATATGTGGGTTTTGTAACAGTTCCCCCCGTCTGTGCACTAGCTAGTCATAATGCTGTTTTTTCTCGGTGGTCATTTGTGATTGTGTCTTTGTGATTGTTTTGTCTCTTTTGCGGTCATCATTTGGCAGAGATAATGTAACTTCCTGTCCCCTCACAAACTGTCTTTGCCTCACCTCTCTCCCTCTGGGACACTGTCAAACCTTTGCGGGTGTGATCTGCTCTGATAGTAGAAAACGTTCTCTTCCACCCAGCATGTTGAAATCTGCTGGGACAGACTGTGAGGGTGTATTCACCCTTTAATTAAATTCCATTCAGTTCATTTTAATTCCTCATCAGCGCAGCAGGCAGCAGCTGCCAGTTACAGGCTTTTGTTAATGATGATAATAATAATAATAACCAACACTCCTCCATCCTGTAACACAGTTTATATTTTGATTTAATTTTTTCTGGAAGAAGATGATTATTTTTTGTCCTTTATTACTCGGGTGCTGTGTTTTTCCGCATGAGGATTTAAAGCTTTAACTCTTTCACACTCGATTGCTTTAATTAGGATTTGGAGGAGACAGGACTGAATGGAGGGAAATAGGAGGGGGTTTATTTTCCTGACTGTTTTATCAGTCATGTGCTGAATGTTGTCGCTGTATTTAATATAAAAATAATAAACATAAAATCATGATATAAAACTTTATTTCTCTCCCTGCACTGGTTCAATTAATTTTTTTCTGATGTCTTGTTTTCATTCAGTTCAATGACATGTAAAGCTCCAAAATATCCAAACTACAAGACAAATGACACCTGATAAAAACTCAACTTTTGTCATAATCCCTCAAACTATTATTATAAAATAATTAAAGTTTGTACAAAATATTATTTTGTCAACTGTAACAGCTAACATGCTTCATGTATCATCAGTATGTGTGGTGCTTTATATTACGAACAGTTACTGTGTTTACTCTGTGACACAGAATATCCAGGTGAATTCAGATTTTGTTGTCTCCTTACTGAACACTGTGTAATCTGTGTTTCCATTCATTCACTCATACAGAGCAACAATATCTTTGAGTCTGTGGTGGAGTGAGAGGGGGGCATGGCTCATAAGGGCCTGTTTGTACTGTCATTGGTTCCACTCCTGAAATCAGTTTAAAATCAAGATGATGTGATCTGTCTGTCTGTCTGTCTCTCTCTCTCTCTCTCTCTCTCTCTCTCTCTCTGCCTGTCATTTGGGGTGTGCATGAGAGTGTGCTGAAGAACCAAGTTTCAACCCAGGTGATGTGTGTGTATGTGTGTAGTTAGGTGTTTGCGGTTCTAAATTAATGTGTTAGTATTAAATTACAGATACAGCTTAGCTCCAGCCACAGATCTTAGTGCTCAGGTTATCAGTGTAACCAATAACACATATAAATCTGCTCAGTGAGAACCACACATATTTACTTTCACGTGTTTGATGATTGAGTTCTGGAAATTCCTATCAAAACCTTCCACCTGTTCTCACTTAACCTCAATATACTTAGAGTGCACCACAGACACTGAGCCATGCACATGGCTTGGCCCGGAAATGACGTGAGCAGAGAAAGAGGAAGTATTTGTGAGCTGTGAGTGCTCTCAGTTCATTTCCTGTGAGGATCTAACCTCAGTCACTGTCATATAAAAGGGTTTGACAAATGAAGGGTAAAACAAAAGCTGTATGATCAGTGCTGAGACTCTGTGGTTGAGAGACATAAGATGAAGCGTAAGTAGATTTTTGTACTATTATTATTAGAGATCAGATATCCAAGTATCAAGAAATATATTAAATCAAAGAAATTAAAATCATCTCAATTCAATTAAAAAGAATGATTTTACATAGGAAATGTTCTGTGGCAGATTTGATGTTCTGAGATGTAGTATACAATGAAAGCAGTCAGTACAAAAATGGAATCATATATTTTTTCAGTTGGTGTCCAGCAGAAGTTTGCATCTTGAAAAGTCTGTGATGATGCAAACTGCTGCAGAATAACAGGTAAGACCATAAAGTTTGTATGTGAGGAATGGGCATTGGTAAAAGACTGATCTTTGTTTTACCTGTTTTGTTAGACCAAAATTTTTTGGTGGAAGTAAAAGCTCCATCCGGAATGGATTTCTGTCCGTAGGGGAGGTGTGGTGATTACCTCTCATCTCACATCTGCTACAGACCAGATCCTGTCATTTTACCAGGGTTAAACAATGTCCAGAACAATAAGTCAAATTATTTAGGAGCATAGTGAAGATGCAGTCTGGCTGTTCTGCTTTCATACTCTCAGTGTTTTATTTGTGAATAGGGAAAGAATCTGGAAAATAAATGCACTTAAATGTTACATTTATTATACAAATGTGTGTAAGAAATTAATGGAAAATTTACTGGAAAAAATGCTAAAAGCCAGATGCATTTTGGAGTAGTTGAACATGACTGAGTGGTTTGTGAAACTTTATGAAATTTCTGTATTGGTTGGCATCAAGTTTTCTAGTAATTGCAATTGTAAGGCTGGAAGAGACAAAAATAATTATCTAAACCTTATATTTGATAAGCTGTAGAATGTTACAAGACTTCAAGCACATAATATCATCAAAGATGTCTTTTAGGAAAACCAAACTGTACAAGAACTAGTACATTGATAACAACATATAAATGTGTATCATCTGCATAGAGTGAAACAATATATTGTATTTGTTAATTGGAGAAGCAGATACTAATCGGGCTCAGAATCAAGCCTTGAGGTACACCTCAATTAGGCCATATTTCATATCCAAGAGATATGGACCACTCAAAAGCCTAGCTGCAAATTCTAACATGATTATTGTCATAATAAAAAATGTTCTATCAACTTCTATCAACATCAACTGTTGAACCAAGCTCATACTTCCATAATAAGTTCAGGGATTTAAGGCATATAGATGTAGAAGCTGTTAGGGATAGACTGTTTGTCTAATGCTCATTTTATTATTAACCCCATCTTAGATGTACACCTATAAACAGTAAACACACCAGAGTGGACGTGGCAGCTTTTGTCTTGAAGCTCAACGTGGCAGCAATGGGAAGTTGGTCTCCATTTCTCTTCGTCTTCTCCTTGTCTGTCCTGCTTCATTTTAACCCCTCACTGGCTTACTCACTGAAAAACTGCACTGTTGCATATTCTTACAGTGTGACTGAAGTTCGGGTTCAATGTATTCATCGTTACCTCACTGCCGTTCCTGATGAGATTCCCCAAAATGCAACATCGCTAGATCTCAGCTCCAATCAGATTTTAAAGATCAACAGAACAGATCTGATCGGTTTATCAAAGCTCAAATATTTGAACCTGAACAAAAACAGCATCTCACACATAAAAGACGGAGCTTTTTCTGACCTGGTGCAGTTAACCAACCTCACCATTGACTTAAATAACCTCACAAATGTGACAGATAACATGTTTCAGGGACTGTCCAAATTAGTTTATCTGTCTCTGTACTTCAACCAAATCACACACATCTCCCCACTGGCCTTTCAGCATCTCACCAGTTTACAGAGACTAATTCTGAGATTTAACAACCTACATCAAATTATTGCTATTGTGCCAGTTTTACAGCTACCTAACTTTTATGAGCTGGACCTTGCACAAAACAACTTCATCTCTTTTCAGTCAGACGATCTCCCTGTTAACATCTCAAACCTCAGGACACTGAAGCTAAATTCAAATTGTCTGAGAAAGTTCAGCCTTACAAGAGACCTCTTCCCTCATCTTGAATCTATTCATTTCTCTGGGTGCAGCAGTGACTTTGAGTGGAATGTACCCAACAAGACTTTTCTGAGGAGCCTCAGTACTTTATACTTAAGTGAAACATACATCAGTTTTGAGACATACACATTGATGCTGCAGAGTGCAGACTCAGTGGAATATTTATCTCTGGGCTTTATGAAGCAGTGGCTTGATGAAGGTCTGATAGACATTGCCTGCCGACTGCCTGCGCTGACAAGACTGAAATTGACTTATAACTTTCCCGGAAGCATAAATGATACACTGCTGCAGTCTTGCTCTAAACTCACTGAGTTGAATTTAGCAGCTAACGATCTGACTGAATTGTCACGGTTTTCACTCAGAGCAATGAAACGACTAAAACGTCTGGACTTACACAAAAATTATCTGACCAGTGTGCCACTCGCCATCAGAAGCCTCTCCACACTGCAGATCCTACAATTAAGTCACAATTTCATCGCTGAGTTACGCTGCTCTGACTTCCACAATCTGACGAGATTAACAGAACTGAATCTGAGCTACAATCGCATTTCAATACTCAAAAGATGTGTTTTTCAAGAAATGAATTATTTGAAAGTATTGAAAGCTAAACACAACTTGATTTCTGAATTTGATGGTACCTTCAAATTCACTTTGCAGAACCTACAAGTTTTGAATTTGTACAGTAATAATTTCAACAAGCTCAGTGACGGTCACTTTCAGAATCTGTCCTCCCTCCGGTCTTTGGCTTTAGAATCAAAGATTTACTCTGTTGCCCAGGCTGGAGCTTTTGAAGGACTGTATGATCTCCAAAATCTAAGTGTTTCACTGTTGTCTTACACGGAGGGACTTTTCACAGGACTGCAGCTCTTAGAAAGTCTCACACTACACCAAAGTTTTGAGCTGGACAGTGGTATTTCTAAGAAAAAGTTTGAGCCATCTTTCTCTAGTTTGCCTTCATTAAAGAGGCTCAAGATCAAAAATTATAACACATATTCATGTGAAATCTCACAGAATCTGCTTAGAGGTCTTAAATCTTTGGAGCACTTTGCAGCTGAGAGGTTCTTCATTGAGTCACCACACCCTGATACATTTACATACAGTCCTCACCTGAAGAACCTACAGATAACTCAAAGTAATTTGTCAGAGCTGAAACCTGAATTGTTCCAGCCAATCCCAAACCTGCAGGCTCTGGATCTGTCCAAAAATAAGCTCAGGTCTTTGGATTTTCTTGCCCAGGCTGACCTGCCTGCACTTAGCGGGTTGACACTCAGAGGGAATGAGTTGACAGTGATCAATGAGACAATCTTCCAGTCGCTCCCTGCACTGACCTATCTGGACCTGTTTGGTAACCCTTTCACTTGTGACTGCTCTAACACTGGCTTCATCCAATGGGTGAAGAGCAACAACCAAACACAGGTCATTAATGCCTACCAGTTTGACTGTTCCTTTCCTCTGAGTAAACTGGGTACTAAATTGCTGGACTTTGACATCCAGTCCTGTTGGATGGACTATAGCTTCCTCTGCTTCATTACCAGCACTTGTCTGGTTATTCTAACTCTGCTCTCATCCTTCATCTACCACTTTCTGCGGTGGCAGCTAGCCTACGCCTTCCACTTCTTTCTGGCCTTCTTCTATGATAGCAGGAAGAGGAGGAAGGGCACTCCTCATCGCTACGATGCCTTCATCTCCTACAACATTCATAATGAGGACTGGGTTTATAGAGAAATGCTCCCAGTGCTGGAAGGAGAGCAAGGCTGGAGACTCTGTCTGCACCACAGAGACTTCCAACCAGGTAAACTCAGCTACATTCACACTAATACATTTTAGTTTTAAAACACATCACTTTTGCTGCATTTACACCTGGTATCCACATAAATCCACTGTTTTTCTGATTGTGTCTTATGACATATCCTTCCCTGATTTGTCAGACTCCCATCACCTTTTCTGAATGAAAATGACTCCCAATCTATGTCTTCAGCCACCATGACCTCCTTATACTGATGTACTTTCAATAACAGTTCCACCTTGTCATTGGTCCAGTCAAAAAGTCTCTGATCTTACTTTTCACCACTACTGTTCCTCATTCAACAAGGAACATTGGTAGTAGTAGAACAGCATTAGCTATAGTCAACTGCCTGTGGTCTGAACTTTAATCATTTTATGATCTGAGAGTAATTCACAGAGAATATTAACATTAAAAGAAGCTCCTCAGTCTGTCAGAGGTCTTCACATTTTAATGGTGAGTGAGTTATAAAAGACCCAGTCACATCACCAATGCAGACATTCTTCAGATTGTGTCCAGACTTCTGTTTGTCTGTTTCTATTTTTCTCTACCTCTGTTTCTCACTTCCCCCTCTTGTCATTTACTGTCTGATCTATATTAAAGGGTTGCTTTTCTGTTTCTAAAGAGGTGTGTGACAGTTTCACATCCCTTTTCCTTTGTCCAATATATTGTAGTCAGTCTACAGCAGATGCTCGGTTCACGCTGTTCACATGCAGCTGCAGTTGGGTCAGTCACAGTCAGACACCTCCACATGTTGAGAGGTTGAGAAATCGTGTCTCTTTATAGAAGTTTTTTTTTTGTTTAGTTTAGCATTTTTTCTTTTGTTTTCTCCATGTTTTTAAACACAGACTCACAGGAGTCCCTGCATAATGTGACCATACTGTACAAGCTTCTCAACATAAGTACTAGATACTAGTGTTCAGGGATTAGACCATGTCACAGCACCACAACAGCTTCAGTACTTTTAATGAATTGCATTGTAAACACATTGGACAGTCATCAACACTCATTAAATAAATAAATTAGATCATTAAATTTAATCCTCTTTATATTAGCTAATGGTTTTATGAATAACTGTCTGGTAGAACTGAAGCAGTGGTTTCTAGTGGTTTGTTAAAGGTGTCCCACAAGGATCTAGTTTCGGGCCACTTTGATTCACTATATCAGTGATTCCCAAACTTTTTAACCTTCATAGACTCTGGGGGGCCCCAGGCAGAGAGGCCCATTAAAGATTACCCAACCCCCACTTTGCACACCCACGCATACAGACTATTGGTAGTCGCAACAATTTACAGATGTTACCTGAACACATCACATGCAGGCAATCGGTAGACGCTAGGTACAGCACACATCATCAGGGGCCTCATTTAGGGGGTGTTTATGCCAACAGCGGTGGACTGTTTTGTGTCTTTATGGGAGTAAAAAGGCCACTTATAGTTGTCATTGCAAAATGTATCAATATGAGGGGCCACCAGGGGCCCCTTTTCCCCTTGGGGTCCCAAACATTTGCCTGGTTTGCCTCTTCTGTGCGCCTCTCCTCTTGACACATCTCATTTCTCCCATCCAGTAGTTGTATGTTGTATGTATGAAGAGATTCCTGTGTACTGCCTATATCCAGGTTTCTCAGATTAAAATTGTTGACTGCTACAAATATACAGGAATCTCAGCAGATGTCACACTCACTTTTAAGAACATGTAGAAAACCTGACGAGCAAATTGAAGATCAACATTAGAATTCTATATTTATTTTTATATCTGCAGGCTTTTGCCTTTAATGAACCAGATTGTTCTTATTTTGTGTTGACGATTTAACCAGGAGACTTTCACATCACCTAACATTTGCAACTAGAAAATGTACCAGACTTTTGCGGGAGTAACTGACTCTTCTATGACTCCGTAGGTAAGCCCATCATAGAGAACATTACAGACGCAATCTACAGCAGCAGGAAGACCATCTGTGTGATCAGCCGGCACTACCTGCAGAGCGAGTGGTGCTCCAGAGAGATCCAGATGGCCAGGTGGGGTCACCACCTTTATTATTCTTCATGTAGTTTGTTCATGTGTCTACAATATCATAGTAAAAGACATATAATGATAGAGATCAGTAACTGATTGATATAGTGAAGTGCAACTGTGAGGTAAAAGTCCTGTCCTTAGCTAAAAACAAAACACTGACACATAAAAATATTAACAGTATGAATAGTTAATAAAATACATTCCCTAATCAGGGGGGCAGACGGCTCATACAGCAGCTTCTGAATCTGTTACCACCTTCATCAACTTCTTCTGTAAAAGTATCTTGTTAAGGTAGGATGGGTTAGTAGCCCCTCTGCCCCCCTCCCCCAAAATAATATTACAGTAATAAAAATATGTAGAAATTAAATTTTACTACAAAATAAAATTGTTCTATTCTGTCTTGTTCTGTGCTGGTCTGTGCTGGGCTGTCCCGGTCTGTCCCATTTTGTCCTGTTCTGTCCTGCTCTGTGCTGATCATTGCTGGTCTATGCGGGTCTGTGCTGGTCTGTGCTGGTCTGTCCTGGTCTGTCCTGGTCTGTCCTGATCTGTCCTGATGTGGTCTGGTCTGTCCTGTGTGTGTTGTCGCAGTTTCCGTCTGTTTGACGAGCAGAAGGACGTGTTGATCCTGCTGTTCCTGGAGGAGATCGCAGCTTGGCAGCTGTCTCCCTACTACCGCATGAGGAAGCTGGTGAAGAGACGCACCTATCTGAGCTGGCCTCAGGCCAGCCAGTACACAGGGGTCTTCTGGCACAATGTACAGAGAGCTCTGGAGACAGGAGATGCTCCCACCGAGACCACAGACCCACTGACTGGACTTGCAGGACTGGATATTTAACTGGACCAGAGATGCAACAGTCAATGCTGTTCCTCTACAATCCCTGCTGCATCAAATCTATTTCACTTTCATAAATCCCAATAATACTTGTGTTCACATTCTGAGTGGTATGCCAACAAAGGACCAACCATGGCCAACCAGTAAAGATGGAGCTATCTGCCTGCACGGGGCCAGTGCTGACCTCTGTCAGTGTCTCTGATGTTTCCATTGTTACAGTATCAAGTGTTTCAGCCTTGTATTAAATGCTATGTTTCATCTGATGACAGTGACTCCTGCTGGGTTTCATTAACTATCAACATCACTTCACATGGTCACAGCTGGTACTGACATAATAATAACCAGGACGTGGACAGCAGGAAAAAAATAATGATAAACACTATTAAAGACATACAACATGTACAACATACAATAATGCAAATGAACAGGTAGCAGCAGACAAGTTACATAAATACCAGAGAGAAAATCTTATAAAATAATGTCATGTCTGAGGCCAGCATGAACAACTAAACAGCAGTCACTAACAAAAAACATTTAGGGAGTTACCTGGAGCAACAAGACTCAACTTCCTGATATTTTTCACATTAAAAGCCTGCCCATGACTTTTAATGTAAAAATTCTGAAGGAAGTGTGAAGCTTTATTAGCTGACATCTTTGGGGGGAGTGAATATCTGTCATGAGTCTTGATGTACTGATGAATTATTGTTGTTGACATCACACTGACTTTATCAAGACAGCAGGGAAACATGAATGAAAAGCTGATTCTGCTGGGGATAATAGAAGTAAAGGCTCTAATATTAGCCTCAACAAATGAGTGGTTCCCTCTGTCACTGAGGTAAATAAAGCCCCCATATGCAATTAAAAATGTACAATATAATATCAATTACAGTTGTGCTTGGCTGCAGTACTTGAGTAAATGTTACTTCCTACCACTCCATTGGTAGTTTATTTACTTTATTATGGCTCTGAGGCTCTGCAGTGCGGACTGCTCTGTAAAATTAAAGGTAGACTTCACTTTAGATGTAAAAATAAACTGAGTGAAGGACCAGAGACTGCAAACTGGAGTGAAGCAGTGTTATGAAATTTTGATCTAGGTCTGATCTGGTTTACTTTAATTTGACCTTTGGCTCCCTCTAGTGTTCATTAACACACAACGCATACACAAAGTGAAGCGTCTTGTCTGTCCCTGGAACAAACCACAGTGCAGGTTTTAGTCTTATACTACTCTGCAGAGGGTGATATCTGTCAGTGGACTTTGGTTAAATGTGGTTCAGATGTTCATGTTCCCATCAGGATGAACTGTAATAACTCTGATTCATATAGCACCATCATCAGATTACATTCAAATTTGTCCACTACTTACTTACTCTAGTACTGATTATTTTCTTGATTAGTCATTTATTCATATACTCTAGAAAATAATGGACCCACCTGCGCACAAGTTAGCATAAAAAAGTAAAAGTAAAAAGCAATGTGATGACATTCAAGCTATTTGCCTTCACAAGTTGAGAACACATAAAAGCTCCCTCATTCTGCATAGTATAATGGCAGCTTACTGTTTACCATGAAAGTATAACTGACACAAGAGATATGCCAGATGGCTTATGTTGGCACAGAAACTCAGATGCTGCAAAAGGCTCAACTGATCATAGCAATTCGACTCAAATTAATTGATTTTGTACTTTTAAATGTTTGTGTGACTAGGCCTTTACTCAATAAAGTAGAATAAGACAGCTGTAAAATCATTCCATCTCAAGTGAAAGTATTGCACTCCAAATGTTATGTTAGTAAAAGTACACAAGTGTTATCAACAAAATGTACTGAAAGTATGAAAAGTAAAAGTAGGCTATTCATGAGCCCTGTCAGCATCATACTTGTCTGATTGTAGTACTGAACTTTTTTAACTAAGGCATGAACACGTGTTTGCAGCATTTTGACGTTGTATCTACTCAAGATTGAGCCAGATACACCAACCTAGTACTGGACTCTATCGATCAGTAAACTTGTCAACTGCGTGGGAGACTGCAGACAAATCTAACAAGATAAGGACAGAGTATTCACCTTTGTCTGCAGATCATTTGTTACCCTAGAGAATTTGAGTACACAAGCGAAGCTGAAGTTATACAAATTTATACTGTACTTTAGTAACTGCACAGAAGCAGAGAGGTGGTGATTATACATGGTGCATAACACTGCATGTAACCACAGAATAAATGCAAATTTAAAGTGTTTTAGCTGTTTTCTAAGACATAGCTGACTAATAGCTAACAGAGGGACTGATAGATAGCTATAATGTTAGCTATGTTGGCCATGTAGCCAGCACATGTTAACAGCTAGATTGTTTAGCCTCCTTTTGTCTCAGAATGGGAGGATAACAGTTTTCTGTGTTTAAAAAAAATCAGCTATAAGTGAAATTAAAGCCACACAAACTTTTGGTATAGATACGCAGGAAGGGTATAATTTTAACATTAATAAGTTGTGAAAAATAGAATATCCAGCTTAATGATAACTTGTTGTGAAAAGAAGTTGAAAACTATGTTTTTAATTTCAACAATTTATGTACATTTAGAGGGCAGGATGAGTTGAGAAACACATTATTCACAGAAATAAAACATTATACTATTGTATTTTAGTTTTATTATCTATTATTATTTATTACAAACTGTTTCATCTGTTTGTTTGTTTTTGGAACAGTACTTTATGGAATGTAAACAGGTTCTATTTTTATCTAATTTAGTATTTCTTTCACATCAACAAAGAATATTTGACTCATTTTTGTACCTGAAAAATCTTAACTTTACAGTATGTGATTATTATTTGAAGCTTTGTCCAGTGACAGTAAAGGTGATGCTGCCTGACAACAGGCGCCAAACGTGAAAAGCATTTCAGTCCATAGCTGCCAGTTCAAATCTAATGTGTTCCTCTTATCATTGGTGTACTTTTATGTTTCATTTATTATGAATTGAAAAGCATTTTAGCTGCAGTGACAGCGCAAAACAAAGTGTTAGGTATTGCAGTAATGTCAGAGGTCACATTGTATTTCAGTTTGGGTTTTAACTGGACTGAAGCAATCATGATGTTCTGTATACTCAGCGTATTTGTGTGACATCGGCGACCAAGGGTGATTCAACAATCAGTAACTCATTGATACACAGACCGAACAGTTTTAGAACTTTGAACTGGCAGAGAGATAACCTAGCAGTGAAATACTGCTTACCTAAGTCTGGGCAAAAAAACGAACACTGGGAACTAATGTCAATAATGGAAATGCCCAGAATCTTTCACCAGCAGCAGGTATAAAAGCTAAGTAGCTTCGCAAGGCTCAGTCATTGTTGCTTTCGTGAGGTTTGTCTTATCTTTACAGTTTTTCTGAAGCTGACCAGCTGGAGCATCATGAATCTGTGGTTCAGCAGTCTGACCCTGGTTGCAGGGTTGTTTCTGTGTAGCACAGCTCTGCCACTTGAGGAATGCCAAACCTTGGTCACGCCTTCCTCACTGGCCGACCCCTCCACGGTAAACCCTCCTCTGATTCCTGCCTTAGACTTTGAGCGTGTTCATTAGACATTAGGATTGAGGCATCAAAGCAGTATTGAACGATGGTAACACTTTATAATACAGCCTGCAATTTACAGCTTACTTGTGTTGCATGCAACTGACCGGACTGAACATTAAGCAAATATTTTATTGATGTATTGAAAGAGTGACCATCATCTTTCGCATCATATGTACGTTCGACAATAATCAATATACCATATCTCAAATTTCCTCTGATTATCACCCTCAGTGAAAATGGATAACAAATCATGGTGTTTGTGTTGTTTTGTCTGTCACAAAATCTCTTTGGCTGCTCCATCCTGATTATTATTGGCACAAATTACAAGCAGGAGAACATGTTTGTAGGTGTAGGTTTTTAAAAAATGGTTTAACAAACACTAGAACACTTACCAATTAGCAATGTTCAGTGCTGCAAGGCCATCCCAAAAGGTCCAGGTCCTACAGAAAGTAGTAACCCATGAGCAGGGACTCTCTGGGGAGGTAAAATTATCTCCCCAGAATTTAATTTAGGACATGGTTCTTCAAGTGGAAACACAGGTAGACAGAGTTCCACGAAAGTTCTTTGTTGCATAGGAAGTTCCTGCGGCATAGACACACCTTACAGGAAACTAGAGGTTTTGAGAACAGCTACACATTATATTCCAGCTCTCAAGCCCTGATGTGGGATGACGGACAAATGTGACATCAAGACTTAACTGTTTTGCTCTGACATTAGACAATCTCCATGATACAGAGAGACATCTTTAAATAGATGTTTTTGTTTAGCTGATCAAAGAATATGTAGTAGGTGTAAAGATAGATTCACTGGGTTGACTTAGAATGTTTAACTATGTATCATCAGCATAGAAATTAAAATAAATAGTAATGTTACCTAATGGTAACATACAGAAGAAGAGAAGAGGACCTAGGATGGAGCCTTGAGGTGCACCACATGTAACTGGTAAAACAGCTTATTAATATGAAATACATGTTCTACATATGAGTTGGAAAGATAGGAAGCTGGTCTTTATGTTATTCTCAATCAAACATGTCCAAGTGAAATGTATTAATACCAAACTGTTTATATTTGAACATTTTTTTTCTCTTTTCCTGAAGTTAAAGTTTGAAATTTGATCAACCTATCTCACTATGAACAAAAATGTGTTATTTTGCAAAAACCTTTTATCCATTCAGTAAGTTTGCGAATTTTAAATGTCTAAATACAAGCAGCTGTACAAGAGGTTTGCCTGATGAAAACATGATGACTTGAATGTATGGATGTGTGTGTGAATGGTTGAAAGTGAAAAAGTGAAAGTGTTGTAAAACACTTTTGATTGGTCTTTAGGACTAGAAAAGTTAAGTGCAGTATTTCAATATTTAGCCCTGCTTTCATTAATGAAAGGTGTTTGTGTGTGTTGTCACTAACTGATTCCATGCTTTTGTGCAGATGTATGGAAGGTTAAACGTGTTGGTGGGCTACACTGACCATGAAGCATTTAATGGCATCCTTAAAGTGACCGACAGCTCCTGGTTAAAAATCAGCCCAACATCCAGCCCAAATAAGATTGTAATGAGTGAGGATAACAAAATGTGAGTTGCAACACCAAAATATACTACATAATAATTTTTGCCTTTTTTATCATATTGAAGAAATCATTTGAAGAGAGACTCCCCCTAAAACACAATTAAAAGCTGATAGAGGTGATCACTTTGCTTTCTTGGGTTTTTCTTTTTTTTTGGTCAATATCCTGTCCCTGTCTCAGTTAACTCCTAATCAAGCAATTCTGTGTTGTGATTTGATTTTAATTTAGATTTTGGAAAATTCATGTCACATTATGGAACACAGTTCAGTCAGGTCCTAAATACAAAAGTGTGGGCTTTTCATTCCATTACAGTACAGCAAATGTGTTCCTAAAAGGAAAACACATGTAAAGATATGTGTTGTATTTCACTTTATTTCTTTGTTTGAATTGTTCTTGTAGTGTGTTAGATACGAGGTGGTGTTTTAACCAGTATGTGAGCTTATCTGTGTGTTTTGCCTCGTAGTCAAATTTTGTCATGACTTGCTGATGTTAACTTAGATATCACTTAGACTCAAGTTGTAATAAACAGGAATTATCCTTTAAACTTTGTGGTGAAAACAGAGCTTGTTAGGTAACCATCAAAACTCATTCTTGACCTTGGAAATCTGAACATATTGATCCCAACTCAAGGTCCAATTACTAGCTGTTTACAGAGCTATCACATAGTCTTCATTGGTTGATTAGTTTGCTAGGTTTTCATGGAAACTGAAAATTCAATCTTCCTCTGTCTTTTCTCTAGGAATGGACAGTGCTTTAGCTCATCGGTCAACATAACTATCGATGGCAACACTGCAACAACAGACGGTGAGTTACATCATCTGACACAACACCAACGTTTTTAAATTCAGCCGGGTAGACCAAGTTTCAAATTTGCATCAAATTATAAGCTTTAGATTCATCACACATGTCATCCGGTTGCCTCCAGATGCCTGTAATTAACTGAATGTTTAGATGCAGCTGTGGACACTGCTAAGAAACAAACATTTGACACTTTACCGACATCCCTCATTTGATTAGGAATAAAACTCTGGAGGAAAATGATCGAACTTTCTCTTAATTTTGTCAAATTTGGAAATAAACTCCAACATACAGTAAATACAGCTGTGTGATGCTAATCCATCACTCTGGAGGAATGCTTGGTAGCTTTCTGTCTAATAACACTAATAAAATTTGCACAGAGCCAAGCTATATATAAGATAGGACAGGAAGTTATTCACATCCACCATTTTTGTAGTTTCACCTCCTGAGTCAAGCATTAATCCAGCTTGAGTCTCATCACATCATCAATCCACAACTGTATTTCTGCCTTGCAGTGTCATGTATACCAAACAACAATGTAAGTTCATAGTAGGGGAAAGGAGGATCCTCAGAGTGATGATGAAGATGTCTGATAGTTGTTTTTGCTTGAACTTGCACTGTTTTCATTTTCCTGCAGCGTATCTGCCCTCAATTGCTAACATCACCAGTGTGTTCCACTTGGTGCCGAGCTGCGACGGCTGTGTGGTCTTCAGCATAAACACCACCGCCAGCAACTTGGACCATTTCTTTAAATTGCTGAACATGACCAGCACTGTTACAAATGATGAGATCGTAGTTCACTCACTTTATCTGATGGGTAAGACAGAACAAGCCAGATAGAGAAAATAACAGACTCTGAGTCCAAAACCTTTATTAATTTCGTCTTTTTGCCTCCAGGTAAAGAGTCAACCGTCAAGGACTCAGACATGGAGCATTTCAAGAAGCAGGCAAGCTGTTTCGGCTTTGACAGAGAACCAGACTTCGTGTATGACACAAAGAAAGGTGCGTCATCTGTAAACCTTCCTGCTGATACAGGGATATCAAGATGAACTGTAGTTGTGTGATATCAGATGGAAGTGATTTCTTTATTTTGTCTTTCTCTCCTCAGGTTTCTGTGTTGAGGGCGAGGGCATCCACATCTAACTCAACTGTTTCAACAGAAACAGAGAAAGTAAAGTGATTAAACATCAGTCACGTGGTCTGTGTTTTTTATTATTTGGGGGGCATGGTGGGGGTCAGTCCTCATACATACAATGCAAACAGGAGCTGATAACAGCTGATTCAGCTGCTGTTAATAGAATATAGAAAAAAAAAACATTGATTGATTGATTGATTGATTGATTGATTGATTGATTGATTGATTGATTGATTGATTGATTGACTTTAAGTCAAGACTGTCCTTTAAAACCAAGCCTCTAGGTCGTCAGTGCAACAGGTTGGAGATTGGAGAACTGGTTGTTATTTTCCACCTCAGTAGAAATTTGTCTTTGGCTTCTCCCAAAGTAGAGTAAAAATACACACTCCCAAATACATACTCCCATAACACAACACACTATTAAAGACATACAGCATGTACAACATACAATAGTGCAAATGAACAGGTAGCAGCAGGCAGGTTACATAAATACCAGGGAGAAAATCTTATAGAATGACATGTTTCTTAAAGAAGAAACTAACAAATACACTTTATTCACCGGTAACAATAACAAACAAAATTTTATTCAACTTTAACAATGAAAACAAACTTTATTCAACTTTATCAATAAAAACAAACTTTATACAACTGTAACAATAAAGAACTTAATTTTAAACTTTAAGCTCTGTGCTGAAAATCCTTCATCAGTGTGTTTATCAGGAGAACATATCAAAGTCTACCAGTCTGTGTGGGCAGACTTTGGAACATTTGCCCTTTAGGATTTAAACTCTGTGACCTTGTTCCTGAGCACAGAACCTGCAGCTTTGGTGGAAAACTTCCAGATTCAGATTAATTGACCATGATTTTGCAGAAATGAATGGCTTTCACAAAAGAAAAAAAGGGAGGTCTTACAACATTTGTATCTCATAATCACAAGGTCAATTTAATGGTAAAACCACTGACACCTTATAAAGTTAGCTTACCAGAGCTGTCTGTATAGAAAATATTAGAAATAGTAACACTATTTCTTTATCTAGTCCAACATAAAGTCATTAGGGGACCTTTTACCATTACTTAATTAAATACATTGTTGTGGGATACAGAATTTTTTAGATTGCAAACATAATTCTAATGGGTTTTGGTGCTACATATATTGGTAATTACCATGACTTACAGTTGCAAATAATTTCAACCCCAATAATTTATTCATTGATAAGACATGAAATTCACACTGTGGTAACCTGATGAAATGAGTTTGCTGACTCAGTGTTCGAGCTTACTCCCATACAACATGCCCAAACTTTTTGTTTTGTTTCCAAAGGTCAACTTCCTAAACAATGTTGACTGGTTATGTCACTCATGATATGTCTTGTATTATATTAAAAAACACCAAATGGATGTTACCAAAGTTAAACACACATCGGAGGAGATCTTTAATGAAGTCATACTGAGCGGCCTTGTGATGAAGAACAGAAAAAAAATCACATCTCTCAGCATCATTGACCAGCTGTTAATTCATTATAATGTCATAAGTTTATTCAACTTGTTTTACATTTTGAGTTAATGATGCTACCTAAGTAATTCTCACATTTTGAATGTGAACCAGCTTTGTTTTGCAGTGAAGTTACAGTCGCTAAGCACAGAGTACTTAACTGAAGTTTTATATATCAAAGAAAAAAATTAAGTGTGAATGGTTGTTTGTTTCTATATTTTAGCCCTGTGATAGACTGGCAACCTGTCCAGGTTTGCACCGTCCTCTCACAATGTCAGCTGGGATTGGCTCCAGCCCTCCCACAACCCTAAAAGGATAAGCAGTATGGCTAATGAATGAATAATAATGGTCCCAAAAACATTTTTTAATGTGATAATCAAAAGTTTTTTATTTTAATTTATTCTTTAAAGCAATGGTAGAGAGAGACAGGAAAGTCTGGAGAGAGAGAGACGTAATGGTAAGGACATGGCACGCGCTCTACCAGGTGAGCTACTGGGGCAGCCCCATCTGTGACACTTGTGGATCAACATAAGTGAATGTTCAGCAGCAGAAAACACCTCCCACACAACAGATCTTCTTTTATACCTCCTCAAATACAATAAACTCATGTTTATATTAATGATAATAATAGTAATAATGTTAAAAACCCCAGACAGTCATTACTAAATATCCTGTCAGTCTTGGTTTATGTTTCTTACAGAATAAACAACAAATCAATCAATAGTCAAATAAATCAGCAGAATCTTCCAGGCACTATAAGTGATGCAACAATGGTGGCATAAGTCTGTCTGTCGTCAGTGTATGAGAGTGGAATCTAAGGGTCAATAACACAGTGGGCATACACAAATTCTTTGTACTGACTCGGAGCCTGCGTGGGCCCAGGGCCATTAAAACCTGACCAGCTTCCCCCCTCTGATTCCACCTTCCTGACAGAGCACAGAGCAGGGTGCGTTTGATTTTGTCTCAGAGCAGGATGTGTTGTGTTGTGAAGCAGGCAGTGCTGCTGCTGCTGTTGGCAGCGATCAGCTGCAGTGCAGCGCCGGCCGCCGACGAATGTGAAGGACTGCATAAAACTCTGCCAGCGAAGGACCTGCACACGGTGAGTCTGTCTGCTCAGGGACATGCCTTAGACCAGGGGACAGAGCTTCTCATCACCAAGTAATCGAACCTTTTAAAATCCACCATCTTGGCTTTGGCCTGGACTAATTCTGCATTGTTTGAAAGCTCCTGACTCTCTCTGTGCAAAGTATTTCAGGATCCTCTCGGCTGCTGTCTGTCTGACTCTGAACTGTTTCCCTCCTCCTGCAGATTTTCGGGGACTGGGTTCTGGTCTGGTCCGTCTCCGACCATCAGCAAGGCTGGGACCTGTTGCCAAATGTTTCCAGCTCACACGTGGAGCTCCGGCTCCTGCCCGACAATACAACCATCATGTTCAACGAGAGGAACATGTACATGTGAGTGATTCCCCTGCAGATCATTCAAACAGTGGTGTAGAGGTGTGATCATCTTGATTCAAATTATCAGAGTTTATCACAGATGATCCTCTGAGTGCAGCTAGAGTGATTAACCATCAAAGATTAAACCAAAGTAAAAACATGTATCAGAGGCTCTGAGTAAAGCCTGGTGCACTTAAATGATCCCTCACACTGTAGCACAGTCAGTGGTCACCTGGTGATTTCAGACCAGGTCACCACAGTCCCTCAGACTGTCCTGAAGCTCAGTAGTTAACTACAGTCAGACAGTCTGACTCTTTAGATCCCAAACGTCTGCATCAAAACGCTGCTGTGCCTTTATGTTGTGTTGTCTGACTGTTGTGTTATTTCCAGTGATAAGTCATGTTCCAACTTCATCATCAACATGTCCATGCCCTCTGATCCCACTTCCGACGAGCACCACCCACTGAACGTCATCGCTGCCAGTGAGTCGCATCTACACACACATGCACACACAAACACAGACGAATAGTATAGTATACTGTAGTATTGTATAGGAAGCAAGTGCAGCATAGCGTAAATAAAGTATCATACAGCACAGGTGTAAAATAAAGTATAGTATAAATAAAGTATATTGTAGTGTCAATAGAAAATAGTACAGTATGTGTGAAATGTTCCAAAGTAAAAGTATAATTTAGTGTAAAACTAGTATGAAATAAAGTAGATGCAGAGTATAGTATGTTCTAAGTGGTGGTATAAGTATAAAGCAGAGTACAAGTGAAGTACAGAATAGTTGAATATGGTGTATTTTACAGTATATTATATGTATAGTTCAGTAGTAGAGGAAGTATTAGCAGCTTTAGTGGCAGTAGTAGAAGGCTAATAGTAGTAGCAGTGAGGAAAGTGAAGTTTATACAGCACAATTCAGACACATAAGGCAATCCCTTTACAGAGGCAGTGAAATGCATTAGAAATAGAACATTAAGATGACATTAAAATAGCATTTAAAAACTATAGAAACAAAATAAAAATATTCAAATAAGTAATAAGTAAGTAACAAACAAATGCAAAGATTAAAAAGATGTTACATGACACTCTCAGCAGGTGTCAGGTGTTCAGGAAGCTTGTTCCACAGGTGAGGAGCAGAGAAACTAAAAGCTGCTTGACCTTGCTTGGCTCTGATTGTGAGAACACTGAGTAAACCCGTCCCAGATGAACCCTCTGGATGCTTCATATCGTGCAAGCAGATCAGAGATGTGTTTAGACCAGAGACCGTTTGGTGCTTTGTAGTGATAGGATTTTAAAATCTTCATCTTTCATGTTTGTTATTGACCGAAGATGCAGCGTCTCTACCTATTATTGTTTCTCATCAGTGTCTTACTGTTGATGCTGACATTACTGTGTGTGTGTGTGTGTGTGTGTGTGTGTGTGTGTGTGTGTGTGTGTGTGTGTGTGTGTTAGCGGTGGAGAAGGACGGAGTCGTTCAACCGTACAACGACTCAGGTGTAGTGGATGTGTATGAGAGCTGCCCAGACTGTCTGACAGCCGTCTACAAGAGCATCCACGGTCGATACCTGCTGAGCTACAGTAAACTCACAACACACACACACACACACACACACACACACGCACACACACACACACACACACATAAACACATTTCACAGTCAATACATTATGATAGTTCAACATTGTGGAAAATAAAGTGAAATGTTTTGTCAGTTTCCTCACAGTGGTTATAACGCCAATTAAAGTCAGATGAAGTTTGCCTCAAGCGTGTTGTGTGTGTGTGTGATCTCAGCGCTGTGTATGTTGTGTGTGTATCAGGGAGGGAGGGACATCATTCGGATGTGGAGCAGTTGAAAGCTGCCCACAGTGACCACAGGAAACAGGCCGAGTGTCTGGGATTCCCTCATGACAAACCGTTCAGCTACGACGGCGCCGCAGGTCAGTGACTCGTCCAGCTCCCTGACGTGTTTCTGTGAAATCTCTGTGTGAAGATACAGGTGTAGTCAGGTGGATAGAAAACAATGCTCGTGCAACAAAATCACACTGAAGTGACCCTCCTCTCCTCACAGATTTTTGTCATAAGAAATCTTCTCCAGAGGCCAAGCAGGAAGAGTCCTGAGTGGAGAGGATCAACGTGCTGAACCACGAAGTGACGATGTGTGGAGAAAAGTAATTCACAAATAAAATAAAAACAGATACTGAAGCCTGAGCGTGTTTTTCTTTCAAGAGGCTGCAGAACATTATAAGATCATCTAACACTTGTTACCACACACAGTTGTCTCTATCTGGTTTTCTTTGGTAATATGAGGAAATGTAGTAACATCCAGATGTGTCCTAGATACAATCATTTCTTATGTTCTTCATGAATAAACATCTGGATCAGAAACTCCAGTGCTGTGTTGACTGATGAAATTAACTTCAGACAGAAATTCATTAATAAGTGACTGTCTGCAGTAACAAGTTGTTCCACCAGTACATAATCATGTCACAGCTGTTTATTCCTCTATAGAATCTTCTTATTCCAGTGTAGAATTTCATTGGGAAAAAATGTGTTCCCGGCAGCAGAGCTCCTGTATGAAAATTACATGATTACACAATTTTGTAACCACATTTAAGAATATTTTAAGCTTATATTTTGAAATGTTGAAAGAGTTTAAATGATGTTATGGTTGATTTTAATTTCTCCTGTTGTTTTCACCAAATCACAAAATATGTCATAATTTACTACATTGTCATTTAATTTCCAGTATCTACTTTTCTGTGTTTTGCTACCTGCTAAATGGATTTTCATAATTGGTTTTAAGTCATTTTAGTTTCATTTCAAGAGTTGAATATTGCTGTATAAAATACAGACTTTGTGTTATCTTATATGAAAACTGGGAATATCCATCAATATATATATATATATACATATATCCATACCAATAAAGATATATAAAGGTATATGACATGAATATACATAAAAATAAATAATATCAAAAAGATAAAGCCATATAAATTTAAATAACATAAGGTTATATAAAGATATATATGTAAAAAAGATAGTATAATTGAAGATTAAGGTGACAGTGAAAGCACAGTGACATGTTATTTTTGTCATGCCCCTCAACTATCAATTGGTGTATCCTTCATTGCTGAGTCATTTACGTCATATGAGGTATATATACATATATATACCTCATATGACGTATATATACACACATACTGTATATTTATATTGTATATGTACATTTTATATAGGCTGTATACCTTTCTTTCTTTATCTTTATACACAGTCAATTTGCGAAAAACTCATGTTGTTGTTCCTCCCTACAGCAGGTGGCAGTAAAGCTCCACCCCGTGACGTCTAACCAGCTCGTCAAGAAGACGCTGTGTCGTAACTTCCCCCAGATATTCAACATGGAGTGCGGTCTGAAGCTGAATTTCTGGGAAGACGGACCAAAGCCCGGGCAATTTTATTCTTTCCCCGGCGGCAGCAGCAGCAGTGGATCGGGAACAGCATGCGGGCCGGTCAGACACACACTGTGAGTGATCCGCTCCAACAAAATCGGAGCCGTTTACCGTTAATTCAAGCCGGAGCTCCGCTGTCGGTTTCGATTTGCGCTCCGCTGCAGTGCTGTATCATCATGGAGGAGGCTAACTAATGCTAAGCTAACAGTCGGTTTACACTTGTTCTTCCAGTTATTGCTCCTCAGCACAGACACTTGATGACTTTTTAATCATTAAATGAACAAGTGAGAATTGATATTTACGATTTTAAAGCTGTAAATACCGCAGTTTGTTCTGTTTGTCTCCGTTTTGCTGACTAATTGTTAGCTGTGGTAGCTTGCCTCGTATTTATTACATTTTCCAGATGTGAAACTCGGACCTAACTAATCTTAACTCCTCTACAAGTCAAATTAATGTGTTTTAAATTGGATTTACTTGAACACGGTAAAGAACTCATCTTGTTATCTCACGTAGGAAACGGATTAAATGGAGCTCTGAGTGACAGTGATAGATTTATTATTTACACGGATGATGTTCCTAAAATTAGTTAATATTAGGAACATCATCCTAATACCTCTGTCCACTGGGTAAACTAAACATCACAAACACCTCAGAATAAAAAGGTTGGCACAGTTTAAGCTGCTTTAGTGAAACTACGGTTGAATCACCTTTTTAAAACAAACGTAATAGTCACAGTAAACTGTGACTGGATATTTCATATATGTAGCAGAACAGGTGTTGAAATGATAATGAATATTGATAAATCTGCCAATTTTTTTTTTTGATTAATTGTGCAAAATGCCCACTGCAGTATGGTGATTAGATATCTTGTGTGGCTAACACCAGAATCCAAAAATAATATTCCACGATAAGATAAGGACCAGAGAAGCAGCAAATTATCACAAATCTAAGACCCTGAAACCATTAGGTGTTTGGTATATTTGCTTGAAAATGACTTGAATGATTAATTGATTATTATCAAGTAGTTGCTGAGTAATTTTTTTTTTTTTTTTTTTTTTTTACAAATTGATGAGCTGATTAATTGTTGCAGCTCCAATTATGACATAGCACAGAATAGTATTTGTAAATCTATACACTTTTGAATGAAATCTCGAGATCTGAAAATGTTTTTACCTACCAATTATTTCCAACTTTAACAGTGGGGATGGTAATGTTTTCATTGTTAGTTGGAACTTCCACAGAGGTGGTCTTGAGTACTGTGGCAGGTGTCTGTCTATGAACAGATTTTGTCACCGTGATAGTGTCACAACCTGTAAGATACAGTCATGAAACCTTACCGGTTTGTAGTTGAGATCAAAATGAAGGTTAAGTTTGAAGATGGGTGTGGTCTGTCAACATTGACAGTGTGATCCCATCTCTAGGTCTCTAGTTTCATCTTGTCTTGTCTTAATTTTAAATTGATCTCGTTTAATTTTATTTACACAATATTAATATATGTTGTGATCAAAGTGCCCAAAGTTAATAGCAGAAACGACTGCCTCACATGGCCCTGCCAAGAATTATTACATCTTTATGAAAATTAATAGAGCTGCAAAGATTTATTGATTACTCGATCGAGAGAAAATCCATCTGCGACTATTTTTGATAATCAAACATTTCCTGGCTGCAACTTCTCAAATGCAATCATTTGCTACTTTTCTTTGTCATATCTGACAATAAACTGAATATATTTAGGTTTTGAGGTGTTGATCAAGTAAAGCAAGCAATGTGAAAACATCACACTGGGCTGTGGGATCCATTATTTTTCACAATTTTCTTACATTTTATTGACAAAATTATTAAATTGTGGAATCAGCAGAATAATTTATAATGAAAATAAGCCCGGATGTTTTATACTAGGCCTGTTAAGTTTCAGGAAACATGTTATTGACCTGCAACTTGAGCTTAAAGAATGAGTTGGTTCAAAGTTTTCTTTCTGAAATCAGCAGAGTGAGAGCAGATATTTGATTTAAATCATCAGTGCAGCACTAAAACAGCAGATTGTTTCTAAGGATAAAATAACCTTCATCCTATCTCTCTCCACAGTAACCCAATGGTCACCGGGACGTCGGTGCTCGGTGTGAAGTTCACAGGCGGCGTCATCATCGCGGCAGACATGTTGGGTTCGTATGGCTCTCTGGCTCGATTCAGGAACATCTCCCGCCTCATGAAGGTGACGATCACTGTTGACAAAATGTGAGCTGTAGATGTGAATGAATGTGATCTGTCTGAGCAATACTGAAGAGGTATTTCTGTTTCAGGTGAACAGCAACACCATCCTTGGAGCTTCAGGAGACTACGCCGACTACCAGTATCTCAAACAGGTCATCGAACAGATGGTGTAAGCTGCTGATCTCACACCAACACAAATGCAACCCGTCTTTGTCTTAACATTTTTTTTCTCTGTGGTTCAGAGTGTCAAAATACCTATTACAAAGTATTATGGTCTTCTGCTTTAAACTGTAACATTAGGTCTAACTTTCAGATGTCAGGAGACAGTTATTAGGAAAACTGATCCACTGTTCTCTCTCTCTCTGTCAGGATCGATGAGGAGCTGCTGGGTGATGGTCACAGCTACAGTCCGAAGGCAGTCCACTCTTGGCTGACCAGAGTTATGTACAACCGTCGCAGCAGGATGAATCCTCTGTGGAACACCGTGGTGATCGGAGGATTCTACAACGGCGAGAGGTGAGATCTCAGAATGGTTCCGTCAGTCTGCTTGTGTGGTTTTTACATGATAATTAACCAACCAAACTTCTGTCTAGTTTCCTCGGTTATGTGGACAAGCTGGGTGTGGCCTATGAGGCTCCCACAGTGGCCACTGGCTTTGGAGCATACTTGGCTCAGGTAAAGAGTTGTGCTTCTCTTTCTTTTGGTGACATTTAGAGACAGTGTTCTTGTTTGAGTGCAGCTTATGTTATGTAATTAATGGATTGAAAAAGAAGCATTTAGTGTATGTGTGTGTGTTTGTGTAGCCTCTGATGAGGGAGGTGTTGGAGAACAAGGTGGAGATCACTAAGCAGGAGGCTCGGGACCTGGTGGAGCGCTGCCTCAAAGTGCTTTACTACAGAGACGCTCGTTCCTACAACAGGGTGAGTTCACTTCACCTCTCCAATAACTGATCCCAGGTCTGCTGTTTTAAAGTCACACCAGACTTTAAAGACCGCTGAAAATCTTTGCTTTCAACCTCTCACCTGGCTACAGTGATGTCATGTGTACTCCATGACACTGTGACATCACTGTTGGGTGTGGTTACAGGTGCAGACAACATTTCTGACCACCCCTAACCACACACACCAGTGATCCTGGATGCAGTCAGAGATGAAACAGACAAACCCTGGTTTTCAGCTTCAGCCTGGGATTCAGTTTGCACATAATAACAACACTGACAGTATGAATCCTTCAAGTAATAAAGCACAGTCCACAACATACAATATATAGAATGATTCTTTAACAAAACCATAACTGAAGAAACTGTTGATGAAACTGAGCAAGTCAGGGGTGAATTACTTGTTTATATATAGATATTTATTTATTTGGCAAACAATTATTTATTTAAAGTTGTTTTTATTCAAAATGTCAAAGTTTTATTTTTTCCAAAAAGCGCAACAAGAAGAGTAAAACACAGTGCTGTCGTTACCTTTGACATTTTTATACCACAGAACTGCACAGAAAGTTATTTTGACAGTTTGAATTGGATGTTTTATTTGCTCTGAATGACTGATGTGACAATTGTTTTCTATTTTAGCATGAGATTGCCATAGTAACAGAGGAGGGCGTGGAGATCATTGGTCCTCTGTCTTCTGAAACCAACTGGGACATCGCTCACATGGTCAGGTAGGGTCTAAAGTCACAGCTCTGGACCCTGAGAAACAGAAACAAGTGCTCCAACAGCTATATACATGGTGGTGCCCTCAATAATAAGACGATGCCACAGTCCTGCACGGGTCCAATGTTACAAACCCAGAACCACCCCGTTAATAAAACACACAATCACACACTTTAAACTCATCCAGGTTGTTTTTACTCGAGGTTTACATGATGCCCTGTCTCATGCAGAAGTCTCAGTTAGCTCCCACCTGTTGATGATGTAATGCAGAGACACAAAGACAACTGATGGTGCAGTGATCACTGAATGCTGCCGACAGTCAGCTGCTGTCTCAGTTCTGGACTGATGATAAAAGGAAGTCGTAGGAATTCACACAAAAAATTGTTCTGGTTTAGATGTTTAATAAAAAAAAATTTAAAAAAATTCTATGAAGTGTAGTTCACCTGCTGCTAACCTGCATGTATTTAATTTTTTACCTGTGAATTAAAATGAAAATATTTGTTTACCCCACATCTCGACCTGGTGCAGGACACTCCCTGAAATCTTCGATTAAATTAAACGACAGGTGCTATCCCCCTTCCACATACAGATGTAGTCTGTGTTTTAGCAGTTACTTCTCATTTAGGACTAACATATACATCATGTGCTGTAGCTACTTCACATTCAAAATGTTGCGGCTTTGATCAAAAAGGTGGCATCTGTGGGTTTTTACCTTGAAGCAGCTGGAGGGATTGAGAATTGATAGCTTATTGTCCCTTCAGCAAGACATAGCTTCATCATGGGCACATATACCACTTGGTAACATATAATAGATGATTGATTGAATGAAATAGATAACCAATAGAATTCACCATATTTCTCTGTTGATACAAACCATGTCAGGATGTTTTGTAATGAAAGAGTCTTAATAATTCAAATTTTTAAGTATTTCTGATAGTGTTTCCTCTTGATTCTGGTGTCACTTAGTATTGACTTGTGTCTCTGTTTCTCTGCAGCGGGTTTGAATGAAGACGAGCTACGACTGATGAGGCCTCGCTCTTTCTCTGCTGCATCACAGCCAATGACCGCTCACATGCATCTTATCTATTACAGTTTAGGTTTTTTCTGATGTTCAGTGTCTCTTTTGTATAATGGAAATAAATGTCATAAATCAAAAAAAGCTTGTTTTCTGCTTTTTCTTGTGTCTTGTGTGTTCAGATATGGTCACCTCCCAAAAGCTGACACATTAAAAACATGTAAATTTCTGCCCAGTAAATTATGCATCACACTATATTTCATATTACCTAAAGTTGGACAGTACTATTTAATAACTATTCATAATGTGTTGGGTGCTTTTGATCAGTGTTTTGTACATGAACATCTTGTGGTGAATGTCCAGATTTTGAACCATTTCCAGTTCATATCTCATCAGAACTGGGCTTTTTTTTATATAGATACATATATATACTAAAATATTTGTTTCATTGTAATCCATACTAAAATTCTCAGTTTCCTGATAAAATGGTTTTATTTCCCCTGAGAGATTTTAGATAAATTGTAAATTTGGTCCATAGACTAATCAACAATACAACAGTAAATAAAAAGCATTTGGCCTTATGTTAATATAGATTGCATATGTAAAGCTAGCCTCTTTATGTTTGTGCCTTCTCTGTTTTTCTCTGAATTGTATAATATTTCAACAAAGAGACACGTTTAATACATTATTAAATGTTTATTTGAAGCGCTTTCGCTTTCATTGTCTAAACAGGCGGCTGTTGCTATGCAGATTTCACGAGATAAATTCATCTGCTTTGTAACTGGGCAGACCAGGAAAACGCGTCCAATTAGAATAATCCCTGTCAGAAAAATAATTCTGCTCGACGAATGGAATTTCACCCACTTTTGGTATCCGGGTGGATTTGTGACAGCGCACCAATCGGAATAGACGTCAGCTTTGTAGTCAGGCAGACATAACAAAGTCGTCCAATCACAAAAAAATCTGAAAGGGGATTTTTGCTGTATCTTGGCTCAGGTACTTTCTTTTTCTTTTTTAAAATAATTACTCAAATAGGACTCACTGAACAGATCATACATTAATAACAGAATAAATTAACTGTCATTGGGAATTATTTTGAAATTAAAAATAGCGTCTTAAAATATATTTAAGGGGTGTTTCAGTGCTTGGTAGCTAATGCTATCAGATAGCAACCAGCTAGGCTAGTTAGCTAGCATCTTATGCTTCGTAGCGAGCTTGTAGCTAGCCATGTCGGAGCGCGGCAAACAGCGTTAGCTGAACGATCCTGTCCTCCTCCGTTAGACATGGTTCTCTCCGTTTCTAAAACGTTTGTCTGGTCTGCCTGTATTAAAAACAGCTGACGTGTTGGGGTGTCGCTGTCTCAGGCTGCTAATGCAGAGGGTGTCTGTGGTCCGATAGCCTGCTAGCTGGGCAGTAACATGTTGCTGGGTCGATGTGTGTTCATAGTAAATGTCAGGCACATGACTACCGGCGCTACGCCCGCTGTAAACACGGCCGTCAGGCATGACACCGGGAGCACGGCGGTCACATTTCGGCCGCTGACACGTTTGCATCTCTGGCTAATGTTAGCGGGTGTGAGGAGTGAGTGTGGCCGGCAGCGGGCTGTGTTTTGCGCCACAGAAACATGCCTCCCGCTCCGCTAGTAGTAGTAACGTTTAACGGCACCGTGACAGCCGGCATGTGTCTCTTCCCGGTAGCCAGCTAGCCTTTTTTAGCGGTTGTTACCGGGCTGAAATCTGAGCTGAACAATGTGGTGTAATGTTAAAATGCAGTGTGCAGCTCCGGCGCGTCTGCAGGTGCTGCAGTACCGGGAAAGAGACGGGAGCTACCCGGCTGTCTGTCTCCGGTCAACAGACAGCACTGTCAGACAGGGTGTTACGCAGGGTGCGTGCTAGATTAAAAAAATCTTTGAAAAGTATTGAATCCACTGCCCTCAAAAGAGGGTCACAGGGTTTTTAAAAGTCTTAAATTTTATTTACGGAGTAAATGTTTTTTCTCTCCTGCTGTGACAGTGACAGCTGGACTGTCAGGAGACAGACGTGAGGAAGCTCCTCCACTCAGAATGTGTTGATTTCAGCAAAAAGTTAAATTGGCAAATTAATTATTTATTTTTTGATTATTCAACCTCATACAGAGGCTCTGGCCCAGAGACCAGAGGGTTCCAGGGGCCTGTTCGATAATCTATACAGGTCAAGGTCACATATGATTGTTAAATCCAGCTGGGCAGTACAGACAGAAATGTCACATTAATATAAATAAATTCATGTACTAGTAAAATAATTACAGTTGTTTTTTTCATGTTTGTTTTCAGGTGTGACTGTTAAACAGGTGTTGAACTGTTTCTATGTGATTTTAAAAGTCTTAAATTCAGTTTTGTGAACACTGCAGAAACGTGCTCAGAGAAATTATCCAGCTGTGAAGGAGTTACTCCTTTAAGTCTGAAGGTTATATTATCAGTGTCTCCACAGGTCACCTAGAAGTGAGCCCTGAAAACAGTAGTTCATTGTGTCAGGGATGGATGTGAAGACACTGTCAAGCTGGCACATGACCTAGTAGCAGCTACCATAACAACCAAGGTCATAAAGATATGATAAATGTAGCATCCTGATGGAGGGTGTTGATTCTTCCCTGTTGATTCTTCACACCTGTATGGAGAGGTGCTGGGGTCCAGTGAAGAGTATACTTGTTGGACCTGTAGTGAGTTGTGTTAATACGCCTTGCAGGGAGGTTGAGCTACAGAAATGGGTGTTAACTTAATAATTAACATCTCTTTTCTCCTCGATGCACCGAGCTTCAATAAATACACGTGTGTCTCCTGAAACTTTATACATCACAAGTTAATTAGTTCACAAACTCATGTTAAGCAACGATTGACATGTTTCCAGCACTGAGTTATCTACGTGTCTAAAAACTCTTCTTCACGTTGCTGAGAGATTGTTAAAGTAATCTTTATTTGCTTTAACAGCTTATATGTTTTTACAACTGCATCATTTTCCCCGAACAAAAATCTAATACTATATGGTCATAGGTGGACATGTATATTAAATATAGGACAGTATATATTCACACTTAACTGTGACAAAATTCTGAAAACATGATTTTAATTTAACATTTTGGATCATTGTGTGTAGGGTGATTCAGTCAATTTCAATATGAACCTATACAGCATTAAGTATACAACATGTGAAGGGGCATAAATGCTTTTTAATTATCTGGCAATGTCTCAGGATATTTCCCCAAAACTCAGCTTGACAGTTTGCTATCTGTGGAGACTCAACTACAACTGTGAATGAAGGTCTGCTGGTTTGAACTGAATTTGTTGGCACAGTATGAGTTTATTCTAGCAGCTATTTCCATTTATATACTGATTCAGATTTTTTTTTTATTAGTTTTTTATTGTTAAGAAAATAGTGAAAAAAGGCCAACACTAATACTCAGTACCCAAGGTGACATCTTCAAAGCAGCTCAAGGGAACCAGAGTTTTTTTTATGATTCTTCCTCATGAAACAATAAATAGATTATTAAAATTATTGCTGATTGATTGAAAAAATGTCAGTTGTCAGTTTATTTTCTGTGAAAATCTTAATTCAAAGTTCAGTCACTGTTTCCTCAGCCTTCAACCACATATCAGTGAGGGCAGATCTCACTTATCCTGGAAATAAATGTGGACGCAACCTTTCTAAATGAGTCACATGGATGTGTTTGTGTTTGTGTCGCTGTGACCCCCCTCAGATGGTGGTGCTCAGCACTGGTTAGTTGGTCCAGATGTCGGAGGACCAGCGGCACCCACGGGCTGAAGCCTCCCGTCGGGGGGAGGGCAGTCTGGAGGCAGGGGAGGGCGACACTGAGCCCAGCATGCTCCTACAGAAACTCAAGAACAACATCTCGTAAGTCGATTTTGCTGTCAAGATTTAAGGCCTTGAAAGTTTTTGAAACTGAATGGATGTTTTGAAAGAACAAATTTTTCCATTTAGGTCCAAACACACAGCCTGGACTGAACTAAACAGAACATTAATGTCTAGCTTATGGGCACTTCAGTTCATTAAAGGATCAGTCTGTAGATTTTCCACCTCAGTGTTCAGGACACACCTGTTTCCACCACATCCTGCTCATCTCTGACTAAACATGAACAGGTTTCTGATTGGTGTGCTCTCTGTCTTGCAGTAAGAGTGTTCAGACCAAAGTGGATCAGATCCTGGTAAGAATCACACTGTTGTCCTGTTTAGTGAAACCTGTTAATGACACACAGCAGATCAGAAATGTATGCAGCTCCCCTCATAGCTCAAGTGTGACCTGTTCTGTTCTGCTTTAACAGCAAGACGTTCAGCGTTTCTCTGACAATGACAAGCTGTACCTGTACCTCCAGCTGCCCTCCGGACCCAGCTCTGGAGACAAGAGGTCTGCTGTTTGACAAAGAAATGTTTTAATCACATGTAATTTGACAGGAATACAGAAGTGTGTTTGCCACTGAACTTTGCTCTGTGTGTGTGTGTGTGTGTGTGTGTGTGTGTGTGTGTGTGTGTGTGTGTGTGTGTGTAGTGGTGGTGACTCCAGCTCCTTCAACACTGCCGACCAGCTTCACACCTGTAATTGGATCCGCAGTCACCTGGAAGAACACTCAGACACCTGCCTGCCCAAACAGGACGTCTATGAGACATACAAGTGAGAAAACCCACACAGACACACAACTTATGTTTTCTAAAGTTGTTGTCGGGTCATGTGATCTGTCATGACTCTGTGTCCTCCAGGAGATACTGCGAGAACCTGCAGCATCGTCCTCTGAGCGCCGCCAACTTCGGGAAGATCATCAGAGACATTTTCCCCAACATCAAAGCCCGGCGGCTTGGAGGCAGAGGACAGTCCAAATATCCTTTGACCCGGACACGCCCGACTTACAATTTAGATTTTTGTTCTTTCTTTTCTGAGTGATTTGAGTTTTGTTGATTTTTCTTGACAAAAACTGAAGAAACTTTTTTTTTTGTCCTCATTTTTAAATCTTCTAAGCATTTTGAAGTTGCAGGAGTTGCCCTTGTTGTATTACACATGGTTACAGGTGTGTTTAAGGCTAAAGGTAAAAGGTACTGTGTACCTGTTCTCACACAGTGTCCATGTGAAAGATGATACAGGCTGGTTTCACTGATCAGGAGCTGCAGTGTGTGATTCTGCAGGTGGTTGACTAAGACTTGACTCTTGCTGTGATGATGTAGTTTGATGCCGAGGCCTGGTGCTCACAGGCTGCACAGGTCAGTCTCTGTCAATGCTGCTGGTTGAATTCCCTAACCTACCCGGCTGATACGTACTGTTACAGCGGCATCAGGAGAAAGACAGTCCTCAACATGCCTCTGCTGCCCAACCTGGACCTGAAGAATGACCCGGTACTCACACACACATTCACACACACATGCCACAATTGCGGTCTGAGTAGAAGCTTCTTGTTTTGTCAGTGGTTCCTGGGTGTGATATGTTTTGTTATGTATGATATGTTGTTTGAAGGAGGTTGCTGTGGTGTTCAGGGTCCTGATTTTATTTTTATTTATTTTAATTCCATTTGTGGTTTAAATGTGAAATAAAAACGTAATGCAAAAATTCTAACGGAAATCAGACCCTTAATGTCCATGAACATCCTCCGGAGTTGTTGTAGAAGTTTCAGCTGAGTCCTGCTGACATTCCCTCCTCTTCATCCTCGTCGTCCTCAGGCGGAGCTGACCGAGCTGGTCCAGACCTACAAACAGGAAGTGACAGAAGCGGCATGCGAGCTGATCTGTGATTGGGCACAGAAGATCCTGAAGCGTTCCTTCGACACGGTGGTGGAGATCGCTCGTTACCTGATCCAGGAACACATTGTCAACCCTCGCTGCAGCCAGGCCGAGCTGGTCACCTCCGCAGCACTCGCAGGTCTGACGCACACAAACTGTCTTGATTGATGAAGCAAATTTGTGTTGCGTTCACATCTGCTACGACATCAAATACTTCTGAAGAGCATTAATTTACAAGCTGCGTGGTTTTTAGCTCAAAACCTGCAACACAGACAATCCAACATGGATGTGGAGAAACACATCAGGGGTTTCTTCCATATTTAAGGTCTCAAATGCAGCGACCGAGGTTGTTAGTCCTGTCTGATGTCACATTATGTCCCTCTGTGGTCCATGACAGTGACACGGACCATCTGCTGCTGTTTGTCAAGAGATGATAGACTCATGTTTGTGTCTGTCTTTAGGAGGTCCGGCCAAACCCCACAAGGTCATCAAGAAGACGCCGGTCATCTCTAAAGCTGAGGGTGATGGAGCTGCAGATCAGAAGGTACTCACTCGTGTTTGTGTTCAGTCACTGACCACAGTCTGTCTGTCTGTCTGTCTGTCTCTGCTGCTCACGGCTTCCTGTCTGTCTGCAGAAGGAACTCGGAGACTCATCCACCTTGTCTTCACTGAAGCCATCATCTGGAGACAAATCATCAGCAGCCAAACCCTCCGCCCTGGACACTCCTCCCTCTTCCTCCTCTTCCTCACTGCGCCCTGCGGTAAGTCAACACCTCAGCATGTCTGCACCTGTGTCCAACTGACCAATTGAAATCACTTTGTTTAGTTTTTTTCCACAGTTATCAATAAACAAATCAATAAGTGATATAAATAACTGATTGTTGATGTGGTGCAGGTGGAGGCCTTCATGAAGCAGTTACCCAGAATCCTCCCTCGGAGCTCCATCCCTGATAAGACTCAGCTCTCGGTCCGCTCCTCTCCGCCCTCGCTGGCACCCAAAGACGCCTCAGGTGTCGGGGGGGCATCTGGACCTGGAGGTCCGGCTGCAGCCGCTGCCGCTAGCGGGGGTGGGGTGAAGGTCATTGCCATGGCGACACTGCCCCAGCAGCAGGGCGGGCCAGTCCCATTGATGATCCTGCCTCAGAGCTGCCTGTCCTACGAGAGGGAGAAAGTGGCGCCACCTCCACCACCACCTCCTCCTCCTCAGCAGCATCACGCCCCAGCAGCCCCCACCTCTGTGGTCCAGAAGGTACGAGGGAATGCCAACAAGCGCCCCCTGGAGGTGGTGACATCAGGTGGTGCATCAGGTGTGTCCAGTGGCTCAGCTGCCAACGCTCCTCCGGTGAAACGAAAACGTGGACGACCGAGAAAACCTAGGCCGGAGGACGCCTTGCCTGCTCCTCCACCTCCTCCTGCTGCTGCTCTTCCTCCTCCGCCCCCACCTCCTGCACCTCCTTCACACCCTCCCATCATCACCTCGCTGACTGGCGGTGTCATCCAGAAAGCCTCTTCCTCCGCGTCCTCCTCCTCGCAGCCAGTACTGGAGCTGGTGATTCAGGACCAGTCTGGGCTGGTTCTGAGTCAGCTGCCGGCGGTGTCAGAGCACCGCGGGGTGGTGGTGCAGTGTCAGCCGAGCGGGGCAGCAGAACCAGACCGCCACAGCCGGCAGCTGCTGCTGCTCCAGAGTCCAGGGAACCCCAGCTGGGAGCTGGCTGCGTCGGGTCGGACCCCAAAGGTGGAGGTGATCCAGAAAGCTCCGAGACCGAGCAATAACAACAGCAGCACCACCCCTCCACCTGCAGCACACCTCCAGCCTCCTCCTGTTCCCCTGCCCACAGTGCATGAGGAGCGGGGGGAGGTGGAGATTACGCTGACGCCAATGGAGCTGTACATCAACCCACTGATGCCTCCTTCCACCTCCATCTCTTCCTCTTCTTCTGCTGCTCCTGCCCCCTCCTCCTCCACCTCCTCCACCACAGTGGTGAAGAGTGAGGAGGAGGATGGGGGAGAGGGCAGCAGCACCTCCTCAAAGAGAGAGGGACACTAGCTCTCATCACTCTTCTTCCTCCTTTGTCTTTTTTATCAGCCCTCCACCCTCACTCAGCTTTTACCTCACCTGCAACACAGCCCCGCCCCCTTACCTCTCCTCTTCCTAATTGGTGGAAATCCCAGATTGGTGACAGCAGAGAGCCAATCAAGGAGGATAAATGAAGCCAAAACCTCGACACGCTGTCCTTCCACTGACTCCCATTGCACTTGTAAACAGACTGGACGCTGTTAGAAACCTGTGATACTTTAACTGCATGTCTGTCTGTCTGTCTGTCTGTCTGTCTGTCTGTCTGTCTGTCTGTCTGTCTGTCTGTCTGTCAACTGTGGCTGAAACCAGGACAACCACTGCTCAGGTGGAAGAGCCTGAAATCATACCTTCCTCTTTTACCTGGCTTTCTTTCTTCCTTGCCTCCTTACCTCTGCACTCTCCTCCCATTCTCTGTGCTGGGGTTTGGTCATCTGCTTCCACTGCTTCAGATCGATCGATTTGTAGAAAAAAAAACGGACATATAAAAGAAAAGATGTAAAGGAAGGAGGAAAGATGAAAGATAAGAGTAAGAGGGGAAGGAGGTGTGTAGACGGAGTTCAGCCTGAAGTTGATAGATACAGTAGGTACTACGGGTCAGAGCCTTGAGAAGGTTCTTTGTGCTAAATATGAAAGAAATGACCTCTTTAACAGAGCTCGTCCTCGGTTCACCTTCAGTCCAGGTCATAGAAATACTGGAGGAAAAAGATTTGAGGACGTGAAGCAGCTGCTGAAGAGTGACTTTTTGACTGAATGTGAATCGAAGCTCGGCTCTGCTCTCCTCTTTAAAGAGCTCCTCTGTTTTAAACAGCTTGGGTTAGTTGTGTTGTTATTAGTGTTGGTTTAGTAGATCTCTCTCTCTCTCTCTCTCTCTCTCTCTCTCTCTCTCTCTCTGTGTGTGTCTCATAATTACCCATCACCCAAAAATGGTGTAAAATGAGCCATTACATATGAAATTAGGGATATTTTTTAATAATTTATTATTTCACGTTATTTATCAGAAGCACCTGCAAGTCAACAATGGTATCACATCATTTGGTCTTAGATTAATTTCATTAAATTTAAATGACTTTAATGAGAAGATTTTATTTTAATAAATTAAAAAAGGCACAAAAACACCTCATGTCGGTGACGGGTCTGTGGGGCGGTGGCCACGTTTGTTGTAGAGTTGAAGGCTTTCCGTTTCGTGCCTGTGATCGTCAGGGTTGGGTTTTATTTAAATTAGCTGTAACGAGTTGATTCATTGTTTAAGTCATTTTCAAGCATCAGTTCCTAATATTTGATGGATCCAGGTCCAGACGCGCAAATTATATGATGGTTTAAGTCGAACAAAACTAGACCTTTAATGACTTTTTAAAAATAGTTTTCTGATGTTAATAGACCAAACGGTTATTAAAGAGATAATGAGCAGATCAGTTGACAGTGCTTTTGAATCTTTCACTGATTTAAATGACAAGTATCACAAGCAGCAGATGATACTAACTGTAGGCCAAGGAAGATTCAGCAGCTTTGTCTCATTCTCTGTGAGAGTTGTTCAGACTGATACCACTTTACGTCTGTACAGCTGGTTAGCTTAGTTTAGCATAAAGCCCAGCTGGTCACAAAATCCACCTCCCAGCTCCTCTAAAGTTCACTGATGAACCTGTTGTATTTTATTTGTTTGTTTGAAATAGTCCCACACACTAGTGCTGCAACCAATGATCACTTTCAGTATCAATTTATCTGCTCATTCATCGATTTTCAAAATATTTGCAGATTAATTTATTTTATGATTGACTCATCATTGCAGCTCTACACACACCTCCTTTAAAACAACAACTTTTGACACTTCAGTTTCCATGTGCATTAAACAAACATTTAAATATATGTTGTCCATCACTGCTGGAGAATATAACTATTGCACATGATCCTCATGTAAAGAAAGCCGGAGTTTTCAAGTGTTAAATTTGGTCTAAGTTCAACTGATTTACTGTAAATTTAGAAAACAAGATAATACATTTTGACAGGAAGTTCTAAAGAGTGTACTAGAGAAAGTACTAAAGAGGTACTGAGATGTGATACCCAGCCCTTACGACCACAGCAGGACTCGACAGTGTTTTTTCGTTTGAAGTCTAATCACTCTTTTACCCTGAGAGTGAGACGCCAAACATGTAAGACTGATGTTAGCACTTAATTTGCCACAAAATGCCCCCCACATCCTCATTCACCCCCCAGCTGAGCGCGCTGGGATAAACAGTTTGGTGTAATGTGCTCATCTCGTTGCAGCCTCCGTAAACGGAAACAGAAGTTTGAAATTTGTCCTTTCCTGTTGAAGACAAAGGCTTCAGCTCAGGCACAGAGAGCAAAGCACAAAGTTAGCTGCTACGTGTTCACAATGAGCTTCTGTAGCACTCAAGTTTTAGCCTACATAATTAGCCTGCTTAGCTATTGTCGTACGTTGCCATGCGCCCTTTGCACTAACTTCCTGATCACTGTCTGGATCAGCAATGTGACATGACCATTCAGAGGTCCTGCTGTTCTTTCTGGTTTCTGTCATTGACACGAGCTGTGAAACAACAGAAAATCCCATTTGACTGTAAAATGTAAGAAAATGGTGACATCTTCACAGTCCAAAACAACAATATCATGTAATTCTCACCATTGAAAAGTTGGTATTTGGTAATTTTTGGTATTTTTGCTGCAAAATTAACTAAAACAGTTTATTATCCAAATAATTTTCTGTCAGTCGACTGATCATTTTAGCTCTGGACGAACTACCATTAATTTAAGTAGAATTTAAGAAGAAGCAAGAATATTAACATCTTGTGACGACCAGGAACATCTTGGATATTGTTTCATGTTCAAACTTAAACTATGTCATATTGCTGATGTTTGTTCTTCACCTCTGCCAAACTGCCTCTCACTCTGCGTGGGGGCATCTTCTTCATTGTTGGTGCTACAAACCGCAGGGCTTGGTGTTGCCGTCTGTCCTTGCAGTTTTCCATTCTGTCATCAAATTTTTACAAAAAAAACCCTTTTTGTCGAGGTATGAATACAGCTGTGTGTGTGTCCTTGTTTCCCTCTCCGTCCTGTGACAACGAGAGCTTCAGGTCAGTTAAAGGGACACCGAAAACTTTTGACTGTTAAAATCATACTTGTTGCATGATGGGAAAGTGAGTTTCAGCACTTGTCCTTTGCCATGAAGTGAGTGTAGTCGAGCTTAGATGCTTGCTACTACAGCACTACCAATAATTTATAATTAACAGGAGCACTGATGATGGTAATATGTCATTTTCTATCACTAAAGTGAAGTGCCAGTATGTAAAATTTTTCCACAAGGTGGAGAAATGCCTCGACTAAAATGTCTCGGTCTCCCTTTAGGTGAGCCTCAGCCCTTTTCAGACAGAACTGAAACAAATGAAAAGTTGCACTGTTAAAAAGTTAAAACAAGAAAGTCCTTGTATGTTATGAATTTATTGTTATATGCATTGAGAAAATACATCGAGTATTTATGAGTGATGTAATGTTCTGCTTTATGCTTGCACTCAGCTAGAGACCGACCACGCAGTGTCGGCTTTATTTTTTATTGCAAGAATTTGGTCAAAATAATGCTCCTTTTTTAAACTGTTCAGTAGAGAGTTTAGTAGAATAAAGAGGGAAATACATTCTGTTATATTAAAGTTGCAGTAACTGGAGAGCAAAACCAGACGGATGGTTTAAAGCAACATTTCACTTGATCAGTGATGTTGCTTGAATTGAACTTAATTGTATGACATGTATTCTGATGACAAAATCTGACTCATGACTTCACTTGGACCTGATATCCTCAAAAAAACCCAAAGATTTAAATGTAGGTGTGCAACCAGTCAATGACATTGAATATCACATTGCACAAGCAGGATCGAAAGGTGTATTTGTCAGATCTGCATGCAAATAACAGGATGTTTAGGACTTGACACACAAGGATTAGGACTTGGAGTTTACTTGGTGTCTTGACTTTCAACGTGAGTCACAACTTAATGGTCTTTACTCTGGACTAGACTAATATCTAGTTCATGTTGACTTGGGAAGACTCGAGATTTGTTGTTGGTGTTGACTTGGGAATTGACTTGTACTGTTGCTCTTTAGTTGGAATTGTTGGTCGTGACTTGGGACTTTGGAAGGGACTTGTTCTTAACTTCTTGGATAATATGACAAGAACTGTGTTTGAACTTGACTTAGAACTTGGTCTTGATTTAGTACTTGTTTTTGACTTTGGGCTTGTTGGTTTTGACTTTGGGCTTGTTGGTTTTGGCTCAGGACTTTACTCGGAACTGTTCTTGACTTGGGACTTGTTGGTCTTGACTTACTAGTGTTGATTTGGTACTTGTTAGTGTTGACTTGGGACTCGTAGGTCTTGACCTGGGACTTGTTGATCTAGACTTGTGTGATTGTCAATTTCAGAAAGAACATCCAACTATAACTTCCTTTAAAAGATTCTGGGGCCTTGATTCCTCTTCAATTCTGTAGTGTCCAATGAGCGCAACTCATTGGACAAAGTTAGCTGTCGGTTTGTTCAACAAGTTGCTGTCATTAGCTGGAGATCTAATTTTACTGTCTTCACTTAATGACTGGGTTCATAATTTCAAACTGTCAAACTGATTTCGTAAAGCCCCATCAGAGGTCTACAATTTCATTCAACTGAAGTATAAGACTGACAATATTCATCCAGAAAGCAGATCAGATGTATCCCAGACCCAGTATCAGTGAAATGTTGCTTTGAACGTCTTGTTGGGAATCTGCTGTCAATATTCGGAGTGACACCTGAGGTGACACACCAGCTGTGTTCCCTCTGCAGGACCTAATGGGCTAAACTTGGCAAACTGGACATATGAAATGAGTTTGGTCAGGAGCTCAAGAAAGGGTTCAGCGCAAGTCAGTGATGGAGGATGTCTCAGTTTGGAACAGTTTGGACCACTAACGGCCAGCTGGACATGCAATGTTTCCTGTGGACACTGGTTGAATGTTTGAAAATGGACTTGAAGTCCAGCAGCTCCGTGGAAATCTGCATCTAAAAGCAGTTCAAAAATTAGTTCAGTTTAGGTTAAATGGGATGAAACCCTGGTTTTACCCACTTTGGTTCTTTAACTGGGTGAACTAGGCTACTGAACATATACAGTTTCCTTTAATAACTGTAAATGTTTGGAAGGAGCCTGAAAAATGAGCAGCACTGTGGAATTTAAGACCTAACGGAAATCAGAGAAATGGCTCAGGGAAAGTCAGAGATAGAACTTTGGTCACCTAACTGGCCTGACTGGGAAAACATACAAGATCAGCTGCAATGTAAAAGTCAAGTTCAAGTTTGAGAAATGGCTTAGAGGAAGTCCATGAGAACAATAAGCCCAAGTTTGGCTCTTTGGACCTGTGTCTGAAAGACTGGCATCACTCTTGAAGTCACTTTCCAGAGTGGCTGTGGAGTGGCTGTGGCTGTCAGGATCTGAAAGGAGTTGAGAAATATTTCACAACAAGTCAGTGAAGACAAGAAAACTTAATTTTGGCTCAGTTTGGCCCTGCACTAGGAACGTCGGTTTGAAGGTGGTGGTGCTTGTTGGAATCTTTCACTGTGGAGCCATGTCGCTCAAAAAGAAAACAACAAAACAAAAACAGACACGGGTCAGATAATCAAAGATAAAAGGATCGGGATTCGGGTAGCAGTGCGTTGACCTTCAAGGATCGGACTCAAAGACACAACGTCCTCTGATGTCACTTCCTGTACTGGATCTGTTTGTGATACATCATTTTTAACTTCACATTTTTGCTAAATTAATTTTGTAGTCCCTTCATCTGATCTCATGTCATTATTATTTCACAAATGTTCCAACATTCACATGGTTTTATTGATGTTAAAATGACGCACAGAGAGACATTAAGTGTTTTCCATTCACTTTTGATTCAACCAGCACGAAACCAGACTCATCAAAGATTTTTTTAACGGAACAGTTTAGTGAAGATGTTTTTATTCCCTAAAAACTGGTTCCTCTCAGCCTGAAAACCTCATGCAGGTTCACAGGAAGAAGATGATACTCAAACACCTGGATCAAGTGATCTCTAGAGATACAAAGTCAAAGGGAACTAGATTTGTTGTTTTATATCTTTAAGACACATCAACTCACCTTGGAGTCTCAGGGATAGCTTCACAGTTTTTCAAGTGGGTCTTGGACAGATCCCATCCAAATGTGTTTTCAAAGTGGTGGAGGACAAAATCTACAGTCCTGGTTCTGTGAACAGATTTATTCAAAGGTTTAAGCAGAGTTTATCTGAGGCTTCAGCTGTCTGAGTTTGAGACAAATCACATAGATAGCTTACAAAGTTGCAACCTTTTAGTATAAAATTCCCTCTTTTTGTTTCCCTGTTGAGTTCTAAGGGAAGGAAGGTAGATAACCACTTGATTTGACTAATTAGCTAACGTGAAGTCTGAAATTAGCTCCAGAAAAAGACTTGAATTCACATTTAACAGAAGGACTGTGGATTTTGTCCCCCGTCACTTACACTAATGTATAAGTTGTAATGTTCATTTGACACCTGACTCTTGTTTTAGGACAGACTTGAAAAATAGTTACCTTGTCCTTTAATATCTTCTGGGTCATCATCCTCCGAGGGTCGTTAAAGTCACCTAGTGAGAGTTAATCACCTAGTGAGAGTTAATCAGTTAGTCAGAATCCAATTAATCAGGTTGTGCTTTCAAACCAGTTCACAACTTCATTAATTTGACGTTACCCGAATGACTCGGCAGTGACAACATGTGAATGACCCAGGAGAGGTGAAAGCAGTGTCTTAAAAAAATAAAACAAGAAATTCAGTTTACTGTTTTTTATCAAAACTAAATGTGAAAGGGAAGTGAAACTAAATTAGATCCACTTTAAATTTACTTTATTATTATTTTTATTCTCACTGCAACAAAAAAAATATAAACTTGACGCAGATGAAGTCTGATGAGTGGACTGAAGGTGAGTCAGCAGTTTTAGTGACGAGATGACGAGACGTTTGTATGATGAGCTGATCCTGGTCAAACACTGCAGTTAATGTGGTGATGGTGGTGGTGGTGAACTCCCAGTCTAAGCTGGAAGTGGTCCTGTTTTCTGTCACAGACCCAGTCAGAGTTTTATAATTGAATTCACTGGAGCAGTTTTTTCTTCTTCAGCTCATGTTTTTGAGTCGACAATAAAGGGAACTGTTTTTTTCTCTTTCCCTGAGCCTTCCAGGCGTTGCTACCTCGCAGGCTCAGGAACTCTGGGTAGTGTAGTACAGTCCTCCAGACCAATTTGGAGGTTATGGTCCAGTTTTGTGTCCACAGACTCATCAGTGAACCTGAGTGGGACTCTGACATCAAACAGCAGCACTTGGAGCTTCATGCTGTGATTTTCTGTTCACTCTGAGACTATTTCAATCAACTTGTTTTGCTGTCAGTGTTGTTATTAATCCAGTAAGAGTTTTTCTTTTTGTTAATTTATCTGTTTTGTTTCCTGTTGCCGTCTGTCGTTGCTCTTTCATACAGTTGTACAGCTTGTTGATGTGCAGATTTTATTATTATTATTCTTACTGTTGCTGTTGAGACTTTTTAAATCTATGTTTGCTTTGTGGGAGACGCAGAGGCTTCCTGCATGGTTTTCCTGTGACTGTCTGTTTTTGTATATTATTCACTTTAACAGTTTGGAGAAATGTTAGTTTTTCTTCCCCTGTAACCTGCTGCCTGCTGGCTTTTTTTTTCTTTTCTTTTTTTTCTTCTTTGCACTTCACTCCTGAAATTCTTCATTGAAGTGGGAGGACGACATCGGTCCAACCGTGAAAAGAAAATGAACCGTCCCTCCTCTGCCCTTTGGTTTGGATACCAAATCAGTGAAATGCACCTTTACTTTACCTATGTGAGTTTGTTTTGTTTGTTTGTGTGTTTCTGCTGTTTGTTGTGACAGAGGACAGACTCAGAACATTAATGTGAATCTATTTTCCTACGCTGACTGACTGGAATAAAGGATGTGACGTTCACTGGCAGAAAACACTGATTCTGCTTCTGCCTCTATTCCTTTTTCTTTCCTCTTTCCTTCGCCACTTTTCTGTTTTTCTTGCCTCTCATTTCACTTCCTTTCCTTTGCATTCTTTCCTTTCCTCTTTTTGTTTCACATCCTTTTTTTCTTTTCCTTATTATTTGTTTGTTTGTCCTCATTTGCTCCCTCTTAATAATTTTTTGTGTGTGTGTCCTTTACTTCTTTTTCTTTGTTTTACTCTTTCCTTTCCTTTCTTCTCCTCTGTTGTTCCCTCTGTCGGTCACCAGGAGGCTCTGTACTCTATCATTTGGAGCTTTTCTTCTTCATTTCCTGCTTCAGGTTGAATTTTGTGTTTCTAAAAATGAAAATATCAGAAAACCTATTTTGTTGAGCTGCAGGAAGGGTTTACACATGAGACAGTTTAAATAGAACGATTAAAATGAAACAAATGTGACAGAACATGAGTTTGAACGGAAATTTAAAAGCTATATCCATAATATACCTTATGATAAATAAGGCCGCAAATATTAATCATATTTAGGTAGGGCATAATAAATAGGATAGACAAAAATATATGAAAATATATGCAGTAAAACAGTCATATACAACAATGCCTTAGGCCATACACATGCATAACGACGGTGTATGTACAAAACATAATATAAATATAGGTATAAGTAATAATAAATATACACATGTACATCAGAATACAGTTTGACTTCTCTGAACCACTGTCAGATGGGAGAACATGGGTCAGCCCCAGTTCATGCTGTCATTAAAGAAATTTGGAGATAAATACTAACATAATCTGAAATTCATGAACATTTTTTTTTCATTTTTCAAGATTCAACTTTTCACTCAATTTGTGAAATCTGATATTATTTTAATTTGTAATGGAAAGATTTTTTTCTACATTCAGAACAAATGTAAAATAGAATAAGATGAGTGGTCTGAGACTTTTGGACCTCAGTGTAAAACATAATATTACAATGACACATTAAAATCTAACATGTATCATGATATGGAAAGAAGTAATATGATTAGTGTATCATATAGTTTATATATAATAATATATAGTCAAATAATATGTTATGAAATGTGTTACCACTAACAACAACAATAATTAATAATGACAATAAAAATGATAATACTATAGAAGAAAGGAGAGAATCAATCAGTGTCATAAAAAACAGAGAAGAAAATATAATAAAACAAAACCTGATGAAGTAATTAATTCATTTAAAGGTAAATATGACAGAATCCAGATGAACCAGCGACAGTCGTCACTGAAAATGGTTTATTTCAGGAAACGTGGGGGCTGAATATTTTGTTCCAAACGGAAACAGAACCAAAACCAGCAGCTCTGTCAAGATAACCGGGAACTATGCAATTCTGTCTTCAAAATAAAAGCTAAAAGAAATTGAATTGCAATGGTCTGATGCTTTACTGTAAAATACGCTGTGCAGGTTACATGTAGGTTATACATCTGATCTGACTCTCTGAACTCTGATAACTGATAATTAACTTTGCTAATAATGATACTCATTACATGAAAATTAACTGAATATTTTTCACCTTTTGTCAGTAACAAAATAAACAAGATTTTTTTTGATTCAATAATAACACAAACATTTACATTGGTGAGGTTAAGCAATTATTCTCCAAATATCGTTTTCAAGGGGACCTGTATATATTTATGTCTATCATTACATGGTTGTTTTAATTAAACTTTATGTAAATAGCAAATAGAACATCTACAAAGAGAGGAACAGCTTTGGGACTGGAACTTTTAATTGTTTTCATTATTGAAAAATCTGAAGATTATTTTCATAATACATCTTTTTTCTGTGAAATTATATAAAAGTGAAATAATGACACCTTCAGAATATTTGTTCGATATGATCAATTGTCCAAAATCCAAAGATATTTAATACATCGTAATATGAATCAAAATCAATCACCAGAGAAGCTGCAGGCAGTGAATGTTTGCTGCTAGTCCTGTAAATCAATTTATGAATTAAACATTTTTTAATCTTGTCGAATGTAAAATAAAGATGAAATTAATAAACTATTTCTGTGACTTGCTTTCAGTGTATTCATGTAGATGAGGAACGATTTCAATGAAAAACATCAGTTTAGTTGGAGAAACCTGCAGTCTAAAGAAACAACTGTTCTGAAATCCCTCTGTGCTTTTTCTTTGGAAAGATTAGCGGAAGTGTGGGACGGCTCGGACTGCGGCTGTCTTGACGGATGTTGCGTCACTGCTGCTTTAAAGCAACCAGACTCGAGCCGATCCGAGCAGAGCAAGGCCACAAACCGCAGACCAGATGGACCACCTCAGAACCTGAAAACCAGGGCTGAAAACCGGAATAAAACCTGGATTAAAGACCTGGATTCAACACGGAAACTCCCGGGACGAAAACTGGAGTAAACCCCGAGCCTCGGAGCATTTAAACCGGAGTGAGGACGCTTCAGTAACCGGGTAGGTGCCCCTATCATCCGGCTGGTTTTCCTCCATCTACTTCTCCTTTTTTTCGCAGTTTCAGTTTGTTGTGACCCGGTTTAGCAGACGTTCGCCGCGTCTGTTGTTCCGTTGTTCCAGTGTTCCGGTGGTGAATCCCGGGGCTGTGGGCCTGCTGCAGCCCGGCTCTGCTCCTCCTTCCCCCGGTTTGTTTTCATCAGGAGGGAGCGGCTCTGCTCCCCCTGCCGCTGCCTTTGATACCTCCGTAACATCTTTATAACATTTTCATTACGTCTTTATAACGTTTTAGTTACGTCTCTGTGAGACACCCGCTCACACCGTGGTTTCACCGTCAGTTTCCCTTTATATTCAGCTATTTTATCCTCCTTCCTTGTGGTCTGTCATGGACGGATCATGGGAAAATGGTCCCCTGGGCACAGAGAGGCAAAAGGCCCCCAACCCCTCCTCTGCAGGACCCCATACTGCAAATGATGCCATCGGTTTCTGTCTCCCTGTGGTCATTTTTGTCCCTTGTCCCTTCTTCCTCAGTGTCTTTTTAGTTATGGTTTTTCGCTGCAGTCCTGGATTGATGTGAATGGAGGACAGCTGGACTTCATCAGTTCTTGAAGTCTCTTGGATGTGAAACATTGAAGGTGTTTCATCTCTAATCCAAGTCCACTTGCCTTTGATTTAACCAGGACCTGGACCACTGAGAGTCCTCAGACAGTTCTGTGTTGTCGTCTCTTTGCGGTTGTTTTTTGTCTTGTTTTGGTCATGTTGTCGCTTTTGCAGTAGTTCCTCATCTGCTGATTACATGACTAAAATCAGAATTCACTTTTTGTCTATCTAATAATTTATTAGTGGACTAATTGTTGCAGCTCTAAAGGTCTCATTATGTTCTCAGGCTAAATCCACACTACTACATCACAGTTTTAAAATTCATCTCTTATACTACATCTACTCCTGCCGTCCACACTGCAACGGAGTTCAGAGGACCAGTCTGAACCAGGTCTGTGTCACCTCTACTTGAAATACTTTGCACAGACAGAATCAGGAGACTCAGAGCTTTCACACAGGGTAGAATTAGTCCAGGTTGTGTGAAGATTGAGTCCATTACAGACCAGCACACACCTGAAGTCTACCAAGGCCAAAGAGTCCCACAGGGGAGACGGGTTCAATAGTGAATTTCTGCTGAAGCATGAATCTGTTGATCAGTGTCAGAATAGTTTTTGATTATTTTTCTGTCAATTGACTGATAGAAACAAAAGCTTGACCAGATCCACATGTAAATATTAAAGTTGTAACTCAGTGTAGATTGATTAAACAGAGTTTATTCTGAAACAACCTCCAGAGATTTAATGACGGGACAAAGTTTAACACAGAGACTGAAACGTCACAACTTCAACTGTTTACAACAGTGTAGAGATAATGTTGTGGTGGTTATTACAGTGTGAATAGAGTTTACTGTGTGTGTGTGTGTGTGTGTGTTGTTGTTGTTGTTGTTGTTGTTGTGATAAGCTTCACACTTTGCCCTGAACTGCACACGTCACACTCTCAAGTCTGGATTCACTGTTGCTGTGTTCACATCAGCTGCAGCGATTAGTCACTTAATTGATTAGTTGATTGACAGAAAATGAATGGGCACATATTTTAGCTAATTAAATGTGAGTATTTGCTGCTTTTTTCAGTTTTTTATCTGATTTTTTCCTTGTCACAAAAAACTTTTACTTTTCTGACATTTTATAGACTGAAGATTAATCAAGAAAACAATCAGCTGATTAAATGATAATGAGGATAATGTTTGAATATTATTAACATTTAGAAAAACTGTTCATAGTAACTCAAAGGAAGAATTTGTTCTTTTGAATAAACCAATTTTAGGCAGAGAAAATGTCAAATCAGTCTGTTCCTCCACTGTCACTACATTACCCACAATTCATTGCCAGTGCACCAGCTACAGTCGCCATATGGACAGAGTTTAGTTGTATCTTATTTCCAGCATTTCTCTCTGATACTCGCGTCAGTGCTCAGTGGAGGATTTTACACAAAGGTCTGTTTGAAAAAGTCCGACTTTAAGACTGTTTTAATGTCTTGAGACGACCGAATAAAGTTAAAACACGATGATGTAGGTGATGAAGACACAGACGTCAGGTTTAATCTGATCAGGAGCAGAGTCTCATCTTTCTGGAAACTTTCTATCAGACCTGAAACGTGAACCTGATCCTGAACCTTAGAGTGTCAGTAACAAAAACAGAGCGGACTTCATGCCTCGCTGTGATTATTAAAAACCCACAGTCAGTCATGAGTCTCATAACACTGACTGTGTGTGTGTGTGTGTGTGTGTGTGTGTGTGTGTGTGTGTGTGTGTGTGTGTGTGTGTGTGTGTGTGTGTGTGTGTGTGTGTCTTTATCTTTGTGAGGACCAGTTTGAGTTATAGACCTTACTGAGTGAGGACATGTCTGTTTGAGGGTTCAGTCCTGGTTTTAGGGTTCAGGTTAGAGTCTGGTTACGTCAGGGTTAGGGGGCGAGGGAACACATTATGTCAATTAGTACCCTCAAAGATAGCTGTGTGCGCGTGTGTGTGTTATCTGGGCTCTGGTTCAAACGACAGTCGAGCACAGCGTGATATCCTCATCACCATCATCTTCATCATCCCCCACACTGACTCATCACACACACACTGTAGTTGTGAGGATTCTCATTGACATACTGCACTCCCTGAATCTAACTAACCCCAACAGGAGCCTATGACACACGCACACACACACACACACACACACACACACACACACACAGGTAGGAGGTTCATGAGTATTTAAAGGTTCACTAACTTAAGCACATTTCACTTGTAATTTATCCAAACACAGAAACACAGGACAGAGTTGACTGAAGACACAGATCAGACCAGGGACCCTCTGCTCATCAGTCTGTTTTCTCTCCTCTGTGTCTATTGATCATCAGTAACGACAGGTCGAGCAAGTCAGAGGTCAAACAGTGACGTGGCGTCACACTGAAATCCACCTCCACACGTTCAGACAACGTCACACTCAAACTGCTGAATCTAAAAACGAGATCTAAAAAGATCTCCCATCAGGAAATCGTCTTTTTAACTTTCCTCAAACAGAAACATGTTTGAGATACTGACATGAAAAGAATTTTTTCGAGAGTTGAAGAAAATTCTTTGTAAAAAAGCAACTATTTTCATCATCGTTGAATTGTTTCGATCACTTTTTAAGCAGAAACACCAAACGTCTCTGGTTCCATGATTCACTGGTTTTCTTTGTTTTAAACAACAGGAAACTGAATCTCTGGGTTTTGGACTGGACGTCGGACAAAAGAGACATTTGAAAACGTCACCTTGACTTTTGAGAAATGATGATGGATAAGTTTGATAATCAGTTAATCAATTAATCATTTGAAATGACACTCTAGTTCCACTTTCTCAGAAGTCGTGACATGACATTGAACAGAATCTGTGAAGGTTAGGTTAACAAAAAGTTTTCACTGTCTGACATTTTATAGACAAAATGAGAAAATAATCATCAAAATATATATATATATATATAAATATATATATTGATAAGTGATAATAACCATTAGCTGCAACAATCAGTTTCTTTCTGCCCAAAGTGACTTGTTATTTATTATTTTATCAGTCAGAATAAAATAACTGTTTTATTTATTTATTTGGTATTTTTGCTTTAAAAAACAATTAATTGATTATCAAAAATAGTTGCTTATTAATTTCTTTTCGATGGGCTGATCGATTAATCAATTAGTCGATTAATTGTTGCAGTTTCAACACAAACATCAGTGCTGCCGCAAAGTGCATCATCATCAACACACACACACACACACACACACACACACACACACACACACACACACACACACTCACACTCACTCACTCTCTGCAAACAGTCTTTATAGCAGTCATTTTGTGTGTGTGTGTGTGTGTGTGTGTGTGTGTGTGTGTGTGTGTGCGTGCAGCTGACCTCCACCCACGGCTCGCTGCTCCAGAAACTTCACATCTGGAAACCATCTCTCGCATGCACGCACACACGCGCTCTGATGTGATGACATCATACTCAGCTGTGTGTGATCAGTGTCTCCTCGTGATGATGTCATCAGGGGGATTTTGTTCAAGACTCGTTGGACCCCACTGTTCATGTTGGTGTCATTATAACCCAGGACTGAAATGATCAGCATTAATCAATCAGTCTATTGATAACGACTGGAGGACTCTTCAGTTCACCTCTGTAAACTGCATTAGAACTGTTCTCTGCTGCTGGATCTGACAGTTTCCTGTGTTTTGGACCAGGACGTATCTTAGCGTAGCCAGGAGGCAGCTGCTGTTGTCTCCGTGTGGGTGCGGAGGCAGCAGATTCAGTCAGTGTGGAGCCATCGTCACAGAAACCGAATCCTGTCTTTAAAGCATCGTCCCGGAGACGGAGTGTCAGGAGGTCTGACAGAAACCGGATCAGCGGCTGGTTGATGGAGCTAAGCAAAACCAAAATAGAAACCTCCTCCTTCTCCAAACGCTGCACACGCACAGAGAGGAGGATGATGGTGATGATGATGCACATCACCTGCGTCACACTGACAACACACACACACACACAGACACACACTCAGGGCTGTCATGGTTTCCTCTGAGGAATCCCTCTCTGTGGAGCTGTCACTCCTCCACACTGTGCAGCCTCCTTCAACATGATGACAGGCCACTCTCCACTAAACCATCACTTCCTGTAGTTCATACAACACCTGCATGTACCTGTCCCTTTGACCTCACAGTGTCTATGTCTCACCTCTCACCCTCCTCACACCCCCCCCCCCTCCAACTCTCTCTCACCTGTGGGGAAACCTCTTAACTGCATTGCTGTCTGTTTAACATGTTTCAACCATAGACTCTGATACAAATGGATTTTTAAACAATGTTAAATATGTTAAAAACAAAAATTTCAATATGAAAACAAACAGATGAATTCCTTGTTGAAAATGGTGAAAGATGTCAACAGGAAGTGTTGAGGAGGTCCATGATCGGAGATGTCAGATTTTCAGCTGTGATCACAGGCAGGAGGGCGTTATATAACACACACACACACACACACACACTCACATACACACACACACACACACACACACACACACACACAGGCGTGGGCGTAAGACAAAGTCACATGAACATGTACACACAACATGGCTCAGCTCAGACACGCACAGACAGCACACGTGTGTATGTGTGGAGGAGGAGCTGTTTCCTGACGGAGCCGCTGATCGTTGTGTCCGTCACGTCTTCACTGTCGATTTAATCTGCAGATTATTTTCTGGATTAACTGTTTCGTCTATAAAATAAAGGTGACGTCTTAAAACATCTGGTGGTGGTTTGCAGTTGAATGTTCGGAGGTTTTGATGAGGTCATGACCTCTGAATCTGAGGTCGTGGTTCTCTCCCTGTGGGTCGGGAGCCAGTTGCTGCCTTAAGGACTTTAAGTGTCCTGGGGTCTTGTTCAGGTTCAGTGAGATCGACGGGCAGGCTGGTGCAGCGCCAGCAGTAATGGTGGCGTTGCACGGGGCCGTTGTGGTGAAGAGGGAGCTGAAGGCGAAGCTTTTGATTTACCTGTCAAGCTACGTTCACCTGTGGTCATGACCTTTGAGCAGTGACTGAAAGAATGATACAGTGAACGGCGGGCGTGACGAGTTTGATCTGTAGGGCGGCTGCCCGGAGGTTTTCTAGGAGCATCCAACTGGTATGAGGTCCCGGGGTAGACCCAGAACATGCTGGTGAGAGTATATATCTCATCTGGCCTGGGAACACCTCGGGATCCTCCAGGAGGATCTGGGGGATGGTGCAGGGGGACGTTGCCGGGGAAACGCCTGGAGTATCTTCTTAATCTGTTACCGCAATGACTGGCTCAGGTTCAGCAGCAGGAAATGGATGATTTTAAAAATAAATGTGCTCTCTCTGTCTCCTGTTTTTAGGTCCTGCTCTTCCAAAATGGCCGACGCCGAGGTCTCCCTGTCCCCGGCCTTGAGGCCGCTCCACCTTAGCCCCTCCCACTCTGCCCCGCCCCCTCCACCACCTTCCTCCTCCCCCACCACCTTCTCCTGCCCCTCTTCCCCCTCTAGTGCCTCCTCTTCTTCTTCTTCTTCCTCCTCTTCCTCCTGCTCTGAGAGCTCCTCCGACTGCCCCAACCACCATCACCATCATCATCAACACCATCACCATCACCCCCGCCCTCAGCTGCAGCTGCCCCCGCCCTCCCACAGCGAGCAGCCATCCTCTCCCAGCGCCAGCCCCCGCAGCTCCAGCCCCAGCGGGAGCATCGGCAGCTCCGGCAGCCTCGGCAGCAGCAGTAGCGCCAGCGAGGGCATCGGCAGCAGCGGCATGTCGAGCGGCGGCGACCCGCGAGGGCCGAGTCCGCCGCTAGATGTCATCTCAGAGGACGCCATGGAGATGGACCTGGGAGTCGACCAAGGTAACCAGGAGAAAGCAGGGTCTCTGCAGTAGGAAGAAATAAACAGGTTTAGTTTGAAAGAATTAGAAGTTTAGTTTCTAGAATAAGGTTGGCGGTCCAGTAAGACTGCCGCCTTAGCCTGATGCCTGATTGGCAGGGCAATCAAACTCTATTCCCGCCCTTGCAAGTGTTGCCGCCACCGCACAGTCTACGCTGTGCCATGTTACCAAGCTCCATGCGTCAGCATGGTGCGCGGGGAAGCTTCATGCCCAGTCTTTGCTTCAGGAAGGGGTCCCAGTATCCCTAATCTACACAGGCCTCCTTAATCTCTGGGTTCACAGAAGGGATTGAACTGCTCTTCAGTTTCTGGTGGCTCTGCTTGCGGAGTACATCCACTCAGTCAAAGTTTAAGAAAGGTCAACTCAGATCTTCAAATGTGTCAGTGTCGGCAGGAGGTCAGGTAGGACTGTAGTGTAATGTGACTGTACTTTTACTTTGACCTCTTACCTGGGACCATTTTGTCTTTGGAAACCCTAACAAGAGCTGTTACCCCAGCTCCCAGGGTCACATGGTCAAAAACCCATCCACCACGATGAGGTGAAGATTCGCAGAGGGAAACCTTTTGCTAAAGCTGCTACAAATTTAGGGACCTTTGTTTTTAACAGGTCAGACCTTATCTTTCCACTTGTAAATGGGAAATATCTAAATGACATTTAAGAGGCAGCTGCCATGAACTTGTGGCTCCATCATTAGAAAGGTTCTCAGAAAGGCAACAGCAGAGTAGTACAGGCTGTGGGGTGTTTGTTGGTCTTTTACAGACTGTCTGGTGACAATCGTTCTGACTCCTCTTGTTTTCTGCCTCCAGTGATCGACCCTGAAGTCGCTCTGAAGGCTTGTCAAGAAGTTCTTCTCAAAGTCAAGCTGCAGAACAGAGAAGTGCCTGAACAGCAGCAGCTTGACAACAAACAACAACAACAGGACGATCAACAACAACAACACCAACACAACACAGACTCAACAGAGCGCACCAGTCCTCAGTGGCACATCAACCCAGACACCAGCTCCATCAAAGAGGAAGATGAGGAGGAGGAGGAGGAGGAGGAGGGTAGCTCTGAGAAAGAGGCACAAAAACAAGGCTGTACCTCCCAGCAAACCACACCTCCTTCTGCTCGGCCGGAGTCGTCATTCCTGCCATCAGCAGCAGCAGCATCGTCATCTAAACAGTCGTGGCTGCTGCGCCTTTTTGAGTCCAAGCTGTTTGACGTTTCCATGGCGATCTCCTACCTGTACAAGTCCAAGGAGCCGGGCGTGCAGGCATACATCGGGAACCGACTCTTCAGCTTCCCCGACAGCGAGGTGGACTTCTACCTGCCACAGCTGCTCAACATGTACGTGCACATGGACACGGAGGTGGGAGACGCCATCAGACCGTACCTGGTGAGTCCTCACACACCTGAGACTATGTATTTAGATCCTGTGAAGATCAGTCAGCTGAAAATTGTATCTTTTCACCACTAATTAGTAGTGCACATAACTAAAAGAAGCTAATGTTCATAGCTACATTACATCCATTTATTTTCTGTCCATCACACCTTTCAACTCCTTGAAGAAGATCACAGTTTGCCCAGAAACTAGGCCCCCAGTCTGGAGTCAGACCCGGGAGGTTAGCTGCTGGTGGTCTGGTCTTCATAGACAACATCAAGCCGCCACGGTTCAGGTGGCAGACTTGAGGCACGCTGACCCTTGTTACAAAAAGTGGCACATGGGGAATATAATGTCACATCTCTGGACCAATCGCATGACTCAGGAAGAGGCGGCAGGACCTTGTCCATAGAGGGTAGTGGTGGGGGTAGTGGTGGATGTTCAGACGAACTCCTGAAACCGACCGGCATACTCTCTGTAGGAGGCAGGTTTGGAGGCTATGAGGAAACCTTCAAAGACCAATGCGTCATCTGTGGTTAAGAGAAGTGACGCCACGGGAGTTGCCTGAAGGTTGGCTAGCAGATGCAGACGGATGTCAACCAACACACACAGCAGGAGCACATGATCCGTCTGTGTTGAACAGCATTATTTAACTGGATGTTACTTAAAGCATCAAGTACTAATAGCCCGCAGCTGTATGCGTTGCTCTTCCTCAGTATGTATAATGCCAACACTCAACTGTCTTCCTTCCTCTCTCTCAGATCCATCGCTGCAGAGGCAGTATCACCTTCTCTCTGCTGACCGCCTGGCTGTTGGGCGCCTACTCCTCCGACATGCACATCTCCACCCAGCGTCACTCCAGGGGCACCAAACTCCGAAAGCTCATCCTGTCCGACGAACTCAAACCTTCTGCTCCTTCGTCCGACGCTCCCAGACCAATGTCGGCTTCTGTCTCCGAAAGCCCGGTGTCGTCGCCGTCCCACCGCCGCTGTCACCGCAGGCACAACAGCAGTAACGTGGAGGCGTCCATCTCCCCAGACAACCCTGCAGCCAGGGAGGAGGAGGTCTTTGTTTCCCCGTCCAGGAGGACCCACCAGAGATCCAAGTCAGACGCCACCACGGCGAGCAGTGGGCCCGGCACCGGCCTCCGACGGACCGGCAGTAACCCAAAGGTGGAGGCGGTTCACGAGGAGGTGAGGAACAGATTCACCGTTTGATTTTAATTCTGTTAGTTGCAAAACCTGAGTCCTGAGTTTTGTTTCTAAGATGGAGGCAGGTGATTCTGTTGACCCACAGAGACCAACAGCTCACTGCACACTTCAGTCCCCAGCTTCAGTTCACTGATATTACACCTCTGAAACATTTACATGAACTCGTTTGAGTGAGTAAAGAGACCGAGCCCAAAAATAAAATTTGTCATTTCCTTTTTGTTCAAATGGATTTGATCAAATTTGTATCGAAAAAGTATCGTTAAGAATTGTTATCAAAGTCGAGGTCTCGGTATCGGTACGATATCAAACATTTCTGAATGATATCCAACCCTGGTCCTGCAGGCCCGTGTGGACTGGACATAGGTGTATGTATGACGCAGTAATCAAAATGTATTTATTGGTCTACTCTGCACAGAACCAGAAGCCGCTTGTGGGCTCGTCTTCGTCCAGGACTGAGCTGTGGTTCAGTCTGTTGTCTGGTGGATTTACAGAGTCCTGAGGTTTCTGCTCCTTCCTGACTGTCAAAGACTAAAACATCTGTAACAGCTGGTGGAAACAGTCTCCATGTGTGTTTGGTCCAGACTCTGTAGCTGTCAGCTGGGCTTGGTCTCAGTGTTGCCACATTCGACAGTTTTCTGTGAAACGTGGGCAGAATAGATTTGAGCAGGTTGTTATAGTTGTGTTTGTTCCAGTGGGAAGGTTTGTACCTGCAGAAGGTTTGGTTGTAAATAAAAACTGGAATGACAAAAAAAAAAGCGTCTCCTTATCGCTGCAGAACTTTATTCAGAATCCTCCTGTTTTAAAGTTTTCTTCAGTAGTGGCCCGTACACCGATGATAAACTGCAGACAGGAGCTTTTCACAGCTGATTCAGCTGCTTCATCTTCCACAATGTCAACAGATGTAAACTAAAAAAGCTAGTTTTATGATGACTGAGCAGGTTCTAGGCTCTGATTGGCTGTTTGTCAGTAAACTGTGGCAGCACTGTGATCTTTGTGTTAGTTGTTGTCTAGTTGGTTTGGTGTAGTTTTTTTTCTCCCAGCAGCTGTAACATGACAGCGAACTGGTTTCCAGTTTGCGACTCTGTAGGATGAGTGGAAAATTATCTATTTGTGAAGAAGGGAGAGAAGAGGTGCAGAGTGTGTTTTCACGTCTGTGCTGTTGTTGAATCGTCGTCACATTCCTGGCCGGCAGCTCGGTCACGTGTGGACCGAGGCTTTCCATTGGCCGGGATCAGTCTCTGAATCTGTTCTCTCCTTTCATCGTCCTGAAAAAGAAAAACAGACAATTAGAGAGATGGAGAGATGAAGGAGAGAGGAGTGTAAACCTCTCCTCTGCTTTCCTCCTCTTCCTGTTCGTTTGGACTCGGCTGATGTTTGATCATATTTTCCACTTGTTTTTATTTTTAAGAGGAGAGAGGGAGAAGCTCCAGTGGAAAAACTAGAACACAGGAGAACAGACTGAGAGGAGACGGAGAGTAAAACTGGAGCTGACCTTTATTTAACGCTGCTCAACTTCTGACCTCCTGATAAAGAAAAGAAAAGCTGCAGGGTTCATTGTTTCCAGCAGAATAAAGAGGAAGCTCAGTTCTGATAACCGTGAATATGAAGCTGAGGAAAGGTTTAAATACTGTGAGATAAGAGGTTTTCATTCAGCCACAGTGTTTGAAGACATTCCTGTCTTCCAAAAAAGACACAGAAAACTTTAACAGCTGCCTGGTAAAGGTCCAGAAACTGAACTGAATCCACAGATACAACAAACAGTGAAACTGCAGCACCCCAGAGTTAACGTCCTGCTTCATCAGCGTCAGGACGAGTCTGTCCGAGTCCGTCTGAGTCTCTTAAAACCACACGAGCTTTTAAAACAGGAGGAAATATCTAAAACTGTAGAAATAAGTGTCTGTAGGTTGAAACAGGAATTAATACGACAGGTTGCTGCAGGAGAAAAAATTGATGTACATTAAAAAAAAAAACTGGCAGGAATATTTTTAACTGAACTGGCTAATAATTTAATAATAATAACGATATAATCATTTTGTTGTATGAGAACATAAGACTTTAATGAGCCAGTGAAAAGCTAAAGATATTTGATAAGAGAGATATGCATCATATTTAACAGGTAGAGTTCTATGTTTTGTTGTTTCAGATAAATGTTGTGCAGTAAAAATGACAGTATTTGCTTTTGGGATGTGGAGGACTTTAGAGCAGCCGGAACTGGAGTAAGAGCTCCTCAACATTGTCCCTGAGTAACATGTTGAACATCATTAACTTCACAAGCAGTTTAGTCGACTGAGGCTGAAGAGTCATCATCAGTGATGAAGATGCTGAGTGAGAAGTAAATATTTCCGTGTTTGGGAATAAACCTGTCGGACAGAAATCAGCAGAGTCCAGACAAACACATCAGACTCTGACTGTTTGTGTTCAATAAACAGTGGAAGCCCTCTGTCGGCCCTTTGTCGGCTCTCTGTCGGCCCTTAGTCGGCTCTCTGTCGGCCCAATGTTGGCCCTTTGTCGGCTCTGTTTAATATTAAACAGCAGTTATTGATGTTTGATACTTGACGTTGGTCTCGGCAGAGTTATCATCCATGTCCAGACTATCATGAAGTCACTGTGATATTCATGATCCCAGAGGATGGGATAAGAGAACCCAGTTCCTCCTGTTTGTGTTTGTCTGCTTTCATCAGTTCCTCTGATCCAGTGACATAAAATCTGACGAGGCCGCAGGTCTGAGGTCATTAAAACCAAAGAGACGTTCTGAGAAAAAGAGAAGAGAGGCACGGAGACAAAACAGGAACTGATATCTGACTCCACCTCGTCCTAGTGGAGGTGGGGGGTTGCCGCGGTGACGGAGGGGAGGATGGACGGGGGGGGGGGTTGGTTTACAGCCAAAGACAACACAGAAATTACACAACAACACAGAGGCAGAGACGATTTCAAATACATATATATATATAAAATCTAAATAACAGTAACAGACCTGACTGTCAGTTCATTCAGCTGTTAACATGTTTTCAGGTGAGATGGAAAAAACTGATCGATTATTGATTTAAAAACGTTTATTTGTGCCAGTGTCATATCAGTGGCACTCTACTGCTTTGAAAGTGTTGAAACTGTTTCATACAAGACAGCAAATTAAAATCATGAAATGATCAAATCTAATCAAATATACTGAAACAAAGGAAATAAAGTGAGATTTCATGTCAAATGTAGATGATGTAGACAAGTGCAGATGATCAGTACTCGGTTCCAGTCTGGAGACAGTTCTTTGTTCTGGTCTCGTCTTTAATTTCTTGGATTTCGTCTTGAAGGTGGACTGGTCTTGAACCAGTCTGCTGTGTTTATGTTCCTCAGCTGCAGCTGAACATTATCTTCTCCGTTGATTGTTTTGTCTGAAAAATGTCAGAAAATTTCCACAAACAGACAAATTCAGTTTATGAAGCATCCAATCTCATTTCAGCAGCTGGAAGCAGCAGGTTACAGACATCCTTTAGCTTTATTAAGCTCTCTGTTTGGGGGGGGGGCTGAACTCTACAGTCTGTCGGAGGTTTCTGTGTTGCAGAGGATTTGGTCCTGCAGAATCTGGGTCATGTAAACATCTTAACCTTCTCTCCCGTCTCTGAAATGTTTCCATGTGTTGGCCGGCAGAGCTGGACCCGACGCCCGCCCTCCCCCTCAGACCTGGTTATGGGTGGGGGAACAGTGAAGGGGAGGGGGAGCGGGAGGCCTCTGGAGGAGGATTTAAACCACATGATGCTGAAACGACCGTGGAGCAGCAGCTCAGTCATGTGACAGAAATAGTTTCTGTGAGCTGCAGCAGAACCAGAAGTCAGAGAGAAAAGACAGAGGAATCAATACAATAAAGAGACTTTACTCAACATGTGAAACACTAAACGTGTCAGTCTGGTCTGGTCTGAGCGCTCATGTGATTAAAACAGTCGAACAGTGAAACAGACGGTCAGACTGTTTCTTTCCTGTGAAGCAGGAGAGTCGATGACTGATTACAGGCTGCAAACAGGCTCAGATCACATGACTCCTAAACGGCTCGTTTTTTGGATTAAGTTTTGTGATTGTGGCACTCGTGGCCTGTATTTACCAAACCAGGAGTCAAAGAGTTCTCCTCACAGTGATCAATAATCAATCAATCATCTATCAACAGACTCACTGCTGTTCCCGGTAACTTTTCCTCTGTTTGTGTGGAATCTGTTTTATATTTGTTTTTGTATTGAAACAATAGAGTGATGGATCAGACTGCAGGGACAGAACAGGGTTATGTTCATTATTGATTCATCTGCAAATGTTTTATTTAAACAGTAGTGAATGTTGTGTTTATTAAGTGATTAATCAATTATCAGAATAGATGCAGACTGATTTTAAATTATTATATTCAATATCACATTATCTTGTTACTGAAGCTGGAGTCAGACTCTGCTGCCTTGCTCAGCAGCACCTCTGACTCTAAACCCACCACCCTGCTGTCTCCGTGGTAACTGGACATGGCAGTTAGTGATGGAGTTGGAGGTGGAGCCGCTCTGCCCTCGGGTGGACAGACTGATGAACTACAGTTCAGCTCTAAGGCTGTAACTCAGATCACTTCTGTGTTTCCTGTTTTTTGTTTCCTCCTCTACAGTCTTATAAACATACAGCAGATCGTTTGCAGATTAGTTTCTCAATTAATCAAATTGTCTGGGGAACAGTGATCAGCTCTTTGTCACTGTTTACCAACGACGTGTCGATTAGTTCAAAACCCAGAGATGTTCAGTTACTGTGACAGAAAACACAAAAAGAGAATAAATCTGCATAAGATGAGCTGAAGCGTGCGGTGCTGCATGTTTGCCGCTGTCCGCCTGCAGTGGATGATGGGAACTGAAACCTGAATTAAAGTGAAGTGTTTTCTGGTTGCTCCTCAGCCGGAGCGTCTCCGTCCTCAGCGGGAGTTTGTCAAGTCTCTGCTGTGCATCGGGAAACGTTTGGCAACGCTGCCCACCAAAGAGCAGAAGACCCAGCGGCTGATCTCAGAGCTGTTGCTGCTCAACCACAAGCTGCCGGCCCGAGTGTGGCTGCCCACCGCCGAACACCAGCACCACGTCTGCAGGATCCCGCACACCCAGGCCGTGGTCCTGAACTCCAAAGACAAGGTAACACCACACTAACCAGGCTGACCAGACACGGGTAACTGGACTTGAGCTGCAGGAGACGCTCAGGACGCAGTGAGACATCTCAGTCTTTAAAGCAGCTCTGTTAAATCTTCTGATTATTTTTTTATTGATTTCTGTTCAACTTATAACTGTGTTCAGCTGCAGATTTACAAATCATAAGAAAAACTGTATTCAGTTCCCTCAAAAACAGGTTTATAAAGTCTTAAATTTTAACTTTCACTGTTAAGAGACAACAGCAGGGTTTCTGTCTACAAGCTGATACTGTTTCTCCGAGAGTCTCCTATCACCATCATAGTAACCCTCCTTCTCCTCCTCCTCCTCCTCTTCCTCCTCCTCAGGCTCCATACATCATCTATGTGGAGGTTTTGGAGTGTGAGAGCTTCGAGACGTCCCATGTTCCTGTCCGGATCCCAGAGACCAGGATCCGCTCGGCTCGTTCTGCAGAGAACCTGGACTGCGGCGGCGCCGCGACTAACACTAACGGGATGACATCAGAGCACAGGGCGGGAAGTTTCTCCACCGTCCCAAACTATGACAATGACGACGAGGCGTGGGCCACAGATGATATTGGACAGCTGCAGGTGGAGGTGAGACATGTGGGTGTGACATCACATCAAACGTGAGAGACACAACGAGAAAAACCAACAGTGTTTCAATGGACACAACGTGTGTGTGTGTGTGTGTGTGTGTGTGTGTGTGTTTTTTGCAGGCGGAGGCTCAGACCAGCAGCAGTGATAACATCAGTCAGTTTTCAGTCGACAGCATCACAAGTCTGGAGAGCAAAGAGCCGGTTTTCATCGCTGCCGGAGACATCAGGTACGTACAGACACACACACACACACACACGTAGTAGAACAGAGGGTTTCACAGTGACTGACATGTTCTGAACATCAGAACCTTCCTAAAGGAGGATCCAGGACTGTTGAGCAGACTGACTCAGTCTCAGCTGGTGTTCCTAATAAATTGACAACTGAGTGTAGACAGGTTTTACATCTCATTTCCATGTTACACTGCCGGGGTCTGTACGAGGTAGAAAAACCAACAATAGAAGAGCCGGTCATCCCAGAACTTCAGACCCATTCAGTTCGACATCAAAACAAGAAATAATAATCCTGTATGTGTCAACAACAGAACTGTGTTAGAACCAGAACACCTAGATCGGGTGTTGTAGTGATTGTCCCTGTCTCTGTTGTGTTTGTGTGTCTTGGTTGTTCAGACGTCGTCTGTCGGAGAACCTCGCTCACACTCCAACTTCATTCAGGAGAGACCCCGAGGACCCATCAGCTGTCGCCCTCAAAGAACCCTGGGAGGAGAAAGTCAGGTGAGGTCATAAACAACGAACACCACAGAAGCCTTTCGCAGCTGCCGTGGCAACGCTCACGGTTTTCTGTCTCTGTCCACAGGCGGATCAGGGAAGGCTCTCCGTACGGTCACCTACCAAACTGGAGGTTACTGTCGGTCATTGTGAAGTGTGGAGACGACCTGAGACAGGAGCTGCTGGCCTATCAGGTCCTCCGACAGCTGCAGGTGAGGACATCGTCATCTGTTGATGTGTGGGGATGAGTAACAAGGGAAACCTGTCCGTCAGTGACGTGCGTGTGTGTGTGTGTCTCTAGTCGATCTGGCAGCAGGAGCGAGTTCCCCTGTGGATCAAACCTTACAAGATCCTGGTGATGTCATCAGACAGCGGGATGATCGAACCCGTCCTCAACGCCGTTTCTCTGCACCAGGTACGCAGGGGATTGTGGGAAACTGATGCAGTTGTTACTATAGAAACCACAGTATTTACTTCTCTTTTCCTTTTATTTACTTTTTAATCAAGAAAATAAATTTTAATAAGAAATGAAACCTGAATCATGTCATGTGTGTTTCTCGTCCTTCAGGTGCGTAAACAGAGTCAGCTGTCTCTGCTCGACTACTTCCTGCAGGAACACGGCAGCTACACCACCGAGGCCTTCCTCACCGCTCAGAGGAACTTCGTCCAGAGCTGCGCCGGGTACAGCCTCATCTGTTACCTGCTGCAAGTCAAAGACAGGTGAGACACACCCACACAGGCTCGTCTGTTACCTGCTGCAGGTCAGAGACAGGTGAGACACACCCAGTGCTCTGGCCACTGACTGGATGGAGCTCTTTCATCAGCTCCACATCACAGATGAGGAGTCTTAACAGTTTCCCCCCGCTTCCAGTCTTTGTGCTAAGCTAGGCTAACGTACCTGCACTCCTCTGTGTGCAGACATAACGGGAACATCCTGCTGGACTCTGAAGGCCACATCATCCACATCGACTTTGGCTTCATCCTCTCCAGCTCTCCTCGAAACCTTGGCTTCGAGACATCCGCCTTCAAACTCACATCAGAGTTCGTCGATGTGAGTAAACTGCTGTTCCCGTTTCCGCCTGAGTTTCACATTTGAAATGAAGTTAACTGCTCTGCTGGAGTCGGGGCCGGAGGATGGTGAGGTGGTGGTGAGGACGCAGCTGATGGATGCTTGTGTTTCAGGTGATGGGCGGCCTGGAGGGAGACATGTTCATCTATTATAAGATGCTGATGCTTCAGGGTTTAATCGCTGCCAGGAAACACATGGAGAAGGTGCTGCAGATAGTGGAGATAATGCAACAAGGTGAGACACACACACACACACACACACACACACACACACACACACACACACACACACACACACACACACAGAGGTTCTCTCTCATTCATATCTCACAGTTGGAGACAGTTGTAGTCTGTAGTATTGATCAGCCATACCAGACGACATGGTTACTGGGTGGTGCTGAGATTTTCCATGCTCCACTCTGCCTCCGGTGTCCTCTGGTTTTTTTACAATCTAAATCCAGTCTCGCTCCATAAACAGGTTGATGGTTGAGGAGACTGTGGGAAGCGAGGTCCTGTTGAGGTGAATCTCAGGCTGCAGCTCCTCGTGCTCATGGTTTCCCCTCTCTCTCTCTCCTCTCTCTCTCCAGGTTCCCACCTTCCCTGCTTCCACGGCTCCAGCACCATCCGCGGCCTGAAGGAGCGTTTCCACATGTCTCTGACCGAGGAGCAGCTGCAGCTGCTGGTGGAGCAGCTGGTGGACGGGTCCATGCGCTCCATCACCACCAAACTCTACGACTCCTTTCAGTACGTCACCAACGGCATCATGTGACCGGAGACGACATTTGAACCACCGACTGAATCCAACAGAGACCTCCTCACACACTTCAAAGCAAACGGAAGCAGAATCTGAACGCGGAGCTGAGGAGATTCACTGGATGTGATTTTCTCGTCCGTCTCCATCTCTGGAGTTACTCATTGATTTTTCTTTTTTCCAAATACAAGATTTCAGTGACGTTCATGTGCAGCTGGGAAACTACAGCACTAAACAGACTGGATCAGGTGGGCTGCAGAGTTCAGGATCCTGGTTTATGGTGTTGCTGCCTCAGACAAATTTCATTCACTAACAGACTTTTACTGGATTTTACTCTGAACCAGCATCAACCAACGTTCAGATCACAGAGGAGCAGGAGGGGAAACATGAAGCTGTCTGTCTGTTTGGATCAGTTCTCAAGGTAAACTGTTGCTGAAATGATGAAAGAGATTAGTACAAATCATGCAGTTACAGTTTTACGTGACCTAACGTGGTCTGATGATCAGATGAAAACATTTCAGTTTCTCTTCTCTTGTATTAATTGGACACTACATCTTGTAAGAACAGGATCTTTTCTGCATCTTTGTTCTAGTTTCCTGCAGATTCATGAACAAAGATCTTTTCATCACATTTATAAAAAAAAACATCTTTGTCACTTTCATCTTTAAGCTCCTGTACATCTGAGGTCTGGTCTCGTTAGACCAGATAAAGCTTGTTTAATTATGAGATCCATTTTGAGATCCATGTTTACTCTGTTCACTTCAGTGAATGAATTGTAGTAGGCACTAATGAACAGACTGCAAGTCAGCCCAGTATTTGAGTCTGTTAAAACTCAAACTGACTGAGATTAAAGTTTGACAGCAGCTTGTTTCAGCTGATCCTCTCCTGCTTTCGTCTGACTGAAACCAAAACATGGTTCCAACTCTACTGCACCACAAACACCAGCAGGACATTCTCCTTCTGATGAACGGAGAACATCTGTGAACATCTGTGATGGTCGGTCTGCTTTTTCTGAAAGAACAGAACGGTGAGAAAAACACTGAATGGAGAAAGCACAACGTGAACTTTGTGTTGTTTACATCTGTTTTCTTTGTTCTCTGGATGAAACTAAACGGTTTAGAAATGATCGGTTTTTATTTGACATGGAGTCTGAGACCAGGTTCTCTCCGTCTGCTGACAGAACTCCCTGACATGTTGAGTTTTACATGTTTTCACCAGATATTTATCACAATCATTAAAACTAATTCTACTTTTGTTTTAGTTTTCGCAAACTTGAATGGGCAACGGCCCAGAGGAAGGGAAAATGTCATCCACAAGTTTAAACTAATGACTGAATCCTTGTTGGCCTACAGTCCATCTCTGGTCTGCAGTCAGCCAACATGAACATCATTTTACTGTCTGGTTTTGAACTCAGCGGGAGTTTGGATCAGCTGATTAGCTTGTTTGATGTGCAGTTGTTGAGATTAAGAAGCTCTCTTAACCCTACTTTTGGTACAAGAAGAATATTTTTGCCAGAGCTAATATTGTTTTATCAGCAGTGTTAGTAAAGCTGAGATTTAACGTAAGGTCACTATTTTAATCAGATGTATTGCGCAGTGCTAATCGCTACCTTCCTACATTTTAAGAGCTTTTAAGACTCATGAATTTTCACGTACATGATGAAACTTGAAGAACTAGAAACATCTGGTGAGAAAAAGAACCAATTAAAATTGATCGTGTCAGATCATCAATTTATTTAATCTGCAGGATTAAGCCAGGTTTAGGAAGGTCCAAGATTAATTTCATTTTGAGTTTCTGTCAAGACACTCGCTACACAACATGCTAATGATGCTAATGAAAACAAAACAGTGTTGAATTCAAAAGGAGCATTTACATGGAAGCAGTGTAACAGAACACACGGTTCCAGATGAACTGGACCAGGACCTGGATAGTTTCCTGTCCAGACTGAGCCATCATCATCATCATCATCGTCATCATCTACAGTCTGCCCATCTGTGTATAACTGAACTGAATTAACATGTCTGATAACAATATGTGTGCATATTTAACAAACACTCAACACAAGATACATTCCTGTGATTAACTCAAGACTAATGAGAGCGACGGACTCTGGTTCTGTGTTTCCGAGGAGATCAATAAGGATCAGTTTCCTGGATATGTGAATGTTTTGTTTTTTTTTAAACCGTCCACTAAAACTGAAACAGACGTGTTCTCAGTATTGACAAGCAAACTCTGCTTGTCTCTACTGTAACGCTTATAATAATGTTACTATTGCTGGTAACACTTTACAGTGGCTTTATTCCAGTGTTTCACACCTGTATGTTTGTACATAGAAATACTGCTTTTCTGCCTGTGAGAAGTCAGTGAGATTATTTCTTCTCTCTAGAGAAAAATTTCAGTTGATCTTAGTAGACAAGCTAGCAAATCCAGCAGGCAGCCGTGTTAGCTAGTGTTACTGAATTTATTGTCACACTAATTAGCTCGCTAACAGTTTGTTCAGGTCTGTAACTCCCTGCATGTTCCTCTGCTGTAAACATAACTGCAGGTACAAACATGAGGTAGATGTGTAAAAGTGAGGGTATAAAAGCAGTGACTAGCTAACAGCTAGCTAATAGCCAGCAGCAAGCCAACAGGCTGCTAGCTAGCTGTTAGCTAGTCACTGCTTTTATACCCCACATTCATAACTAAGTTGTATGTCTGATGGAGGTATAAGTCAAGTTATGGCTAAGAGATAAAACAACATGATGATCGACTGAAGACAGAACAAAAACACACCTGACTAGCAAGCATTTAAGGTCATTGTCGTGCTAATGACTAACAAACAACCACGATTCATTTTCAATTAATCTGCCAATTATTTTCTCAATCAATCAGTTTGATTTGTCTATAAAGTGTTTAAAAGTGATGAAAATTGCTTGTAATCTTGCACATAAGATAACCAATCAGTTTTACTTTTTTCTCTATATTTAATCTCAAGTTTTATGTTTTATTCCTGCGCATTAACGTGTCCTGAACTGCGACAGGAAAAATGGGTTACCAATCAGATAACATGCTGTTTTTCTGTTTGCAACCAGGTGGAAATCTACTTTAGCTTAACTGTAAATACACTATAAAAGCCTTTCACTGGAATAAAGCCAATGTTGTGTGTTACTGTCATACAATTAACATCTGTACAGTTGTTCTGCGGGTTTTTTGTGTTTTGACCACTATTGAAGAGGAAGCACAGATCTGTTCTTGTAAAAGAGGCATCATGTTACCTTCTGCTAACTGTTAGCCTGCTTCTTTATACGCAACCGCGCTTGACAAAGATGCAGCTGTGACTAAAGTTTACCTGATAAGCAACTTAAATAGCAAATACTCTTTCTTGTTATTTCTCTCATTCATTTGTGAATATGTATGTATGTAAATGAACTAAGTTCGTTTTCCTGTGAGAAAAACAGATGCCTTGAGATGTACAGAAGGTACAAACTCTTATCAATGCAACAGGAGGGACGAAGGTGTTCGGGTCCCAAACCTGAGAAGTGCTTTTCTATCAGACGTTTGACCACTTCAGATACTAGTTTCAACACTCAATATCTTCCTCTCCTTCATCAGTCACGATGGAAAAATAATTTATTCATATTTTCAAGTTATTCTGGTCACAATTTGATAACAGAAACATTTAGCTGAATTGACACTTTTCAAATTTAAAGCAGTGTAAAGTGTAATTTTGAATAAGTAATCCTTGTTTGTTGTTTCCCACTGTTAACTATCAAATAAATGCAAAAATGCCTTTTAATATGAATTTAAAATTAAAGCTGCTAAAACTTGTTTTTCTGGGTGAAGTCTGGTGGGTCCGGAGAGGAGGACATTGCGGACTGATGAAACTCGTCCCTGCTACTATAAACCTTTCATTGCCTTCTTTCTTCCTTCCATCAGCTCTGAACACATTCAAGAATTTCAATGTGAAAAACTCTTTAAGTGCATTTATCCTGAATGAAAAAGTCTTCTGTCATTTGTAAAAGATTCCTTGTTGTTTTTAATTTTGTTTGGTACTAAACATTCAGCACTAAATCCATTAAAACAACTTATTTAGTTTGATTCTATCGAGGCATCTATTGAGTTTCTATTGAACTCAAGCAGAACAACATGGGATTTTTAGTTGTCTTGATTTCAATGGAAAATGTTAATGATGCTAACGTCATGTGAGGCAAACTGACGGCTTAATGAAATCTTAATTTTTCACTGTGTGAAGAAAAATAACCAAGATGAAAACACTTTGGATTTCAGTGCGATTTCTGAGGTATTTTCTGTCTTTTTACAAACAGCATCATCTCATAATGAGGCAGAGGATGAGGAGGCAGAGCTGACCGTAATGTAATGTAACACTGATGGAAACTTTTACAGCAGGAAATCTTATTTTGAAAGAGGGAACTTTCTTTCGTTGTTCTCCAGTTTGAAATCCAAAAACTCTACAACCTGGTCTGACATTACTGGTCTCAGGTCTGTATCTTAAGGCAAGCGTCGTTCAGTTTTAAAAAATACAAAAGTCAACACATTTACACAACAACATTTAATAGATCTCTTTTAATTATGACATATACAAAGCTTATAATTACAAGCTCTTTGGTCGTAATTACAAAATCGAATTTACAAGTTAAGTATGAGAATACTCAGAATTATTAGATCTTTATCTTGTAATCATGAGATATAAATATATAAAAATATAATATAAATATAATATAAAATTTACGATTATACCACAAATTCCTCTAAATTACAGTCGATTTGGAAAGAAAAACCTTCAGATTGAAGCTCAAGACGGTTTCTGAAACACATTTGATGAAACACAAAATTTAAATTTCTCTGCACAGCCTTTCCTTCAGCTCCACCCTCCTCTTCCTCCTCACACAGACTCAGAATGTAAACCTGTAAACGTCCACTTAATTTTGTCCGTTAGGATCCTCTCAGTTTGTTTCACAGCAGCTGACGATCAGCTCACAGCTCAGCCGATCAAATCGATCAGTTTGTGTGTCTCCTGAATTTCAATCATGTACAGAACCAACACACACATCGTACAGTTTGTCACGTGTCCTCACTAAACTGCATGGCGACTCATTCAATAAACCTGAAACCTGTTTCCTAACCGCTGTGGAGTTTTGTGTTCTTGGAGCAGGAGCAGTTAATTAGCTGATCAACAGAAAATTAATCAATTAATCGCTTCAGTTACTTCTCAGGCAGTTTTAGTTTCTCAAATGTGAAAAACTCATTTTCTTTATCATAAATACCAGAATAAACAGAACATTGTTGGCAAATGAAACAAAAATGTTTGGATTTAACGTAAAGTATGACTTTTAATTAAAATGTATAGGTGATTTTCTCTAAAGTGCGGGTATGTGTAAGTGTGAGTGAATGGTTGTTTGTCTCTATACGTCAGCCCTGTGATAGACTGCCGACCTGTCCAGGGTGTAACCCCACCCTCGCCCCAAAGTCAGCTGGGATCAGCTCCACCCGATCCCAGCTGACCTAGGGCAAAAAAGGTGAGTATTAGCTTCTGACTGTTTATTGTTTCTCCTTATATTACGCATATTTATTGTTATTGTTATTATCTACTTGATAATTAGCCTCACTAAGCATTATTTATTTTCCTCTTCCTCTGCCTCCTGAGCTGCTGCCCTTCACTGTGGACAGAAAAAGTGAGTACGAGCTTCTGACTGGAAGAAACAGTGATCTAGAATAGACTTTAATATAAAAACAGAGGAAGTAATATTAGCTACACACTTTGTGCTTCACCTGTTTATACATATATCAGTTGTTGTGTAATAATTCATTAAAATTTAATTTGTCTGTCTCACTAACCATTATTTATTGTTCTTCATTTTTACCACCTGAGCTGCTGCTGTAAACTGTGAATGAAAAAGGTGAGTATGAGGTATACTAGCTACATGCCTGTTTATTCATGTAAATATAATGTCACTTATTTAGAAGTTCAAGGACTATTTGTCTTACTAACCATTATTTTTTTCTCTGTCCTACTCCTACTACTCCTCCTACTCTGACACTCGAGCTGCTGTTTACTGAGGACAGAAAAGGTGAGTATGAGCTTCTGACTTAAAGAAAATGAGCTACAATATAACATAATGTAGAGACAGTAATGTATACTAATGTTTATACTAGTGGCATGCCCGTTTATTCATATAATATTACTATTATTAATATTATTTATTGTTCTTCCTTTTTACCACCTGAGCTGCTGCAGTAAACTGTGGACACAAGGACGACTACAAAGGATTTTCCCCACCTGTAACTCTCTCAGAGAAACATTATTTTGTTAAATAAGAGAATAAAAATATTTATGGGGAGTTTAACAGTGTGTGAAATTATTTACCATCCAGCCTTAAATGCCCTTGAATCCCTAAATTTTAGTGTGAGGTACAGCTGTGAATCATCAGCAAAGAAGGGACCAGTTTAAACCAGTTTAGTGCTGTAGACTTAATACCAACCCACTGTTTGAGATGAGTTAAAGGACGCCATGATCCAGAGTGTTGAAGGCAGAACTAGGATCTATTAAAACCAAGATGGCACTTTCCCCAGGGTCAGAGAGTAACTTGTAACCTTGTCATGTCCTGTGAAGGGCTGTGAAGTCAGGTTGAAATGGATTGAGGTTCTCATTAGTATTCAGGATACCATTGGCCAATACTTATTTAAACATTTAGCATGGAGGTTATGATTTTTTACCAAAGGCATGTTTAAAACATGCAAGGACAGCACCATACCAACTAGCATGCTAGGTGGAGAAAACCCAGACAATATATATATATATATATCAATGCGCGTGGCTCAATCGGGAATGGTGTGCTATGACTTTTCTAAGCAATTTGAGTAACCATGGCGACATAAATGGTGATGAAAGGCGAAAAGATTTCCATAGCGAATGAATGGGGAGACGTCTTCAAAACAACCAACTTTGGAGCTCTACTGCTGCGTCATACTTCAACGTAGAAAAATGGTTGAAAAGTTAAACGGGTCACAAGACTTGAGACTCTTTTGGGTTAAATCTGTATTTTTCAACAAATCAGTGAAAGACACCTCAAGGTTTGGTTTTGTTTTTATTGACAATTTGACATCATGACAAATTAAATACAAAGCTGAACAGAGCATGGCAGCGGTCAGACAGTCAGACTGAAGCTCAACAATCACACCAAAGAAAAAAATACCAGATGACAGACAGAAAGTAACGACGATGCCCCGAAACACTCACAGAGGCATGATGGGAAAATTGTAAGTGCTAAATGCACTTCTCTGAAACCAACATCTGATTAGAGAACACTTTTATTTCTCAGTTTAAGATGTTAACCGTTCAACGTGGCTTAAAGAAGTTGTTTAAATCAGGACAAGTGTGTTACTGAATTTTGTTCTGGTTCATTTCAGAGACCAGAACTGGCCCTGGTTTTTGTTAATGCCTTAAGACCAGGACTGTGAATCAGCAGCAGAATTAACATGGATTCAGTCGAAAGAATCAAAAAACTTTTTTTTCTCGTCCAGTTTGTTTCCACAACAGATTTAAATGTACAGAGGCTTGAATCTGCCAGGAAAAGACAAAAATACATGAATACAAAAATTTTGAGACAAATATGAGATAATGAACCAACTGTTTAACTTATAAATATAATTCTGAGATATTAAGTCAGAAATGATCAGATAAATTATATATAGGATAATAAATCAACATTTTCACTTAAGATAAAATTTTCAGATATAAATACAGATAAATCAAAAATAATTCTTATATAGAGTCCAGATTATATTAAGCCAACAATATGTTAAAATTCTGACTTTAAGTATTAAAGAATAATAAGATAGATACATTAAAAATCTTGATGAACAGTCCAAATTTTAAGTCATTAATACATCAACATTTTGACTTAAGACAAAATTACACTCTGATACTGAGTCATAAATATATAAATCAAAATGTGTTTTCAATAAAGAATTAAGTCACAAATCTGAGAACCTTTGTCATTTTTTTTGACTTTGACAAAACTATGAGATACTAAGTTTTAAATGAGCTCATTAGGATGAGATAATAAGAGAAAACTTTATCTGAAATTAAATCATAACTACAGTCAAAATATTTAATCAGAAAGTCCAGATATGAGAAAATCTCGGTTATTACAGCAGGATAGAAATTCTACTTATATTTCTATTAAAAAATATTTAGTTCAAAAGAACTATTCTTGTATCATTTCTTTTATCTGTTTATTTTCCAGGCAGGTTCGAGCTTCCATACAGATCAAAGTTCTGCTCAGTCATAAGCTCTGCAGTCAACAAATGTGACCAGCTGTCAAACCTGTGAGAACAGACGAGCACTGACAGGTGGCAGTGAACACATCATCAGATTTCTGTCCTGACTCGGGCTGTGATCACAAATTTGTCATTTCAATCTTTTTTTCCCCTGTATTTTATATTGGAAATGTTTTTGAGCAGCTGTGACATTTAGTTTTAGATTGTATTGTTGTTTCTGTAGAAAAATGTTTTTATACAAGGTTTAGAAAAAAGTGTTGCTCTAATGTCAGAATGAAAAAGGTTCATGTTGGCACCAACATAAAAGATTACCTGCTGTAATTAAACACGTTTTAATGAAACACAGTTTAAGTAAAACAACAAAATGTCACATTAGATTTTGGTTTATTTATTTTTACGTAACTGTTTATTTTACAGGTAAATTATTAATGAACAACTTCAAAGAAGTAAGATTTAATTTGGTTCTAATTTTAGCGAGAGTTCAGCCTTAAGTTCCAATTAACTGTCAGCAGGAGAGAAATTTAAAATTCAAACTACAACTAAAGGAGGAAAAAAAGTGACAACATCTGAGCTTTGACGATCAGTCTGATTAAAAAACTCAGGTGTTCACACGATACACTGTCCTTCTGATCCACTGCAGCCTGCTCATCAGTTGTTGAGAAATGTTGGATTTGACGCCGTCTCTAGAAAAGTTGTGGATAAAGGTAAAGCCATTTGCTGCCTTACAGTCCCGTTACCACGGTTACAAATCTGAAGTGAAAGAGTCTGACCATGAACAGGGGCTGAAACGTTCCCGGTCTCACTCCAGAAATATATACAGATTCAATTTCTAGTAATAAATGAATAATGACTGACATGGGTTTAAAAAGGAGCTTCCTCTATAACTGGAGCCAGATATCAACAGTTATCAAAATGAAAAACTTTATTGAACTTCAGAGCTTATTTTGTGCATCAATGGAAACAAAATCAGTGGAGGGAGTTTTGTATGGTTGGTCTCTGCTGACGTCCTGGTTTAAAGTTTAGTTTCATCTGCAGTGAGGCTGATTAATGGGAAAGGATCAAGTTCCTCAGAGGAGGTCACATAACAACAACAACAGGAACTTTTTAATGTTAATTGTGGTGGAGCATTCACAGAGGATGGAAAAATTTAAGTCAAAATCATGAAATATAGAAGTGGAATTTGGAGAAAACCTGATTTTCTTTTACTTTTGTAAATGCACTTTCAGGGTTAAAAAGCTCCATAAATTCAAGTTTTCATAAAAGAGAAGAATTACAGAAGACTGTCCGACTCTTCTAAAACATGTAAAATGACTCTGATCCATTATTATTTTCCACTGGTGTGAAAACAAGCAGGAAAAATGAATTAATGCAGAAACGTGGCTTCAGCTGATGAAACTGGTCTCATCAGAAAAAACTGCTCATGTCATTCTGGTCAATAAAAGAGAGATTACAGATCAAATAAACAGGTTTTCACCAATTTTCCTTCATCATCGCTTGGTGCCATTGTCAATGTAACAATTGTGACTTATCACTTCATTAACGGTTAATAAATCATTTATCAAAGCTTTATAGATCAGCTATAAACCATCAATAAGAAAAACTTTTGGGTTGTCAGTTGTGGCTGCTGTTCTTTCTCCAGCAAGAATTTTACTGCATCTTTCCTTCAGGTAAAACGTTCAAATGAATCATTTAACCTCTGACCTTCTGCAAAAAGCCAAAGATAATCGGAGGCAAAATCAGTGTTTTAACCACTGATCAATATTTAAATCCACACACCTCTTGGATTTTTAAAAAGGCCTTTAATTAATGACTGAACTTTTGTAACTGCAGATGACTGGTTCGCTTCTACTGATGGCTAATTAGAAAGTTTAATTTTTGTAATTATTTAATTAAATTAGTAAACCAGAGCTGATCTCATTATGTTGTTGTCTATAAGCACTAAAACAACTGTGAAAATAGCAAAATATTTTAGATTTTCTTTTTGTTGAACTGTTTCAGCTCCACACGCTCTGTAAATGTATCTTATATATGATTTATAACTGATCAATTTAACATCAGTAAATGATTTTATTGACTGTTAATAAAGACATTAGTTATGTGTTACAAACCCTTTATAAAGACTGTTACAGTTGTACCTGTGTGTTCTACCAGACTTCATCTTCATTTCTTACAAATTTACAAACGTTCCCAAACCTGGAATCCCAAACTGTCACCTGTGGAACAAAGCACTGGGGTTTGGCATCGAGCTGACTGTGTGTGTGTGTGTGTGTGTGTGTGTGTGTGTGTGTGTGTGTGTGTGTGTGCTCGTGTGTGCTCGTGTGTGTGTGTTACAGATGATGAAGATGATGAAGAGTCTATAGGAGGATACAGTCTGAGTCCTTGTCTCTCCTCCTGGCTTGCTGTGACCCCTGACCTCTGACCTGCAAACAGGAAGCCAACATGAGTCACCATGTGTTTAAAGGAACAGACCGCTGATTTATCTCAGTGGTTACCAAGGTCTACAAGGTTTGTTCAGTTTTAGATATTATATATTTAAAAGATGGCAATGTTTACATTTACTACAGGGTTCACAGATTTCAAACATAAGCAGAAGCAAAAGATATAAAATCATTGTTTTAAAAACACTGCAGAATGTGAAGTTATGCAACGGGGAGGAAAACAAGAGGTGAGTCACTGAGTGAGCTGTTGGCTATAACCTGAGCCTGTATCTGTTTCCATGTAGTCAATCTGTCTCATTAACAGCAGCTAAATCAGCTGTGATCAGCTCCTGTTTGCACTGTATCATGGACGTACAGACAGCTGTCACTGGATCACTGTGATACTGAAGAAAACTTAGAAACAGGAGGATTCTGAATGAAGTTCTGCCGCCTCTTAGATAATTTTCCAGGACATTTTCAGTGACATAATGAAGCAAGGTCAGATGATCACATCCTCAACTAACAAGTTCCTCTCTGTGGAGTCTCCTTTAAAACACACGTGTTAATCTATTTGAACGAACCTCAACCCTGGGACCGTTCTGTTACAGCGACAGCTTTAACAGTTTATTCATACAGTGAATGGATTCACTTCCAATTCATTCAAATTTGTTTTGAAGAAGTGACAGTGACGGTACAGATGCTACATCATGAACACAGCTCATTTTCATGCTTAATGAATTCAGAGCCACAAACATTAAAAATTAGGTAAAGATGTTTTATGGCAACACTTCAGGTTAATTCAGGAAGCCCATGCTGTCTGATGTGACTCAGGGTGCATTCAAAAAGTCCACAATGTCCAAATGTTAAGAAACAAGACAAAGAGTCTCCAACCACGTTAACAGACCTGTGGGGCTGCAGCTGTGAGTCTCCGTTACCTGCTGTGCTGCCTGCACTGATCCCTGCTGCTGCTGTTGCTGTTGTTGCTGGAGTTGCTGCTGTTGCTGGTATTCCTCCTGTTGGAGCTGACGGGCCAACTCCAGGTCACTGAGGGGCCCCGGGGCCCCGCCCTGCTGCTGCTGCAGGGACACCGCCACCAGGTAGTCCTAACACCAACAACAAGATCAGTCAGTGACTGGTTAAACTAGCTCTGTCAGAGCACCACCTGGTCCATCTGTCTGTCTGTCTCACCTGGTCAATCTGTCTCTGCTGGTCCTGGGCCGTGGGGGGCAGGGTGGAGGTGGGCGGAGCTCTCTGATGACACAGTCTGAAGTCAGAGTCACAGAAGTTCCCATCGCCCTCAACGTTATGAAGAGACTCCCAGACCAGACCCTCCTCCTGCAGGAAACCCTGATCTGTCACCAGCAGGTACAGGTGACCCTGAGAGAGAGGAGAAAACTTTATTAACAACAGGTATTTATTACAAGCAGCCAGTAACAGTTTGTGTCTGTCCACACTAAACGCCTTCAGCATTAAAAATCCATGTTCATGTGTTACCAGGTGGAACACAGTTCACCTGACCCACAGCTAGCCTCCTTGTGTGTGTGTGTGCGCGTGTGTGTGTGTGTGTGTGTGTGTGTGTGTGTGTGTGTGTGTGTGTGTGTGTGTGTGTGTGTGTGTGTGTGTGTGTGTGTGTGTGTGTGTGTCTCCACCTTGTGTTTGATCATGGTACTGAAGTGGTTGTTCCTGAAGAACACAGAGATCTCTCCCTCTTTGGCCGTCGTGTTGAGTTCACACAGACCGTGATACGACAACTGAGTCGCTGTCGACTCCAGAAACTGCTCTGCTACCAGACCTGGAGAAAACACACACACATCATGTAGAGACACCACACACATACACACAGATATGTACACACACAGTGAGAGCTGTTGGTTCACAAACAGGGTGATTCATCAGACCTCTGTGCACAGTCAGTGTCTGCAGAGTGTGCTGTGTGTGTGGTCATGTTTTTATGAGTGTGTTCGTTCATGTTCAAGTGTGTGTTACCTTCACTGACTCGACTGCTGTCAGCAGAGTGTTTGTAGTCGATGATTTTCTCCACCAGCTGGTTGTAACTCAGTTTCCCCACAGCAGCCACCATCTCTGGACTCTGCACGCACATGCACACACACACACACACGAAGGATAATGTGGTCACAATCTCTGCTAATGAATCATTAACAACTAATTACCTACAGTACATTTTCCATCCCTGTTTATAGACTGACAGAGCTCCACTGGTTTCACTGGTTCGTGTTCATCAGTCACAGTAAACATCAGTGTGTTTGTTCTGTTACTCTCATATTCACACAGGTTCACTTACACAACCCGATCACTGCTGTAGAATCATTAACACAACCACAGAACAAGTTTCAGACAGATGGAGGCTCGTTATTCACAAATTCACAAATTCTGTTCACATTCTGACTTTTTCTTCACGAGCTGAACCAAACAGCTCTGACTGCCTCATACTAACAAGTGCTGTTAATGTTATATCTGAACCCGAATCTGATTAAAACACTGTGTGTGTCTCACTGTGTCCCTGGGCGACATGTTCCCTCATCACCATGAACACACACACTGTAGTTTATTCTGACTCAGTCACACACACACACACAGTCCTGCTGCCACAAATTCTCACTACAGCACCAAACATGGATTAATCCACCACTGAAAACAGTCCCCAACAAATGCTTTATATATTTCCTCCTGTTTGTCTGATAAAAACTACAGTTAGCAGCTGTACACTAAACTATATATTTGTGAGGAGTTTTCTTGAGATCTACGTCTTCAGTAGGAACCAATGAGCTCAGAGCTGAGAGACAGAGGAGGGAAGGTGTTGAGAGACGGACTCACACATTGTTGGATTGAGTCTGAACATGAGATTTGATATTTCCATCTCATGCTCCATCATACATACATACAAACAGGGGAAACACACACACACAAGCTGAGTGTTACCTGTGGGTCGACCAACCAGCCGTGGTACAGTGGGATGTCCAGCAGGTCGAACACGATGCACTCAGGTGTGTATTCAAAGTCTGTGACTCCAGTGAAACGTACGTTAACATCCAGACCTGTGGAGAGCTTAGGGAGGACCGCCATGGCATCACTCATGTTCTGAACACACACACACACACACACACACACACACACACGTCAGTCATAGCTCCACAGTTAGTCTTTTGTTCAGTCAGTGTTCATGTTCGACAAACTAATCTCAACTCAAGCTCCTCTGTAGTGAGTTACTTCACTGATGAAGACTATCTGATGCAGTTGAAAGCTCTGGAAAAAGCAGGTAAGGGACTTAAGGACTTAAGGGCTTATTCTGTCAAACTACAACTTACAAGGTCAAAGATAAATTTTCATGTTGCCGTTTGCCTCAGCAGATATGTGTGTGTGTGTGTGTGTGTATGTGTATATGTGTGTGTGTGTGTGTGTGTGTGTGTGTGTGTGTGTGTGTGTGTGTGTTTACCTGTTGGAAGTTGAGCTCCATCCCATCAGCTTTCTCTCTGGGTGTGACAGACAACACACACTCTCCTACAGAACAAACACACACATCACTGCATCACTTTGTTGTTATCATGTGATAAACATCAGACAGTAACAGCTGACAGCTCCTTTTCCATAGCAACACCCGAGCAGGTAAATTACAACAATAAAGTTCATAATAAATAAAACATAAAATCAACACATGCAGCAACAGACACTAAAGGTGGCCCAGACTGTAGGCTGTGGATATTAAAATGTCCGTTTGTGTTTTGAGAGGGTTGACACTGAGGACACAGAAAACCTGTGATCCGGCACATAACAACAACTGAAGAGTTCAGAAATGTATTTTGGAGCAAGAGCTTGTTAAAAACAATCCTATAATTAACAGGTGGTCAATGAAGGAAGGTGAAGATAGGAGTGATGTCATCGCATTTTGTTGAATTTCATGGTTTCTACATGTTGAACCAGCTGCAGAGGGAAAGAGATGGAGCTACAAAGGCTGGTCGGCCTGTCCCTGAGTCAGGATTTCTCACTGATGCTCTGACTCCAGGTGTTGGGGGAATCATCATTGGTATATCAATTTATCAGAGGCTTGTTGCATCATGCTATTACTGATGACGATGTCACTATAGACGAGTCAGACAGGTGAGAGTTTTCCTTTAAATACTGAACCTTTATTCACACTGACTGAGAGCAGAGCAGTCCACCCTTAAAACCCTCTGACAGGTAAAATCAGCAGCTGATTGGATGACACCTCTGTGTGCGTGAGATCTTACCCAGGTGAGCCATCAGGTCCTCGGTGGTGACCACTTCAGTCTGAGCAGGAAGCTTCGCCTGAACGAACACACCACACACACACACACACACACTGAGTACAAATGATACTGAGGTTTAACAAACAAAGAACAGGATTAAAAGTGTCAGCTCACTTAAATCACAGTCATCAGTCATGTGACCACACTGACGTGTACACAGTCTTGGTTTACCTGCAGACTCAGAGCAGGGCTGTTTGGTTCTTCAGAGCTGGTTAAACATTTATCTGGAGCTGTTGTCATAGCAACAAAGTTGGGATCTGGAGCTGGATCAGGACCATGGGTTTTTACAGGGAGCCACATACAAATGATTTTCTACCTTTATTTATAGATTAACTTTATTTAACCAGGTTTTTTTCCTTTCTTTGAATCATAAACAGTTCCCAGTGTAACACAGGTGTGGACAGTAAACAGAGGATCAGAGGCTCTGCAGGTCTGACTACTGCAGTTCGTCCTTCAGACTTACACCACAGAGTCTTTGCCCCCTCACAAAGACACGGATCCAGTATAAAGACTCATATAAACTACATATTAACTGTGTGTCATGGTAGCAGGTGATGCTCTGCAGCGTCCCCCTGCAGAGGCTTTAGGCTTTGTCCTGCTGGATGCCTGTGCCTGTTACAGACCAGATCCTGTTATTTCACCAGGGTTAAAATGTCAGGAACCATGAGTTAAATTACAGTGAAGACACCTGCGACCCCTGCCCACCCCCTCCTTTTCATGTTCATTCTGACTGTATGGGGCTTTAGTCAATAATCACAGTGTAATTAAAGAGACTCAGTGTTGATGATGACGCTCCTGGTGAGTCATCCAGATCTGAGGCCAAACTTAAAATACTTAGAGAGAGAAATAAACCTGATTAGAGATACGAGTGTGTGTGTGTGTGTGTGTTTTACCTTCCAGCGCAGGAAGAGTGTGTTCATGATGGCCAGCAGGGGGCAGGGTCCGTTCTCGCTCTGAGTGATGATGGGGGTCTTCTTCTCCTTCCAGGTGATCCACTTCACCAGGTAGTACGCGGGCATGGACGGCCTGGGCTCCACAGCTGCAGCAGCTGTGGAGGAGGAGGCAGCGGCAGCGGCAGCAGGAGGAACTGCTGCTGCAGCAGCGACAGCGCCCCCTGTGGACAAGATGACGACTACAGTCACACACAGACTTCAACTGTTTCCACAGCTGGTTTTTCCTGGTTCTGATGTGTTGACGGTTAAAATCACTGTTCACTACGATTTCTACTTTATTTACATCATATTTCTATAATACTGTACAGTGTGTACATTGTTAAATATATTGTACATATTCATATTACAGTGTTTATGTGCATTATTATTCAAATCTCACCTGCATATTAATATATATTTCTTAATCTCAACTCTATTTGATTTTATCTTGTTTTAGATTCTTATTAAAAGAGCTCTTTGTTTTTTCTTCACCTGCCTCTGTGCTGCTGTAACATGCATTTTTCAGGGATCAATTTAATCCACAGAAGAAAACAAACTCTTCAGCCCAGAGTCTCTTCATCTTCCTCCGTATGAGTTCTCACTGTTTCAAACACTGACTCGGGCAGCACAGTGTTTTCTGGTTCTCCATCCTGTAATTTCCTCTAATCTCACTGAACCACTCTATTCCTGTGATTCACCTCTGTGAAGGCTCACCTCGCCCTGTTCACCCTGTCACTGTTTTTCTGCTTGAACTAAATCAGACTAAAGCCTGTAAATGAGGAATGAGTCACTGGAGCTGATGAGGACAAGTCACAGCGGAGTTACAGACAGAATTGGAGACGCTCTGTTATTTTTACTCAACACACAAACTCCTGTTACATAGGGAAGAGTGTCGTGGCTTTACTCTGCCTCAGAGTTTGGTATAAAACAGACAAACACAGAATGAGAAGGCCATTCTTGTTCTGGTGGGGGGGAAGTCACTCTCACTTTTACAACATCCGTGTAAAAGTGAGAGCTGGCATTGTGGGACAGATGCCGGCTGTTGTGTTACACCTCTGACTCCTGAACGTCAACATGCTCTAAACTCACAAACTGGGGCGGCATCATATCGACTTCGTTTGGTTCAGTGTAAACAAGTAAAAGCATCATAATGAAGGGTCTTGACAGTAACATACTGGGATCTCTGTGTAAAAAACGCTACAGAGACATTTTTGATTTCAGCCTGAAAAAAGAAAAAAAAAACATGTCTTTCATGTGTAAGATGCATCTTACGCAGAGGATGACAAACCTGTTTTATTTATCTTCATAACATCAACAAGGCTGATGTGTCTGTGAGACGATCAGAAGTGGATATTTATGGATATTAGAGATTGAACTAGAAGTTACTTCTATTCAGTTAATCTAGAAAAATAATCTACGTGACATTAATTTAACAGTTTGTTACTTCAGTCATTTTTCCATGAAAAAAGAAACTGACAAATTCTCTTTATGTCTCAAAAACCACCTGTCCATGTACGTGAACTTCATGTAACAGTGGACTCAGATTACAGTAAATCTTGTTTGTCAAGTGAGGCCATCTTTGCTGCAGCTGCAGTGAACAATCTGTGAGTAACATTGACATCACTGCTGAGTGTGTGTGTTTCTGTGTGTCAACATGTCAGCACATCACTCTCTAGTTCTGCTTCCTCCTTTTACATCAAACGTCCTGGAGACAAACTGAACCAACACATAAAACACTGGCATCACACACACAAATCTTGAGTGTGTGTAGCCAGCAGAGTGTGTGTGTGTGTGTGTGTGTGTGTGTGTGTGTGTGTGTGTGTGTGTGTGTGTGTGTGTGTGTGTGTGTGTGTAACCAACAGTTCACATGAATTTCCCCAAGGGGATAAATAAAGTATCTATATCTATCTATCTAGTTGTTTCCATTACTGATTTACCTGCTGTTGTTTGGGGGAATAAAAACCTGACACTAGCTCTGTCATAATTTTTTTTCTTCTTCAACACCTCAGCATGAACAACGCTGCCTTACAAGATCAAATCTGGTTAAAAAAAAACCATTGGTGGACGTCTCACCTGCAGCTTCTTGCGTCTCATCGCCCTTCAGACTGGGGACCTCGGTGGACAGAGAGCAGCCTTCAGCGCCCAGAGCAGAGTAGGACGAGGACAGGCCGTCTTCCACGTCCAGGGAGTTTCCTGTGGCCGTGACCCCGTCTGACAGCTCCAGACTGGGGATGGAGAAGGACGCCGAGTCTGTGGACTCCCGCTGGTCCTCTGAACCACCTGCCGTGGCTACAGACGAGCTGTCCTCCAGGTCCAGCTCCAGACCTACAGACACAGGACCAGGGACAGATTAGAGAGCAGAGCTCTCTGATGTCCTGAAGACACCAGTAAAACCTTTCATTGACAGATGAACCAGTGAAGATCACAGTCAATGGTCATATCTGAACACTGTGTTAATAAGCAGAGTCTCTGCCTTCTCTCACACTCTGGCCTGCAGCCAATCACATCCCACAACAACAAAGGCTGATTGAAGGCGTCTCCTGTTTCCCTGCTCCAGTCTCCACTTCCTGAATGTTAACCAGCTGGGACACAGCAAAGCCTCTGAACCAACATCTCTAACAGAAACTGAACACCAACACCTTTTTTAAGCTGTATGTACAGTCACCGTGTTAGACCATCAGTTCAAGTCCTCCCCCTTCCTCCCTCCCTTTGAAGAATGGATCGAATTATAAAATTACTTCATGTAAAAATTTAGATTGTCTGAGACATTTCAATGACCGGTGATGATGAGTCACCGTAAACTTTGGTCATGTTAGCTGTTTTTATCACTGACATAAATAAGTCTGTCAGGTTTTACAGTCTGGTCAGGTTATGAGGTCATTGCCACCATCGCTGGTGTCGGCAGGTTCACCAGGTTACCTCTTTGACATCACATAAATATCATTTAATATCTGATTCACCATCACAATGACGTAACTGTGAGAGATATGAATGAAAACCAGCATTTCTTCACATTTTTGTCAGTATTTCCAGACATGTTCTTCATATTATAATCAGCTGATCATTAAACTTGATCTCAACCTGGAGTGAGCAGTCAACAGGAAGTTGATGAATGGATGAATTAACCAGTTAAAAAAAAAAAAGTAATTCATATCAACAGCAACATTTTAACATCTTTTCTTCATCTGTGGAAACAGAACTAAAGGTTTGATAAAAAGACAGTTTGAGCTGTGAGACTTTAAAACAACAGTTACATCTTAACTCTGGTGCTATGAATTCTGGGTGATAGCTGCATGTACATGTATGTCTACTCATCACCACTGCTGAAACATGCTAGTTTACAGTCAGACAGACAGGTTTACTCTGGACCTGGTCTCTCCTCACCTGGGTCTCCTGCTCTGTTCTGTCTTCCCTCAGTCCCAATGTGTCTGAGCAGAGCAGACACAGATTCTTCTTCTGTGGTGACCATGGTTACAGTCCCGTTTTCAGACGACACCAATGAGGACTCCTGTGGTGCGGGCGTGGCCTCCTCTTTGCTGGGTAGAGGACTGTCGGCATCTCCGTTGCTGCTCGGGACCTTGACTCCGGTGTCCGACCCCAACGTTCGGCCCGACCCCTCTGTCACCGTGGTTACTATCAGTTCCTTGGAGACGGTTTCTGTGGTGAGAGTGGGTTCGATCAGCAGTTCTGCAGCTGCCGGTTCCGAGCTGGACTCGGCCATCGTCAGCTGATCGACTGGTTAGCTCTGGAGAAACAAGGTCCGCCGCTTCACAGAGAAAACACCAGCTCCTCATGTACACAAAGACAAAGTGTAGGAGCTGAGACCTTCATCAGAGACAGCCTCAGTGTCAGGACGTCTGCTCTGGTCACAAGTTCACAGACTTCACAGGCGCTGTTTTAAGATGAAGGTGTGACGGAGGAGCTGACAGTGAGCAGCTGAAGCTTTAACATGGCCCTCAGGAGACCCCTATGTGCCGACCACCAGCTCAGAGTTACACAAAACAAACACAGGTCAAATCCTTATGAACAAACAGATGTTGAAGGTAGAAAATATGAAGAGAAAGAACCTGTTTGTGGCTGTAAATGTGACTGTCAGATAAAGTGTGGGGATTATTTCCGTTTGTCGTCAAAACAGTCCCAGACGTCCTGCCACACCTGGGGAGGAGGAGACAAGAGGGATCAAACATTAAAGATGCTGCTGGACAGTAAATCTCATCACCAGCTGACACCACACGGGATGTAGAGCCGCGGTGTTTGATATTTGTGCTTCAAAAAATGAATGAAATTATTGATCGATTATTAAAATGGCAATCAACTAATCATAATGGAATAAAATACCTGTTTAACCATCACACCAGTCACAGAATGGTGGACAGCAAACAATAAGACCTACAAATCTTTAAGTAGTCCAAGAATTTATTTCCCAGTTGGATACAACAAAAACTCTTGGTAATATAACTGTTAATGGCTGTTAAATTTTCATGTCTGAAAGTCAAAAACCACAGAGACACAAAGATCGCATCGTGTTGCCACATTGCATCATTTATAGTGATTTTTATGTCTTTCAGTCTGAGGGTCCTATATAGGAGGTGAAGGGGACCTTTTACTTGTCTGTGCCCAGGGGCTCATTGTCTCACAATCTGCCCATGCCTGGACTCAGATAAACGACAGGAAATCAAACCACTGAAAGAATAAACCCTTAATTTGTCAATTTATGTTGAAATCAACACATTCTGAGTGGAGGAGCCTCCTCACATCTGTCTCCCAACAGTTGGAGCCATCACTGTCACAGAAGGAGAGAAAAACATTATTATCTGTATGTAGTAAAACTGAGGGATACAGACCTGAGCAGCAGAGGCCGAGATCTCCTGACTTTAAGCCCGAAAACACTGAATTCTACATTTCCCATAATGCACCGGAATAATGTCTTTCATTATCACCTGCCTGGTGAACAGCTACATATTTCAAAGTTTGTAACCCAGACTGTATGTTAGAGATCTGTCGTCTCCAAGCCTGATGACACCACTAGGACATTAATATGATTTCAACAGACAGTTCAACTGTACATAGCTACAGTTAAAATGAAATGTCATGTCTTCTGACACTGACAACAAGTCAGACAAAACAGGTGAAACAGGTTATAGCCTCGTGGTGGTACCTTTACATTCACTTCACATAGGATAAGGAGCACCTCTGCTAACAAAAACATCATTAATGTAATAAAACCTTCACTGTGAGAAGACAGGGCAGAGACACTGCTTCACACAGTAAACCCAGTGGTCATCTACCAACTAAACAGATCCCAGATTAACACCTGTCTGTGCCACCTTGGCTAAAACCCTGTGACTCACCTGTAAAAACACATCACGTTAACTGATCTCATGCAGAAGGTCATGAAACTTCAGTACAGATCAATACTCGGGTCCAAACCTTTCTGATACACCTACTGGTGTTTGTGTAGCACCAACAGTGAGCTCAACAGTATGCAGGAGTTTTTCACTTTTAATCAAGTTAAGGCACACCTGCTGCACACCCAGGTGTTATTTTACATCTGTTTACATTTGCTTGGTTTTCGTTTTTCGATTAATGTTTGTTTCTTTAAACCTTGGTCATGTTGTGTCTTTTCTGTGACTTTCAACAAGTCATTTCATAAAGAGGCTTTGGTTCAGGACCCCTGACCCCTGGGACCACGTAGGCCTGCTCAGTGATCCATGTCAGGTACATCAGGACTGACTGCTGTCCTCCAGCTACATACTGGGTGTTGATGCTGTACAGGTGACCTTGCCACACCTGATCTTTTCCTGAGCTGACGCCACAGTTCGGATCTTGTTCTATTACTGTGGGAGTACAGCAGGGAGTAGAAGTGTGAACATGTGGCTGTCAGTTCATCAGAATGTGTGGCTGAGGAGGAGGAGAGTGATTCAGTCCCCGAGGACAGTCAGTACTCAGCCAAACAAGTGCTGAAGTTTCCCGTAACGTTGCTCAGTCAAATAACAAACCACCACTTCACCGTGAAACTACACACTGTAACTGTCTGTACTTACTGCGGATGGTGGTCTCGGGCCTGTCGCACCAGCTCAGCAGAAACCGGACAGAAACCCTGAAACCTGCGACTCACGGCTCCGCGTTAAGCTGCTTTCTGCTACCGGAGCTAGCCAACCCGACGCTAGCTCTCCGAGCTAACTCAGCTAAGTTCGCTGTTGTTCCGCAGAGACACCGAGTCAAGTCCGCCTGGGACCCGGCACTGACCCCCGCATCCACGTCACAACAAACATCCGGCTAAATAAGATGCTGGTTACTGACACGGGGTGCGGACGTCTGATCCGTGCTAACTGTGGCGGGTGAACGGGCGTGCTAGCTGTTTACATTCCTCTCCGCTCACAGGCCCCGCCCACCGGAGGGCACAAACAGCACCCACGTCACATCCGCCCATCTTTAAAAGGCTGTTAGCCGTTAGCCATCGCTGAAGTTTTTTTTTTTTTTTTTTTTTATTACTAATGAAACAGAAGCACTCTGTACTCTGACAGCCCAAACTATAGATATAGTAAAAACAAACACAAGAAGACTCTGGACTTGACAATGCGGTCACTACGATGTTCGTTCCCACGATTGCTTAAATAAAGTTTGCTAGCACACGGCCAGCCTCACTATGTTCGATAATGACCACGCAGAACTCCATTTAAAAATGTGAATTAGATTAATTTACTTACCAGTACAAATACACACACTAATTAACATTTCCACCTCTTCGTTAGGAGACACTTCTAAATCCAACGAACATAGTATCCGAACAGTGTGTGTTTAAAATAAAAATCTACTTTTTACAACGTCTAGTCAGTGCGGCTCGGCTTGCCGCTGGCCGACAGCTGGAGTTAAAAAAAAAAAGAGAACCACTAGTTTAAGAAAGTAAAGTAATTTTAACCGCAGTTCACCCAGGCATACCCAAAAATCACAGCAACAAAACCGAGTAGTAATTTGAATGGTGTTTGGCGTCGGTTCAGGACAATTATATCAGGTGCAGCACTTGACTTTACTTTACACACTGTTTCATGTACCTGTCTTTCCAGGCTTCTTCTGTTTGGTTTAGTTAATAGCTTAATATGAGGAGAACACAGCCACGTCAGAAGCACGCTTCAAATACGTTGGACAAAACTTTTACCTTCCACCTTTTCACTCCGTGTACCTTCTGACACAGCCAGGTGTGTTGGATTTGTTAAACAGAGTAGTTCTGACGGGTGGTGCGGTTAGTTCTGCTGTTACAATTGAGATTGTCGCTTATAAACTGCCCTCTACGGGCAAAACACGGTTAATAAATGTAAGTCGATGATGTTAAGACTCTGGACGTCATAAGCCGAGATGGACCGACAGGGGCGGGGTGGTTAGTTGCTGAATGAAAGGATGATTGGAGTGGTAGTCCCCGCTCACTCGGGACAGGCGGTATTTAAAAACACCGCATCGAGTCTTATGGAGGGACAGTGAGTTAATACACTGGATTATCCTCAACATCTTTTAGCTCAAGTCGATAGAAGGATCTTTATTTTGACGAAAAAATTCACATTTGATTTGTCCATTTAACTTTTGAATTATATCATGTGTAAACACGATCTTCCTAAATTTCAGCCTAAGTGTTATTCTCTACTCTGGTAAATAAATCTGCTGGACTCTAAATTCTTTTATTTGTAATTTCTTCAAATCTTCAATTTCTTCAAATTTTTGAGGCAAAGATTTAAGGCAAAGTATGTGATCTTCCATTATTGATAAAGTAAATGATTGTTGGTCCTTTTTTGATGAATAAAACTACCTGACCGAGGTTTTCTCAGTGTTCATCACTTCACAAACAGAAAAAAATTAAGCAGTTTGATAAAAACACAACTTTACTACAAAAGAGCAACAAATACAAACTGAAACAATCCAGGTCTTTAAACCTGATCCCGACTCAGAGTCCCTCTACAAGACTGGGGCTACTTTTGTGGCCCCTGGAGATCCAGTTGGACGCCCTCAGAGTGAGAGCTGGCTGAGCTCCTCCTTAAAGGAGAGAGAGTGGACATCATGAAGTGAGGGTTTTATTTTGATAGGTGAGACAGGAAGCACTGATAGTTTGAACAGCAGGGTAGTGACAGTGTGGGACAGTGGATGTTACTTTTGTCAGAGCAGCAGTCAGCTGAGTCTGACCTGACTGACAGACACTGGACGACATGGAGGAGCTGCTGGTGACGAGCAGAGCTGCAGCAAAGGTCTGTCAACACAAAGCTGAGTGAGTGTGGGTGTGTGTGTGTGTGTGTTGGTGTAAAGTCTATCTATATCTGTCATCTCATTTTCTTTTCCAGTGTCACTTTGCTTTGAACACCTCATATCTCCAAATCAAGTTTTCTGATGAAATGAAGGATTGAAGATAACTACCCATAATTCCTTCATGGGTTGAGAAAACGATCCCACTTCTTCAGCTAAACGAACCATTACAAACCAGTCAGATAATCAGATACCTGAGGAGGCGGAGCTCTGCTCGTCCTCCTGCCCTTAAACAGGAGCTGGATGAAACCACTTCCTCACTACAGCTGGAGGAAAGTTTCACAAGGTTTGGGGCCCACATTTAAGTGGTCAGCACAAGGACATGGACCCTGAGTCCTTACAAAGACAGATCAGAGTCTGTAGGCATATAGTGAACTGTTGTGTGGCTGTTTGTTTGTGTTGTTGTTGTCGTTGCTCTCTGTTTGTGTGCTGGAAGATCCAGAGTCTGATTCACAGGAAGCAACAAAAAGAATCAAATAATCAGAAAAATATATAATCACACAAGCTTCAAATGGAGATGGCTTTGGAGATGCATAGTTTTCACAGGAACCCCCATTTACCTTTAACTCTTATCAGTATCAGCTCAAGAGAATGATACTGACAGTCTGTCTGTTTGTTAAGAATCTGCTTGTTATATTTAACTTCATAAGAAAAATACTAGTAAATGACGGAGAAAAGTTTATTTCATAAACAGACGTCAGACAGACATTTCCCTTCTGATCAGGGCCAACTGTGTTTAATGGAAATGTCCAGGTGATGAACGTCTTTAGGACATTATGAGGAATGTTCCAGGAAATTATCTGGAAAACACAGAAGCAGTAAAATAAAGTTTTACTTTATTTAGAGTTTTTTTTAATCTAAAAAAAACCCAGTGAACTAAAAACCTGTGAGTGTGACTGTTGTTGTCCAGAAGAGTCAGCTGCTGCTAATGTCGGCTAATGATAAACCTGAGGCGCACTATCAGTGTGAGTGTGTGTGTCCTGCTTGTTGCCATGGCTCCTGTAAATAAACTATATTGATCCACATCAAAAGGACACAACCTCGACAGACACAGAACTGAGGAAACAGTTGCTGCTGAGGCAACAGGTCACCAATAAATATCTTCAGTTATTGATCAGTTTGTATGTATAGATATACAGTAGGTAGGTCACATGATGAAGACCAGCACAGTCTCCAGACCTGAACCCCCATGAAGCTGGTTTAGGATTAACTGGGCAGAGGGTGAAAGCAAAGAAACCTGAAAATAAAAACACTGGTCATCATCATCATTATTATTATTATTATCATTATTATTATTATTATTATATATAGGAATCATTATTATAGGATCTAGTCTGAATCAGCTCCACAGACTCTGCTCTTTGATGTTTGTTGTCAGTTTACTGTGATGACATCACACCCACAGCCCTGAAGATGAGTCAAATATAACAAATAAAAGCTAATGTTCATGTTCATTATTTCTTCATTTGTCAGTTGACTCTGGTTTCCATGAGTTTAAAGGCTGAAATACTCACAGACGTGTTTGTTCACCTGAGGACACAGGACACAGCTAATATTTACAGACACACAGAGAAGCCGATTAAATCAGCAGCTCTGTGTGGAGGCTATCCAATATACCGTCTCATTTACATGTGTTAAAGAGGGGGGTGTTTTGATTGACAGCTGTCTCAGCCTATCACAGTCTGCACATCCAGACTTTTAGGTTGAACGTTGCTGCTCGCTCAGGTGATGAAGATGTCAGATTTTAAATGTGTCAGCTGTCTCACTCTGCACACACCCAGTGAACTTCAGACCTGCAGAACCAAAATCAGATATTCAAATATTTGGATTTGATATGTGACATTGACGTGAACAGCAGATGCACAGCTGCTCTGTTTGGTCTAAAGGTCTGATGATCTGTACGTGAACCGGATCACAGGCTGCAGGGGGACTGAGATCTCCTTTCACATTCTAATGTTTTTGAATTTATCCATTTTATTTAATTTATTCATAGGAAACATTTGAAAACAACAAGTACTGAGCAAAGTGCTTTTACAGAAAAGTTCAATCATAATGAAACAGTGTGACCAATCACAGTGATAATAACTATAATCAATAAAGATGCATTTTTAATATCAGGGAGGAGACTATGGATCACAGATAGACCTCCTCCTCCGTCTTTAAAACCAAGTAAAAGAATCTTAAAGTGAATTTACCAGTGCAGAAACCAGTACAGACTTTGTTTACGTTGTTGTTGTAACCTGAGTGTTTCCATGGTGTTGTACTCTGTTCTCCTCCCAGGTTGGTTTCCATGGCAACCAGCGGGTCCACATCATCCTGGGCAGCGAGTCATGTGACCTGGACTCTGTGGTGTCATCGCTGGCGATGGCCTACTTCCTGTTCAGGGTGAGACGGCTCGATCAGCAGAGAGTCGATGGTTTGATTCCTTAAGTTCAGACATCACTTTTTTCAGTTTTCATAGACAGAACCAGGATTTTGGTGTGGTCTGGAGAGACCTCGTTCTGGATCACAGTCAGACTAACTTCACCATCTTCATAATGAAATTTTATTCCTCTCTCTCTCAGACGTCCTCTGGTCCTCCAGGCTGTTCTCTGGTTCTTCCAGTTCTCAACATTCCCCGGTCGCAATTCCACCTGCGAGCTGACATCCTCCTGTTGCTGAGGGAGGCCGGCATCGCCACAGAGACTCTGGTGTTCAGAGACGAGGTGGACCTGGCTCATCTCCATGGCAACAGGAGGCTGGCACTGACACTGGTGGACCACAACATCCTGCCAAGGTCTGAAATATCAAAACACCATGAAACGTCCAGATCATGTTTATGCTAAACTAAAAAACTATGTCCTGGTCTTCAGTACCGACAGAGACCTGGAGGGGGCGGTAGTTGACGTCATCGACCACCACCAGCTGCAGAGGACCACCTCCTTCGCCTGTCCTGTTACGGTGGAGATGGTGTTGTCCTGTGCCACCTTGGTAACAGAGCGGATCCTGTCCAGAGCCCCGGAGATCCTGGACCAACAGCTAGCTTTACTGCTGTATGGTGAGATTTACAAAGACACTGTGTCTTCACTGCAGGTGTGAATGTGTCTCCTGTGTGTCCTTGTTACAGGTGTGAATGTGTCTCCTGTGTGTCCTTGTTACAGGTGTGATGGTAGTGGATTGTATGAATCTGTCTCCTGTGGCCGGTAAAGTGATGGTTAAAGACAGAAAGATGGTCCACCTGCTGCAGACGCAGTTCCCTGACCTGCCACAGAGGGACGCTCTTCACACCGCTCTGCACACAGCAAAGCTTGACCTGGCAGGTAAACGCACAGGAGGAGCTGTTGGTTGGTTGGAGTTAATATGACAGTAGTGTCTTCACCTACCGTCCTAAAGAAAATAAATCATTTAGCTCTGGACAGTCGTAGCTTAGAAACAGTACCTGGTAACAACCGGTGTGTTAGTGTCTGTGATAAAGTTTACTTGTGATGTTGCTGCTGATGATTTTAACGGCCTTGAAAATGATGTTCTGTTAATTAATGATATTGTGTGTGTGTGTGTGTGTGTGTGTGTGTGTGTGTGTGTGTGTGTGTGTGTGTGTGTGTGTGTGTATGTGTGTGTGTGTGTGTGTGTATGTGTGTCAGGTTTCACCACGGAGCAGATCCTCTTGAACAACATGAAAACGGTTGCCGGTGGCGACCTGAAAGTAGCTGTTAGCATCGTCTACATGAGTCTGGATGTAAATATCAACTCATTAAATTTGAATCATTTGTATATATTTCAAACATTTTAATTGTAATTGATTTATTGATTTTTCTTTTTTTTCCCCACATTCTCTTCTCATCTCTTCTTTTATGTATATGTACAATTTGTTGTATTATAATTTTTTTCATTTTGTTAAGAATACATATTAATTTATTATGTTATTGAAATCCTGGATATACACTTGCATGGAAAATAATTTTAAGAAATGTATCTCACAAAAAGACAATTATATATTATATGTTTTATATCATATTACATAGATCATTATTATGACATACTCTATATTAGACTCATTATTATCTTATTTTTAATTTCAATAATATTTTCAACTTTTGTGCGTCAGTGACGATCAGTTTACCTCCATCGTGTTTTCAGTTACTGTGCAACTAACCAACAGGGGGTGCATCTGAGCCTCTCTGCACTATTTTTGCAGCATGTGTGGTGCATGCTGGGAGTTATAGTTGTGTCTTGTGATGCTCCTCATGTTGTCTCCTCCTCCAGTCGTTCTTTCAGAGGAAGAACCTGCAACAGGAGCTCTGCCACTTCTGCAAATCACACCATTTGGATGCTGTGGTCGCCATGACAATATCCTTCAATGACCAATCAGACGAACCTGTAAGGCAGGTGGCCATCTATGGCTCCAACCTGCTGTACAGGCAGGAGGTAGGTGTGGGAACTGGAATTAGGGCTAGGATTAGATTTAAAATGAGGATTAGTATCAGGATCAGCATTAGATAAGGATTGGAGTTAATTGGAATTAGTTTTAGTTCTAGGGTTAGGATTAGGACCAAATTTAGGAAATTATTAATAATTAATATTAAATAAATTATGAAGATAAGGATTTAATGGTTGCCTAAAGGTCATATTTTCTCATGCTCCGCCCTCCAGATCAACCATGCCCTCTTAGACACTCGTAGCCCTGCTCTCTGCCTGTCTCCTGCCAGCAGCCCATACAAGGACGTCCTGGCTTATCACCAGGGCAACACTCTGGCCTCTCGCAGAAAAGTCCTTCCTGTCCTCACACACCTCCTGTCTGACTGGTGGAACAGAGCAGTGCATTGTGGGGCAGGTGGCGAGGAACTGGAGGACCAACTTGACCAATCAGACGTGATGATCTATGACACGTTTCCTGTCAACAAAGAATCAGCTGACCTCTCTGACGCTGACCGGATGCCCTACGTTTACTCTGCCTGCCATCGCCACCGGCGGCGGCTGCAGCTGGGAGTAGAGGATCATGGGAATGTGGAGGAGGATTACGGCGGCAGGATGATGCCACCGCCACCACCAATGAACAGTTTGGTGGATGGCTGCCCGCTGGATGGAAGCTTCAACCAGGAAGCTTTACTGGAGAAGTTCAGCAGGATGGGAGGGGGGGAGGAGGAGCAGGTGGGGAGGGGAAACTAGAGAGGAGGAAAAGGAGGATGAAGAGGAGAGTGGAAACATGATTGGTTTCTTCATGGACTCGACACAGTATCATTTTCTGAGGGTTGGTACTTGTCCGTCAATCCACCACTTTGATCCAGACTGAAGTACCTCAACAACTATAGGACAGATTGTGACATTCACGGTGCCCAGAGGATAAACCCTCAAGACTTTACCTTTAGCGCCACCAGCTGGTTACAATATTTGGTTTTAGTGAAATATAAATGGTCAAATATTGGCTGGATTTCCATAAAATGTAATCATCAGGTCAAATTTTTAATTAGTCCAATCATTTTCTTGACATTTGTTGGCCAGAATGAATTTTTGAGAATTGTATGGATTATCACTGATAAAAATCATTCATGGTCCTCAGACAATGAAACGTGCTAATGAGGTTTTTACTGAAATGTCTCAACAACCTTTAGATGTATTGCCTTAAAATAGAAATTCAAACATATTCATAGTCTCCAGTGGATGAATCCTGGTGGTTTAGTTACACCAGTCAAGTTCAGTTCAGTTATCCAATTTATTGGGTTGAAATAATTTATTTGTGATCCCTAGAGGATAAAACTTAGTGATTTTGTTGATCCCCTGACTTTTCCTTTAGTGCCATCGGGTGTTTGTGTTTTTAGTTCAGAGTGAAATGTCTATACAACTATGTGAGGGATGTCAATTCATTTATATATAAACATTCATGGTCACAAGAGGATGAACTGTCTTTGGTGAGTCTGTGGATGGATCAGTGCAAAGGTTGTTTCCTTAAAATGGATGATGATGAAAGATGAAGAGGGGGTTATATATTCAAACTAGGAACATCTGAACCCTGTGAACAACTGTGTTTAGATCTGACCAAACTTATCAATTGATCAGCAATTGGTTCTGATTCTGATCACACACCGGAGATGTAGAGGAGGATCTGACAGGAGCACACTTCTGTTATTACAAACCATCTGTTGGTCAAAGACTTGATGATGTACAGATGCTGCAGTTTGAGACTTTCAGCTCCTCTTCAGCTTAGACACATTAATAAAACTCGTAGTTTTAGTTATTTTTAAAGATGTCATCCTGTTCGATCAGTGAAGCTGTCTTTGTTCTGGCCTCAGTAAAACCTCCTCCATCATCAGCAGAGTTCGATGCTGCCTTCAGTCTGAGGTCAGGTCTTATTACACAGTGCTCCCTGCTGACCTTCACTCGCTGACAGCTTTCACATTGATTTAAGATTTCATTACAAGTGTTAAAGCTTCATGTGATCAGACTCCTGCCGACGCCTTAGATTTATTAACCCCTCATCACTGCATCACAGCTGTAGAAAAAACGTGAAAGTGATGTTTAAAAATAATTTCTCAAAGCATCGTATGTTTGATTCATTAAAAAAAGCTTTGGACATACGAACTGTGGGTATAAAGGCATCGGGACACAGTTCAGGGCTGATGGTCTGAGATTGGGTTTTGGTTTCTCTTGAAGGTCTCTGCATCATGTCGCCCTCTGGTGGTTCAAAGCTCAATCATTCTGGTGTGGCTGTAATTTTTACAGTATTTTTCTTTTAACAGAATTTTATGTTTGAAGAATATTGGAGCACATCCGTCTTAAAGCACATTCACATTTTGTAGAGATCAGTTATGACTCTGTTTCACAGCTGATTCAGCTCCTGTCCAGTCTCTGTGGAAACTGAGGAGAGAAACAACACAGAGCTGTCACAGTTAAATGTGGATTTATTCTTAATGTTGTGTTTAAGGTGTTTAAGGGCCACTTTAATGTAAATACACTTAATTATCACTTTCAGAATATTAAAAAATCATGAGTTCAGTTGAGGGTTTGTTTACCTTCCTCATCAATTCAAGTTATCTAGAAACATTGTTAGCTTATGCAGCAGCATACATTGTATTAAAATAAAACTCTCCAGAAATCCTTTGTTTTCTGAAATAAAATAGTAACATGATGGAGGCTGTTATGTGTTTTTTTATACATGACAGGTCTCAGAGGAGTTACATGGTCTTCAACCTAGTGGAAATGATGTAGACAGGTCTGCACTTCAGAAACCTCCTGCACCATTATTGTGTAAGGCAGTTGAGTCATAGTGATCAAACTGAGGATCAGTAATTCAGTGTTTACGGTGACTCATTACATCACAGCTGAAGATATCTTGAGGTTTGACAAAATGACATATCATATGTACCTACGCTCATTTACTGTACATCATGTGGGTTCAGCACACACACCCAAGTTACTTAACCTACTGTAGTTGTAGCACCTATGTGTGACTCTAACTAGCGCCTTGAGGTTTCAGCGACACTGTTTCAGGTTGTGATGCTTCTCAATGATACGACTGGCAGTTAGTTTGGTGACATGTTAAAGCAGAGCAGGTGGGAGAAGGTGAGAGCTTGTCATGTCAGACTTTAGAGAATGAGGATGTGGCTATTTCCTGGGCGCCACACAGACCAGTGTAAACTTGACTCAGAACGAATTTGCAATCATACCAGTAAAAAAAAACACTCGAGGTATATAATTGAGTTAAGTTGCCTTGGAGTTTTCTTAACTTTTTCTTAGAGATGCTGCTGTTCATCCTGTGGAGTCTCTCTGGTGAAAACTTCACATATTGATTCACAGTCAGTGTGAAACACCTGTTGTCATAGCGTTTTTTTGTTCTAGTGAGGCAAAGATGATTTTCCACTCTGGTAGACAGTGAAGTTCTATTCTATTCTATTCTATTAACTGCTTTCACACACCCAAAAACTCTCATAACACAAACACATAAATTGTGTCATTTGTGCAGGTAGGAACATGCACGCTGCAGTTTCCACCCCAGCTCCCCTGCTTGCACAGTCACGGTTGCTGAGGTAACGGGGCCGGGCCCTCGTCGCTGCCACATGCCACACCTCTGCTGTCAGGTTGGCTGAAAGTACACAGAGAGAGAGGGAGAGAGAGAGAGAGAGAGAGAGAGAGAGAGAGAAGAGAGAGAGAGAGAGCGAGAGAGAGAGAGAGAGAGAGAGAGAGAGAGAGAGAGAAAGAGAGAGAGACAGGTGAGGTGGTAGAGAGAGGTAGAGGTGAAGTACAGAGAGAGAGAGAGACAGGTGAGGTGGTAGAGAGAGGTAGAGGTGAAGTACAGAGAGAGAGAGACACAGGTGAGGTGGTAGAGAGAAGTAGAGGTGAAGTACAGAGAGAGACACAGGTGAGGTGGTACAGAGAAGTAGAGGTGAAGTACAGGGAGAGACACAGGTGAGGTGTCAGAGTCCACTCATAAAGTCATAAAAAGCCAGTGTGATATCATCAGGTGAGTCTCCAGGTGTGCAGCAGCAGGTCTCTCAGTGATCTTGGCTGTTTGTCCTGAACCCGTCTCACCTGTCTCACCTGACCTGGCTGCTGCAGAGTGTGAGTGACTTTCCTGTTGACTCCCAGAGAGAACGTCGACCTCCATACCTGCTGTAAGTCTTTATTTTCTCTTTACAGTGTCACGTCATCTTCCTCTGTGCTTTGTCTTTTATTTTGTAGTTTGACCTTCTCCTCCCTGTCTGCGAACTGTGTCTTGAGATAAGAGCTGTTTAAATAAAGTTTTCTTCATCGGTTTGATATGACTCTGCCTAAGTGCAGTTCAAACACTGTGTAGCCGCCTGTCCACTCACAGTGGTTTAGTGTATTTCAGGTCTTTTGTTTATGACACCACCCCTCCTGTATTGTACGGGGGTCAAGAAGTGACTAGTGAGTTTGTTTCATTTTCATCATTTAACAAGTGATACCCAAAAAAGATATCTGGTTAAGTTAAGTTATATGGTTAAGATTAGTCTTCATCAATGTTGGTTATTATATTTATTGAAAGATTAATTAGATTTACATAAAATCTCTAAATTCTTTGAAAAGAATGTTTTGCTCAGTAAATTCAGGTGTGGTTCAGGCAAGCTCCCAGTTTCAAAGCGGAGATGTTGTCAACAGTGTGTTCTTTCTGTTTGGGTGGAGTCAGATTATATATTGTTTTTTCCTGTTTTTTATATAAGAGAAACATATTTATTAAACAATGCTAGGAGTAGTCAAAGGGCTTTTAAGTTTGTTGATTTTGCATCCCTCTGTGGTTTCTTTATGGTTGCATTTCATCTCTTTATAGTTGTATTGTGTTGATAATCAAATGGAGAGTTTTGAAAATTGGTCAATAATCCGACCATGGTTTATACTCTGTTGACAACTAAACCAGCTGACCACAGGCTGTACTGCTGACTGGCTAGCATCAAATTCTGATCATGTATTTATCCTCACCGACAGCAGCAGGAACAACATGGAGTCCAGAGAGGAAGAACAAGAGGACGACACTCTCAGGTCAAAGTTAATTCACTGGATTTTAAAAGAACATAAAGCATTTAGCCACTTAAACTGTTAAATGAGAGGAACTTTTCATTCAGATATTTTCAACAGCTTTATGTCAAAAAATATTTCAGCATCCTCAAAATAATTGTTTCAGAATCAAATAGTGACAGTGTCTCTCCAGAGCCACCATTTTGGAAACACTGTTTGACAGTCATTGAGAGAAAATGTAGAGACCAAAATGCATTGCAGATGGAAATATACTTTAGAAAGTATACCTGTTATTACTATTGGAGTCTTGGAGAAATGGCACAGTGTCGTCTGCAAACAGAGAATATCTACATCAGGTCATGATGGTTAATTATGAATATTGACATTGTCAATGCAGCTAAGATGAATTTTATTCTACTGATCTTGGGGTGATGTTTGGGTGAAGTGAGACAACACTGAATGTTGTTTGAAAACATTTTGATGGCATCACAACAAACAACAGAATGTTTTAGATTTTGTGAGGTTTAGAAGATGTGTCACAGCTGATTATCACAGCTGGAGTCCAGACATGGTAAGTCTAGCTTAGCATAAAGACTGTAAACAGGGAAATAAGGCCCGACTTTATTCAAAATACACAAACAAATTTGTTGAGATTAATATTGATCTTGTCTTGTTACGCTCCGAAAGAATGCAAAGTATTCCTTGAATTAAAAGTACATGATAAAAACATGAGGGAGAATGAGTTCACACAACAGAGGAATTATATAATAAAATTAGAAATTATTCTCCAGTCGAGTCTGTAGGCTGTGACTTTTTCAATATCCATGTGTTTCTGTGAACAGGTCGTTTCTGGCAGCCAAAGACACTGAGAACATCAACACCACCAGCAACAGTATTACGACTAACGCTACTGATACTACAGATACCACAGATACTACTGATACTACAGATACTACAGATACTACAGATACTACTGATACTACAGATACTACAGATACTACAGATACTACTGATACTACTGATACTACAGATACTACAGATACTACTGATACTACTGGTACTATAGATACTACAGATACTACAGATACTACTGATACTACAGATACTACTGATACTACTGATACTATCAATACTACTGATACTACTTCTACTACTATGGCTTACACTACTGATACTACTACTACAACTCAGACTACTGTAGCTGCTTGTAGCACTTCAGCCACCAGAGTGACTCCTGGTGCTCCATCTGGAGATCAAACAGGTACTAAGGTGTTTTCTAAGGACACAGGAAATCATGTATTTATCATTTATTTTATAGTTTTTATGTAGTAACTTTTGTTTTTTGTGTAATTCTGTATGTTAAACTGAATTGTGATTTCTGGGATTTTAATTCTAATATCAATAGAAGTGACTCCTGGGTGGTTTGTTTTTATTGTTCTTTCTAAATTCTGCAGCTTCATGGAGTTTTTTTGCCTCCTCACTGTTTTAAGATAAAATATGAATTGTGTTATACCTTTTCATTTTTTTTAAATTATATTTCAGGTTTTTATCATCAACTTCACTCATGAAATGATCAAAAATTTCCTTATTATCACATAAGTTTTGTAATTAGAGGGTAATTAAAAATCTGTTAATATCAACTTTTTTTCTTTTTTTCAAACTTTAAAGCTCCTGGTCTGATTTAACAAAATTCTCTTATAAGGCACAACACATGTAACCTTGAATTTAAAACTCAAATATACAATTGATTTAACAGTCACATGTAAATAGTTCTTATCTTTGTCCTCAGAGGAGGAGGAAACAGGTAAACTACTGAAAGCAAACAGTGTTGTCATGACAGCGACAGGTGCTGAGTCAGCAGGTAAGAGGAACAGAAATGTGTCTCTGTGTCGGTCAGTTTCTGTCGTCTGTGTTCACTTTTAAATCTTTTTGTTTTTAAGATGAGGAGGAGCTGGAGGAAGAAACCTCCGCTACAGATGAGGAAGGTGAGGAAACTCATCCACCATCATCTCTTCCTCAAATTAAAGTCTGTCTGTCATCATGTCTTACTCTCTTTGTTGCCCAGCAGGTGATGGTGATGAGTATGATTTCCATCCAGTTAATCTTCTTCTTCTCGTTGTTGTTGTTGTCGTTGTTGTACTTCTTCTTCTTCTTCTTCTTGTCTGATTTTCTGTCCGACCTTTCTTTGTGTCATCGGGAGAAGCTGAAGTCGAGTCTCAGCAGAAATCATCGACTCCGACCAGAGGCAGACCAGGTGCGACCAGAACACCGCTAGAAAGTTTTAAACAATGTGTACAACAGTGGGTGGTGAAATGATAATCATAAAATTATACAGAATAAAATATAAAAGGGGGGAGTTATTAATAAGATTTTAAGTATACATTAATAATAATAATAAAAGCATAGAATATCATAAAAACAAAAAAATGAATTAAACTTATTTATACAAATTGTGAAATAATAGTAGTAAAACCTAAAAAAGACCATTATAAAATAAAATTAAAAATTAGAATAATAAAATGAACATAAATGAAAACTAACAATTATTTTCACTATGAAACATTCTTAAATAATTTTATAATTCCTCATATATATGATGTGATGACGTGTTTTTCTGTTTCTTCAGTTTCTTCAGTTTTATCTATGTCAGGTCTCCACATTCAGCCAGAAGCCTGGATTCATTTCCTCCCCAGTTGTAAATATAAGATAATGATATTTATATTTAAGTGATATATTTGACGCTCTGTGTGTTTCCTCTCTTCCTGGCTGCAGATCCTCCCAGCAGTCTGGCCTTGTCAGGGTCACGACCAAGGAAGAAGAAAGTCCTAGTGGCTCCAGCTCTCAGTCTGTCTTTAGGTAATAAGAGACTTGGACCACTGAGCCAACACGAGTTGTTTTAAGTCCAAAGTTCCTTTGTAATGTTGTGTGTCACCAGCATAACTATGCACGGAGACACCATGATGACATCACAGAGGGGTAACATGTATAGACTAAGAAGAATGGCCCTAAAATCAATCCTTGGGGGATCCCACGGGTTATTTTGGAGGTTATGGTTAAAGAATAAGGAGCTCTTTTCTAGAAAGATAAGAACAAAAACAGTTAAAATTGTTCCCAGCAGCCCTCTGTTTTAAAGAACTTGATACCTGAGGGACGGCCTATTCTACTTTTGGACCTTTCAGGACTCCATACCAAACCTTGTATCATCTGAACTCTGATTCTGACACAAAGATTCAGCTCATGATGTTTATCAGATTCAGTTCTGGCTGTATATAATAGTTGTTGATGTTGATGATCCTCAGGTGAGTCAGCCGTCTCTGATGACTTCCCCTCAGCCTTTCTTTCCCCCTCACCTGAAGACGATGATGACACAGGGCTCGACTTTGACTTGGACGCCATGGAAACGCCCTCCGACAGCGAATCGCTGCCTTTCCCCATCTATGACTTGGACCTGGAAGGTAAGGGGTCAGAGGTCATACAGCTGGGGGACATAGCTAACACTTAGATATTCATCTTGGACCTGTTTTGCAGATGACCTGCGGCGTCTCGGCGTGGCGTCCTTCCGCCGCAGACGATCCAGTCCCAGGTCCAGGTCTGACTCCCGGACCTGTTCTGTACCAGGGCTAGACCAAAGCGGCCTGGGAGCTCTGGAGAGGGAGGACATGGTCGACAGTCAGGGTACCAGGTGGCGCTGTTTCTCCACGGGTGACCCTCCCCAGGAGAGCCGGGTCAACATGAGCGTCCTGGATCCGTTTCTCAGGGTGCTGTCCCACGGAGGTACGACAACACTGCAGGTGGAGGAGTTATCTGTGTGGTGCTTTACCTGGTCTCATCCTCATCTGGCCCCTCCCTCATGTTAAACACCTGCTTTACCCTCTCTGTCACCTCTCAGGTTACTATGGAGATGGTTTGAATGACATCATCGTGTTTTCCTCCTGTTACCTGCCACAGAACAGTCTGGAGAATTACCAGTATGTGATGGACAATCTGTTCAGGTAAAACACACGTTAGTCTTTCTGTGAGGACCTGTACTGACAAAATGTCCTCACAGTGATGGTTTAAAATAGAAAGTGATTCTAACAAAAACAGCCTTATAGAATTCTTTAAATTTAATCTTGTCTTTTATTGTTTGTTATGTTTGCTACAACATGAATAAAATTCACTTAGGCCTATTTATTTAATATATCTCAGTACCATGTCTGAAAACATACATATTCAATAAACAACAGAATTTGCTTTTATTTCACACTGACATTTGTTAGCCACTGAGGTAATGATGTGAAAACATACGATAAACTTGACTGTTCCCACACAGAGAATTTAAGCAGCAGAATAAAGCACAGACACAGACAGACAGTGCAGATAGAAGAACTAACCCTACCATAAACATTATGAACAAGTGTTAACTGTATAAAACCACAAACTCAGTCTGCAGCCATGTTAGCTGCTCTGTGAGGCTATGCTCTCAGCTAAATGCAAACAGCAGCATGCTAACATGCTAACAACGATGGTGCTAACATGCTGATGTGCCTGGCTCTCTGTCTACCTGTCTGTCTGCAGGTATGTTGTAGGGACTCTGGATCTGATGGTTGCAGAAAACTATGTGATAGTGTATCTCTGTGCTGGAGGTCAGAAAGACAAACTTCCAGGAATCAGCTGGCTCAGAGAGTGTTACACCACCATCCACAGGAGGTAAGATCACTTCAGTCTGTCTGTACTTTTTAAAAGAAATGTTTCAAATAAATTTGCAGAATGTTGTATATTTGTTGCTAAAATCGTGACAACCATGAAAATTGATTCTCTGACATTTTTACAAGTGTCCAAACATCTGAAAGGCTGAAAGTTTCTAACAAAATCTCAGTGAGGACAATAATAATTACCTGCACAGTAAATAACAGTGAGGTGACATTAAAATCTCTCTAGATAACTGCCAGCTGACATGATGTTAAGATGTCAACTTTTGATGTTGAGATGTCAACTTACATCTGTTAAACTTGTGTAGGTAGAAAATCTGGCTTTGTTTTTTTCAACATCTGTGCTGTTTCAGAGTGTGTCCATCAGGTGGCACCAGAGCTTCACTGTTGAAACACAAATCTTTATTCAGCAGCTTTTGTCTTTCCTTAATGAGTCACTTTAACTGTGATACACAAGCTGAACCCAGTGTCCTGGAAAATAAATTAAAAAATGAAGTCAAAATAAATTTTATTTTTTTAAGATGTTTCTAATGAATTTAATATGAATCAGCTGTGATTTGCTTTTTGTCTTGTTGATTCAAGTTTTTCTCTCTTTCACTCAATCACTCTGTTTCACCGTCACTGTTTCACTTAGTAGGTCTTTCTCAAGCTACACTGAATTTCATTTATTTATGTTTTCTTCCTTTTTTTACAGGATAATATGCATCAACAAACAGAACTGTAGGTTGAGACTAATGTCAGTTAGTGACCTTTGAGCTTGATAATTCAGTCTCAGTACAGTCAGGTACAGACAGGTACAGATGTGTTGGAGCCGAGCTCTTGCTGTCTCAGCTGTCCTCTTGGCTGAGTTTTGACCCCAAGAGTTAAACTCCTAATTTCAAACTCCAGCGTACATGGATATGAACTTGGTGGACTTCACACTGAGACAGACCCAGTATCTGTGAAGCCTCTGTGTGTAATGATTTCTGCCTATAGCGCCTCCAACTGGTTTGAGCAGAGACCAAGGAGGAGCATAAATATACCTGTCTGTTTGTGCAGATTGAGGAAGAACCTGAAGGGTTTCTACGTGGTTCATCCCACCTGGTACATCAAAGCCCTCATCACTATCATCAAACCCTTCATCAGGTCTGTTCATTACTCACTCTGTCTGCTACAGTAACCAAAGTGAATAAAACGTAAATAAAAAGTAAATAAACCAACTAACTAAACTACCACTTAACTAAACTAACAAAATAAACCAAGCCAATAAACCAACAAACCAAACTGACAAACTAAGCTAGCTAACTTATACCAACTTAGTAAACCAGCTAACTATACCAACTAACTAAACCAACCAAACCAACAAACCAAACCAACTAAATTAACCAAATCAACTAATTAAACCAATTAACCAAAGCAACCAACTAAGCCAGCTAACTTCAACCAACAAACCAAACCAACTAGCTAAACTTTCTCACTTAAACCAACTTACTAACTAAATCAACAAACCAAACCAACTAACTTAACTAGCTAACCAAGTATGTAAACCAGCTAACTAAACCAACTAACTAAACCAAAAAACCAAACCTACTAAATAACCAAACTAACCAACTAAACCAGCTTAGTTAGCTGGTTAGTTTGTAACAAAGTTAGTAACCATGAAATGAACCCGACTAACTAAATTAACAAACTAAAACCAAACCAAATTTTCTTTTCTCCTCCACCTCCTCTTCTTCTTCTTCTTCTTCTTCTTCCTCTTCCTCCTCCTCCTCCTCATCCTCATCCTCTTCCTCAGCTCTAAGTTCAGCAGGAAGCTCCAGTTTGCCGACAGCCTTGAGGATCTGTCTCATTTCATCCCCACTGAGCATGTGCAGATCCCCGACTGTGTCAGACAGTGAGTGATTACTTTCTTCATCTTTACCTGTGTTTAACCAGGACGACATCGCGACACCTGAATCTCTTTTACTGAGACAGTTGTGGCTGAATGTCGGCAACATATGACACAAAGTAACACAGGAAGAAAAGGATCTGATTCACATGTTAAACAGAAGCGTTTTAAATTCTGTGTGAAAGATTAAGGCTGCACATTTCTGCTACATCTTCAGACACTGGTTAATTGGTCCCTCACATTTACAGGGAATTTAATCTTTTAATCGTTTAAAGGGACGCTTTTGTCAGTTTTACATTTCAGTTGTTATTGATTTTAATTTGTGAAGGTAAAAGTAGTAAATCCAGAATCTGCAGCATATGGACACTTAAATGAGCCTTTCATCAAAGAAAACATTACACAGCAATTGTGGCGTGTGCAAACTAAGTCCATAATTCAACAACATAATTTCTGTTGCTTACAGGTATGACCAGAACCTGTCCAGGTGAAACTGCTGGAGGATTTTATCCTTCAGAAACACACAAATCACTAGGAGTTTTTTTCCTGTTAGATTTTATACATGTATCTACCTGCTCCTCTCCACATCCAGCAGGTGGAGATCCAGCGTCTTGCTCAGCGACAACTAGTCAGTGTTTAAGGATTAATGCTGCTGTGTCAGTGAGCAGACCTCTGCAGAGCAGCAAACAAACAGAGCAACAACACAAACTCAGTGTTCTCAGTGCTGCTGCTTCCCTTCACCCACAGGTCATCTTGAAAACAGTGTTACAGCTCTTCAAGTTTCAAACTGAAGTAATCCTGCTCCCTGCAGCTCCAAAGTAATTACAGAAAACACATTTTTATTCATTTCATTTATATACATTAAAAAATACACATTTCTGTAAAAATTTTTTATTATTTTTTTATCTAAAAAGTTTTATTTTCAAATAATTTGTCCAGGCGGATTACAATTTTGTTTTGACAAATTAAAACCACATTGGTGTCAGGTATCATATTGTGTGCAAAAATTATTATCGTAGCATTGTCTAACCTGTGAGAACAGGATAAAAATGTGCATCTTTACAACTGAACAAGCTGTACAAACTTTATTCTGCAGGTTCATTCCTTTGTTCTTGGACACGTCAGTTTTCATTTCACATTTTACACATTAAGTTCAACTCATACAAAAGGTGAAAAGTGTTTTTCCTGTTGAATAAATGAATAGCGTAGAAGATTTTGAATCAGAACTCTTTTAACCGAAGTTTTAGAAGCTGGTGAAGGTTTTTTTTCATGCTGCACTTTCAGTATTTTCAGCAGGAGTTGAAGCAGCAGCCCTGCTGGGGTTAGTGCCTTGCTTCAGAACTGTTGAATTAAGAATTGTTTGTTAATGTTTTTGGTGCTGAATAAAATCACGATGGTTCATTATTTTGATCTTTATCTGGTGACTTGTGTTTTCTGTGTGAAACGACTTCATGTCAGAGTCAAACTTAGATTGATTGGTTCCAGTTCCTCCTTCAGGGTTGAAAGTCTCAGTTCTTACTGAGAAACACTTGACACAGCAAAAATGCTGAAGTAAGGAATGGAGTTTGGTTTCCATGGAGACGTGATCTTACATGACCTTTAAACCGATTGAGGAGAAAGGTAAACAGACCTGTCTCATGAACAGGTGATAGGTGGCTGGGTGTTGAAAGGTGCCTCCAGTGCCAGGCACAGGAAACTCACTCAGTCGTGTGAATGTGAGTGATGCTACCCAGCAGGTCCAGTGGTCCACAGCAGGACCGCAACAAAAACATCCTGTCAGGTCTCATTTCTGTCCAGGTGTGTACAGGGAAGGAGATGGACCAGGAACCAAAAGGGAGATCGTGGTCACAAATTTAAATGAAAGTACATATGATGATGAATAAAGTAAACGAACAAAAGAGTCGAGGTGCTGTGGAAAAAGCGTCTGTGGGTTTTTGTTCATAGTTGGACCCGGTGTGCCCAGCTATAAAGCCACTCACCTGAGGGAGCTTCCCTCTCCCCAGCAGACCAGATGACAACTGTGGCCTTTCTTTTCCTTAATTAATATTTTCTTGTCAATTTGGTTGAGCTAAATCTTCTTTTTGTAAACGAATGACTTGTCTTTAGCTGCTAACTTGTGTTGTCTCCCTTTCTTCTCACAGTTGTTGAGCCAGTGTCTGCCTGTAAACCACGGACTGAGACTCACAGATTACAGCACACACACTTACTGCCTCCATCATAGTACACACAAAGATGGTACTGCTGACTTGAGCCAGCCAATAAGAGTTCAGAACAGACCAGTTACCTGTCTCGTCAGGGTACCTGTGAAGACATTTATTATGTGTGTGTGACAGGGAACACTGTGGTCTTTATACAGAACAGGAAAACAGCCGTGTGTGTGTGTGTGTGTGGGGGGGGGGGGACTGGTCTGTATAAACCCAGTGGCTGGTCAGGAAATGGAGCCTGACAGGAAGGAAGTGAGGTAGCTGCTAAGGAAACTCAACAAACAGGAACACAGACCAGTTTGTGTGTGTGTGTGTGTGTGTGTGTGTGTGTGTGTGTGTGTGTGCTCACCTTAGCTTGTTTTTCAGCCTGCCTGTTGAGGGTCTGATTTACATGCAGTATGTGGTTGCCAGTTAGTGTAAATGTGTGTGTGGTTCTGCCATGGTCATTATGTCTGTGTGGTGGCACGAGGGGATGGGGGGGGGGGATCTCTGTGGTGGCTTTGAATCTCTCTATCTGAATAAATGTATCACTGAACTTTAATTAAAAGCTGCACTTCAGTGATATGAGCCTGTCAGCTGTGTGTTGCTGTTTTTTGCATGTAGCTACCACAACAACAAGAAACGGACCATCTGACACCACAGTAACTGTGCAGTCTGACAGGCCTTAACAGCACTTCATAGTAACTTTATAGTAGCTATTCTTGAAACATTACAACTTTATTCTTGACATTGTTAACACCATGATTCAGAAAAACCAAGTCCATGGACCTCGGTTTTGGACCTGAAACTGGTCTGAGTCATCTGACTGTTCCTTTAACACCTCAGTCTCAGTCAGGAGACAGAAATTAGAGTGTGTGTGTGTGTGTGTGTGTGTGTGTGTGTGTGTGTGTGTGTGTGTGTGTGTGTGACTTGTTATCATGTGATGCTGTTCAGCTGTTGACAGTTGATGTCACTTCACCAAACCAGTATTGTCATGTTGTGTCTATAAGAGGTGACGTGACCCTAAACACCTCTGACCCACCCACACACACACACACACACACACACACACACATACACACACACACACACACACACACTTCTTTATCTTTGTGTACAAGTTGTATTCTGATGGTAAAAGCTGTTTTCAGTTTTTAAGTCCCTGCTCCTTATATATGAATATGAAATATGAAATCACGTTGTAGGTGAGGGAAAATAGTTAATAAACAGACAATATTTTCTGAAATTTTGTAGAACAGCATAAAATCAGATATTTGAAGACGTCAGCTCAGGCTCTGCTGAGTTGCCTTGGGCACTTCTCCATTTTTTTGACTGTAAAGTAAATCAACACCCTGCCAACTTCTTCACTGAAGGCCTGTTAGTCCACTTTTCATACACTGCATTCAAATGGGGCTCAGTGATTTGAAATCACTTTGACCTGATACCATTGATATTCATCCGTTTCCTAGAAAGACAAAATAAGACACTTAATTATTGATCAGACAGAAAAGGTTCCACTGTTTAATTTTGGACAGAGCCAGGCTAGCTGTTTCCACCTGCTTCCAGTCTTTATGCTAAGCTAAGCTAACCACATCATGAGTCCTGCTCCAAGACAGAATCAGACCATCTCACAAAGCTGTCCCTATGGACTAACCTCATTAACAGTAAGTTGGTGTCTCAGATGTTCTGGTTAAGGACCAAACTGTTTTTCTGCAGAGTGTTCTTCAGCTCAGTTTCCATTCAGTTGTCATCCTGTTAGCATGTTAGCGTGACGTTAGCATGTAGTGATCGTCCAGTGACTCATCTACTGTGACTTCTGTTTATACAGTTGTCTTTAAAATAGAAACACACACAGTAATGTTTCCATCACTTCAGGGGACATTACATTGACATTCTAACCATAACTTGACTTGAAGTCCCCACACAGTACGTCCCCACAACATTAGTAATGCAAGTACACACACACACACACACACACACACGCACAAGCCACTGTGTGTTTCCCACACACTCAGTTTAAAACAAGCCACCAGCAACCACGTCTTTCATTTTTCCACTTGTGTTGTTTCCTCCCCCTCAGTGTGCTAGACTGCGGTTTCCATGGCAACACACACACACACACACACACACACACACACACACACACACACACACACATCATTATTTCAGCTCTGTGTTCTCTGTGCGGCTGCTTGTAATGACACATGATGTTGAAGTGTAGGAGGGGAAACACTGAACATGTGAACCTGGTCATATATGAACATTTACGTTTCTCTCACATACACCCACAGTGTGATATAAGAAGGTCTAATGCACTGTTAGTTTTGTCACAGCTGTCCCCTGATGATCACATTATGTTTTGACTTCCTGGCTGATTAAAGGTGTATTCGTTATCGATGAGACATTTAGTAATTTAGTAATAACACCACAAAGAAAACATTGCAACTTTATTCTGGAAACATTATGACTTTATTCTTAAAACACAGTGACTTTATTCTCATAATATCTAATATCTAATCTAATATCTAATATCACATCTTTATTCTTGAGCTATTTGGACGATGCTGACAAATCACTGATAACATTCACCAGCTCAGCACTGAGTCCATTTTGAAGTAAACCGATCATGAATACAGACACATTTGGAGAGAAAACAGCAGATTTATTCAGCCGCCATGAGACTCATGTTACATAACAAGGAGGAATAAAGTCAATCTGTATTTCTGTTTCTGCAGAGGAGGAGGTTACATAACAAAACCAAACACAAGACAAACACCGGAAAATACAAAAATCACACATTCATATCACTTTAAGATTTTGTGTGAACACTGTGTGTATTTCATGAAAAAGAGATTTTAAGGTCATGTGAAAAACAATAGATTGAGTAATGAGATTAATTTGTTATGACTTTAAAGACACTTTGAAACATCCAAAAATTCTTTCCAACTTGCTGCTTTTTGAAAAAATCAAACATGGAGCTCGGAGGAAATTTGGGATTTGGATGCGTTAAAACAAAATCTGAAAGTGTAGCTTTAATCTCAGACATCTGATGTTTTCTCAAAAAATATTTACAGAAAACATTTACAGAAAGTCCTGAAAGACGATCTTTTTCCTTCATGTTCACCAAATGTCATGCTCACAAAAGTAATTATCTTAACACAAGTTTATTATTTCTTGATCACAAAACTTCTTGTTAATACAAGTTTTTATAACTCGTGTTCATAGATCTAACATCCAATATCTTGTGCACATGAGATAAAAATATCATCTTCCTGGATATCAGGACTAAGTCTTTAATCTCCAACTCAAACTTTTTCTCAGGATGTTTCTTTCACATGGCCGTGATGATTTTCATGAGCTAATGTTAATGCAAACGAAAACCATTAGTATTACTCTTCTTCAAATAAACTAAAACAGGATCAGGTTCATGTTCATGGTGTTTCTCAAATCTCGCCTGTTGGCAGATTGTCATTAAAACAGCAGGTTTCTTATATCACGATTTTACATCCGTTTTCATTCTCAGACCACGACAACCTCCACAGCTGAGTGTGATAGGCTGAGACACCTGTCAATCACACAATCATGTCCACAAACACACATCTGAGGCTGAATTTCTTCTTAACGAAAGAATAATTTATATTGTAGCCTCTGGTGGACATTAGAGGAACTGCAGCTCCAGAGACTCAACACCTCGGCTGTGGAGGTTGTTGTTTTGTTCATATCAGACTAAAGTCTATTTAAAGTAAGAAGAATATTCGCTAAAAATAAAACATCTTGGTTAACTTTTTATTTGTTGCTCCTGCAGGTGTGGACAACAGGAGCCACAAAGGCTCAAGGTGCCAAAAGTCACAGAAATGCTTTGTGATCAATACTCTTAATAGATGCATTCATACAATACTAACTACGCAACACATATTCAGAAAGAGAGTGTACAATAATACAAACAGTTCAATAAAATCAACAACATCTTTGATAAACAACAACAAAAAGGCATAACAATAAATTGAGAGTGAGAAAGCTTGATTTCACCAAGACAGATAAACACAGAGAGGATTAGAGATTTCAGATCCAGGTATTTGTCACCAGATCTTCTCAAAATCTTGATGTGTTATTTCTGCCTGAAGGCGAGACTGAGGGGAAAGTGCTCTCCAGTGTTGCTGAACTGTAAGCCAGGAGGAGGGGAATCCCATGTGGAGGGGACGAAGGGGAAGGGGAAGAGGAAGAGAGGAACTATGGTTGCGATAAACAGAAAGGAGCCAGACTTTGGCAGCCGACAACTGATCCTGAGAACAGGTCTGAGTTTCCAAGAATCAGAGGAGAAACGACTCAAGAAGTCGACAACAACCTGAAGGCTGAAGAGAGACTGTGCTGACACCTGACTCTTCAGGTTGTTTGGATCTGAAGCTACAGACTCAGTGTTACACAATCAAACAATAGGAATTTACTGAGCTGTAAAGTCCCTGATATTCTCTACACAGTTCATGCATTAGGTTGTTGGTGTGTACAGTACCAATGGTCACAGAGTTCAGACCTCACGAGTAGATAATGAATTTTCAGCCCTGTAGCCAGACCAGAGTGTATCTGAAGGAGGATCCTGGACGAGCCTTCCTCCAACACTGACGTTCTTTAAATTCTCACTCTCTACAGTATTTGCACACGTCAGCTACAGGATGGGGAGAGGTTGTGTGTTTGGCAGATGAATTATGGCCAAACTATGGTTAGAGTTAACAAAATGAAACACTTGGTTGAAGGTTAGAGAAAGACCAGGGTTACAGTCTGTACCTGCAGGTCAGTGACGGGACAGGTGGTCTGAGCAAGACCAGGGTCTGACAGAACAGCTACAGATCTCTACACCGGCCGAGTGATATCTCGCATTTTTTACATACTCTACAGAGAAGGATTGCACTTGAACACATCATGTGTGACGGCGATGGATGACTGTAGTGCCTGTGTAGGCGGGGTGTCAGATTCACCTTCAGATTGGTTGGTTCGGTGACCCCAGTGGTGACTGGTAGTAACTGCAGCTGTGTTTTAATACCACAGGTCCCTGAGTTCGACTACTAGGAGGCAGTGAACACACCTGTGGCTGCTACAGAGCAGCCAAACAACCTGATTCAAAACGCTCACTCAGTTTCATGTCAGAGGCTGTTTAGCATCTATTGCTGTTGTTTAGATTTTCAGCTGATCTGAGCGTCTGACACATGATGTAAAGTCAGCATTTCAGCTGGCTGTGGTACAGCTCCTACACAGTGCAATTAACTGACAGCTCAGGTTTGACTGTGGAGGAGTAACGGAGAAAATCTTTTCTCGACAGAGGAGTTTGGAGAGGAAGTGTAAATCCTCCCACGCTCTAAGGATTCCAGTGAACACACCACACTGTCCATGAGGAAACTGAGATGAGCAGCAGCAGCTCAGATTTTCCTTAAATAGATGTTTTGGCCTCTTCAGTCTCGGCCACAGGGAGGAAGTAGCCGGTCACCACGGCGAGGGGAACACCGTGACTCAGTGGTTTCCACAGCAACCGCCCAGGGTAGTGCAGACAACAGCTGAGTGGGAAACCCTCCGCAGTCTGAGTGTACACAGATGTCATCACATCTTTATGCTTCTTTTCCTTTTGTGTTTGTTTTGCGACAAGCACAGTTATTGTGATGATTAAGCACTGTTAACAATCAATCAATACTGAAATACTTCCTTGAATTGTGGTATTAGTTTTATCCAGCCAAATCATATTTCTATATCAAATGACCAGACTCAGATGGTTTAAGCTTTAAAGAAATAAAGACCCTCCAGTTGATATAAAATGTGTTGTTTTGTCAGTAGAAGTCTGGTGCAGGGCCAAAGCTACTGAAGACACCGAGATCATGTTCTCAGTGATAAGTCTGTGGAGGTTTAATGCTATAGAGAGGATTTTACATTCTACAGTTTTAAAGGCTGATCCTGTTTAGGTTGAAAATCTTTAATGTGAAATAAATTAACTTACAGTTACAGTTAGTTCGTTAGTGAGTTAGTGAGAGTAGAGAAGGCTTTGAAACATGTAGACCATGTTGTATCATGTTGGGAGATATAATTGTCGGAAAATGCAATCGAACATTTACACGAATAAATAATGTGTGAAAATTTGTGACTTATTTTGAAATACTAAGAAACTTGTACAGAGGTTGGTTGGTGGGTTGGGTTCTGCCGGGGGAATTTGTAGTTTTGACCTCAAGGATTTTAAATCCTGGACCTTGACTGAAGTTACTCTTTGATTTTCAGAAAGTGCTGGAATTCAATTGTTTTTATGGTCAAGCATTGAGTCGAGTTTTACATCAGTTTTTTTGTCCAAATGGCAGCTGAACTTAAAACTTGTTTCTAGAGTTCATGAACCTTTTCTTTCCACAAAGCTTAGAAAAAGTTTGTTTTCAGTTCATAAAACTCTCACTGCTTCAGACATGAGTTCTTTTTCATCAAGAATATATTAAACACATTTAATCTATGAGTCTTATAAATCAACTCCATCCACATATCAACCAAACTGTCAACCTGAACATGAACCCTGTCCCGAAGGTTTACAACCTGCAGACGTCTGCCTGTCGGCTCCACCATTTTGCATCCCTGCTTCAGTTAGTTGGGACATTTAAGCAGGAGAGATGCAAAATAGAAAACAGTGAAATCAGGAGCATACAGCAAATCACTAGAAACAGCAGAAAATTAAAAACAATGTCATTGTTAAAATACTGAAAATATAAAGCAGTTAAATACTAATTGATCTTTTCACCAGATGCAGCCAAAGATGTTTTAAACAAAAGGTTTAAAATGTTGTTGTGGACCCACAATGAAAACACTTATGTCGTCTTGGGGACTCACAATGTGTCAACTGAACATCCAACTGGCCCCAAACTGCAGTCTAAGTAGTCTGACATAAAACCTTTGCACAAAGCAGACACAAAGAACTTTAACAAAAATGACTCATTTTCTAAAGGAAGTTTTGAACTGTGTGTCCAGGCCCCTCTGAGAGTTCAGTGAAGTCAACGTTTATATTTAAACTGGAGGATTATTAAGACCATATAAATTCTCTCTCTCTCTCTCTCTCTCTCTCTCTCTCTCTCTCACTCTCACTCTCTCTCTCTCACACACACACACACACACACACACACACACACACACACACACACACACACACACACACACACACAGACCAGTCCAGTGTAGCAGGAATTTGCGGGACTTTCCCATCTCCTAAAACAAGAGTCTTAAATCATTCAGCACCAGCAGTGGGGCTGGGCAGAGTGAAGCATCCTGGGAAATAAGGTCCACTGAAGGAACTCCAGAGCAGCTCTACAGGGGGGCACTTTGCACCAGCATGAGGGTTAAAATGAGGGATTATGGGAGATTTAGTAATCCTCACTTCCTCTTGGATCAGAGTGTTTTGAGAAAACTTTTCTATGAATTCTGGGAAACACTTTGGAGCCAGTTTTTCTTTCTTAAAATACAGACATTCTGTCATTTCGCAGATATCCTGAATAGAAAAGGATTCTGGGGGATGTAGTCCTTGGTGGTTTACTGGACCTGAGATGTGGCTCATTTTTGGACAATTTTTAACAGCGGCCCCTGATTTTAAATCCTGATTCATAAAAAATATAAAAAATTCTTCTGTTTCTTCGATGAAAAGAGGCGAAAGCCTCCTTTCTTCGTTTAAAGTGATCATCCTCCAGGGGGGATCTGTCTGAGATTTTTTCAGGTCTAGACAGGGCCCCCTCCCCCCCTGCAGCTAGCAGAGGGGCAGAGCTTTGCTCAAGGACACTTCAGCAGGGCAGGAGGGCTGTGGAAGCCTCTGGTCAGGGGTCAGATACAGGACAGAAGATTCAGAGGTTCAGAGGAGAGAGGAGGTCGGTCAGAAGGTCTGGGCTGATTTCAGTTACTCCTGAAAAATCAGAAGGATCAGGATCAGGAAGTGGACTAATAACAGATTCTATAGATCCAAGTAGATCTGATTATTAAAGAAGCAGAAACACTTTTCTTTATTCATGATGTTTCTCTGTCTGAGCAATTCATTTAACTTCCACACCTCCACTTTCTCTAAAACATCTGGGCTGTGTGTGTGTGTTTGTGTATGTGTGTGTGTGTGTGTTTGTGTGTGCATGCGTGTGTGCGTGCGTGTATGTGTGTGTGTGTGTGGGTGTGTGTGTGTGTGTGTGTGTGTGTGTGTGTGTGTGTGTGTGTGTGTGTGTGTGTGTGTGTGTGTGTGTGTGTGTGTGTGTGTGTGTGTGTGTGTGTGTGTGTGTGTGTGTGTGTGTATCTGTGTGTGTGTGTGTGCATGCATGTGTGTGTTTACCAGCTATAACAGACTGTTCCTGCCGTTCATGTTAGGCCCTTTAGACCTCATCTGCTCCTGAACCGACCCCGACTGTAAGGAACACGCACACACACACACACACACACACACACAGACACAGACACAGACAGAGAACATGATAAATACAACTGAACATGTGACACACCAGTCACCTTCAGGAGCTATGTGATGTAAATACCACATAGTTTCACTCATTATGACTATTAGTTCCTGTTTTTGTTGAATATTAATGATTAATTAAGTCAAATTGTTTTCAGTGTCTTTGTGTTTAATAAATGAAGCGATCGTTTGTTGATTTCTATTAATCCATTGATTATCTATCTCAAAGGAGGAAGAGTCAGTGAGGAAGGATGTGCCTGACCTCTGACCTCTGACATAATCAGGGAGGAAAATCACTGTTTTATAATTTAATGTAATTTTTAAGACAAACAGGTCAGTTTTAGGTTCTTATTTTTATTTTTGTTTTAACTTTTCAAACATTTTGAAAGATTTGAATTCATTATTGTGTTCTAAGCTGTGTTCAGTCAGTGTGTGTGTGTGTGTGTGTGTGTGTGTGTGTGTGTGTGTGTGTGTGTGTGTGTGTGCGTGAGCTCAGTTGATTCAAACTCTAACAGATGAGATGTGAGGCAGTGAAGCTAAAATAGAAGCAGGAAGGATGCAGCACTGTGTGCCACTTCCTGTCACACACACACACACACATACACACACACACACACACACACACACACACACACACACACACACACACACACAGGGCTGCAGCTCGGATCAATAGAGGTCAGTGTTTAGACATGCAGCCGTACATCTGTTGCTTTACAGTTTGAGTGGCTGTGGTCTTCAGTGGTCTACAGAGGTCTACAGAGGTCTACAGAGGTCTACAGAGGTCTACAGAGGTCTACAGAGGTCTATGGAGGTCTACAGAGGTCTACAGAGGTCTACAGAGGTCTACAGTGGTCTAAGGTCTATGGAGGTCTACAGAGGTCTACAGAGGTCTTAGGTAAGTTCAGGTACTGACCCAGGGTCAGTCCAGTCCTTTGTTTTATATTGTTCCCCATCATTTCCTATTATCACTCCACTGTCAACTGTCACACATCCAACACACTACAGACAGACAGCTGAACAGATAGACAGGTAAACAGATAGCTAAAGAGACAGACAGGTAAACAGGTAAATAGATGGACAGGTAATCAGACAGACAGGTAAGAAGGTAAGTGAACAGGTGAAAAGAAAGGTGAGCAGACAGGTGTGGGGTCTTACCGGCTGCAGGCCATCGGCCATCTCTCCGGAGCCGATGTGTGTGAGGTGGATGAAGTTTGTCGGCTCTCCAATCATACTGCGATCAATCTTCCTCCTCTTCTTCTTCTACATACACACACACACACACACACACACACAGGTCAGCATGTAGGCAGGTAAAATATAAAGTAACCAGAATGACTCTGTCGAGCTCAGACTCCACCAAGGCCAAACATTGAGTTTATTTATCTATTGTCTTTCATACTTTGTCACCACACCTGTATGATTTTATTACCTGTTGTGTGAAATGATGATGTCAGCAGTTCTACAGCTGTATGAAATGCCTCACTGCTTTGTCGCAACCACTAGTGTTACTGTGTAGTTTTAATTGTTGCACGGTGCAGGAGAGAGAAACAGGTGCGGGTCTGGGATTTGGGATCTGGGGTCTGGAGTTTAAAGCTCTGTGTGTACTTGTGTCCCTGGCCGTGATGAGCCTCAGATCATCTGATGTGTCTCTACATGTCCACATACTCTGACACTCACATCATCCACTCAGCTTCTAACATGTTCGTGAATCAGAGTCAGTCAGAGACAAACATGTGACGCAACATTAAAGAAACAAAGAGAAACGAGAACAAACAGAAACCTGCAGCTCAGTGAGGAAAGTTAACCCCCTGACATCCAGTTTACATCATAATTTACATTTAAGTAGCTGTTAAAATCACCATACTCTGATGACACTATCATCAATATAACAGTAAATGGAAAATAAAAATAGAAAATGACAAATAAACTGTTATTATTTTAGTTGTCCTGATGATCTGGTCACATGATAACATTATGAAAATATAACAATAGTTTTGTTTTTGGGGGGTTTTTTTTGCCATTTTCTCTTTTAATTTTTCTATTTTCCATTGACATTTTAATTCTGGGTAAATTTATCCATGGGATAATGTGATCATGTTGAGAGCACGATGGAAATAAGTTTGAATAATTATTGTTTTCATTCTGCAACAAACATGTCAAATGTTTTCTTATAACTGTTGTTTTTTCCAGTTATTGTTATATAATAATCATGTAATAATCGTTATCGTTGTAAATTGTTACATTAATTTGTCAGTTCAACAATATTTTTAAAATTCTCCATACACCATCCACTATATTCACACTCACTTTTCTTAAATTAAATTCTTGCTCTTTTGTTTTATGGTAATCCTTCTTTTTTTCTCTTTCATATTTTTATTGAGATTTTTACTTTTATTGTGAAACACTTTACAACTTCTTGTCCGTTTAGTAATATTTAGTTTTGTGTATATTTTCATACAGTGTATACTGTAGTTGAAGAAGTACCAGTAGTAGTAAAACAAACATCATAGCAGTGACAGCTGTAGTAGAAATAGCAGTAGCAGGAGTAGTAGTGTTAGGAGTTGCAGCAAGTCAGTAGTAGTAGTTTTGGTAAAGGCAGCAGTAGTCGCAGAAGTATCATTAGCATTAGTAGTACCAGTACTACTATTAGCAGTAGTAGCAGTAGTACCAATAGTTCCTTTAGCATTAACATTTACTTGTAGCTGTAACAGTAGCAGTACTTTAAATTTAGATCTTTCAGAATAAAAGCCTCAGACAGTGAAGCACTGTGCAGATGAGGCGTTAAGGGTCTGACACGTCCAAAAAACATGAACTCGTGACTCAGCCGCAGAGAGGAACTGGTGAATTTATGCATCATCTTGTGTGTCATCATACAGATGGCTGTGCTGCATTCAGGGACACTGTGTGCTGTGTTCAGGGACACTCTGTCAAATACCCAGTGACCGGCTCATTAAAACCCACTCTGCTCCCAGAGTTAATCTTGATTAACAAGCTGATCCAGAACACATCTCAGCCACAATCACAACCACTTCATCTGGTTTAAGAGGATTATGTTCCTCTGGATTATTCAGAGCTCTTGTGTAACAGCAGCAGGACTGAAGAGGGTCGAGCACAGGACAAGAAATTCAGTGTTTGATGAGAAGAAGAGCAGAGAGATCTGATTTACTGAGACTGACACGTTGACTTCACACACTGTAATCTTCTCGTTAATCTGTCACCTCTGACTCTGGACCCGGTTCAGTTCCTCTCTCTAACTCACAGCTGTAACAGCATCGATCCACGTCAGGACGTGTGTCTTGTTGTTGTCAGAGTCTCATTTTCATCATTAATGTCCGTCAGCATCTTGTGAAACCAGAGCTGTTACACAATAATCTTTCTGTTGTGTGTCTGTAACAAAATCCTCTGCTTCACTAATGAAGGACTCCCTATATCTTTAATCATTAATTGATTATCTATTTCATTTTTTTACTAATCACATAAAGTCATCGTAACTTAACCTAATTAATGGTCAGTAACAGGACTTCATGGAGAAAGTCGATGGGAACAGCTGATCATTACACTGACGCAAAAGTCACCTGAAAATCCAAAGATCCTCATTTATACATAAATTAGTAAACTCAGTAAAATCACCCATAATGCACCAGCGACATTAATGAGCTACAGAACAAGAGGTCATCTCTTTTTAATCACTTTTAATCACTGAGCGACAGCAGAGCCCACATGGACAGAAAACTGCGGAGGCTTCAGGTGCACAATGAGATGTCAGTGAGATCTGGATCAGATGTCAGAACCAGCACACACCAGTACAACCACATAGGCCAGTTCCTCCTCCACATGTTTTTAATTAAGTAACATCTGGTGCCTCCACGTCATCAGACGTCAGACTGGTCCACTCACAGTTTAACATGTTGGCATCCTGCGGTCGAGCAGCTGTTGCTGAATCACAACTGCAGACCTGTTGTCACAGCAACGACGGGAAGGGGCAACAGTCAGAAAGTGGGTCAGAGGTCAAAGGTCATGAGCTCACGTTAGAGGCGCTGGATCAGATTGACAGCAATCCAAAAATTATTTTCATTATCAGTTAATCTGCTGATTATTTAATCAATTAATTGATTCATTCTTTGATTTTGAAAATATCTGTAAACAGTGAGAAATGTCTTATAGCTCCCCCCCAGGTGTTCCTGAGACAGACGACCTGAGAACATAAAACCTCATGCCTCAGCTGTCGTTACAAGGAGGCGTTAAAATGACTTAAATGATTTATTGAATTTATTGATCATTGATTACTCTTCTGTCAGTTGTGTCTCTTAACATTGATTTTACATCGGAGACGATAATTATGATAAAACACTTCTTCACTTCATATATGAATCCAAACAAACGTGGATGTAAGACCCCTCACCTGGGCACCAGGTGTCTCTGCTCTGCGTCACTCTGTATAGCTGACCTGATGATGACAGCTCTGCCTTCTCTCTGTGTTATCCTGATATTTCTTGTGACATTGGTTGACCTTTAATTTCTGTGTGTGAATAAATGTCTTTTCTTTGTCAGAGTCATTGAGGTTCTGTGTGTTTCTCTGTGGTCCAGCTGTCTGTTTTGTGCTGCTGGAGGATTCCTCCTCTATTTCCTGGTTTCTGTTGTTGTGGAGTTTTTTCTCATGTGAACTGACGTCCGAGTCTTACACTGTTCAGTCTGACACTTACAACTCCTCCAGAGTGTTTATCAAACTATCAAATCCACTGACTTCTCTCAGTCTGAAAACTCCCTGATATTCCAGGATTTCCAGGACAGAAGTGAACGTCCTGTTTGTCTGTGGCTCATGATGTAACACGACTGAGACTCAAACTGATCTGAGAGCAGTTTCATGATGTAACAGTCAGTCTGCTGCTGCTGCTGCTGCTGCTGCTCGTTTACTGAACAAACATGAGAGAATAAAATTTCTCCTGGCAACGACTGTGTTGAACTGATAAACAGCAGATCTGCATCACCACCACCCCCACCATCATCATCATCATCATCACCATCATCATCATCATCATCATCATCATCATCATCATCATCATCATCATCATCATCATCATCATCACATGTAATCAGTGAGTCATCAGCATTAAAGCAGAGCAACAAGCTGGCATTTCAAAATATAAGAGGCCAGGTAATGACAACACAGATCAAAGAGTGTGTGAGTGTGTGTACACCAGCATTTAAAGTTCAGTTTACAGATGAGGGCTTTTAGTTTAATGAGCTGCAGCTCTGCTCAGGTTTTTCAAACTGAAATATCATTTGCAGATATAAATTTTAACTGGACTGCTCCATTGTCTTTCTAAATAAAAGTGGACATAGTCAGGTGTTCTCACAGCTGAAGACAGACCTCCAACATGGACGACAGAGAAAGGGGGGGGGGGGGGGGTTACGTCACCAACATGGCATGTACACTTATATGTATGGAAAGTCTTTTTTTATTATTTTCCTCTGTCTGAACCTGCTGAGTTTCACAGTCGAGCTTCACAAAAGAAGCTCAGTTTAACTTCCCTGAGAGTGAAGTCACTGTTGGCATCAGTGTGTGTGTGTGTGTGTGTGTGTGTGTGTGTGTGTGTGTGTGTGTGTGTTTTTATAAAAAGTGTATTGTTGCAGCTCCACAATAGAACAAACAGAAAACTCTAAAAATACAGACAGAGGAAGGAGGGAGGGAGTCTGTGGGGAGAAACACAGCAGCAGAACTTCCCCTCATCAGTCTGAACACTCACCATGTCTACACAGACTGATTAATCTGTTGATTATTTTCTCCAATAATTGATTAACCATCAAGAAAACTAGTTCCCCAGAGCTTAGACTGACATAGGGATGGAGAATAGTATAAAATCTTCATCAATCTTCAATCATCTTTGAAACCACAATATTTCACCATTTTTGCTTTTATTTATTTTTTATTCAGTAATTACGTTGATTATTTTTATGTTGAATGACAAATCAAATAACAGTTTTGCTATTGCTACTTAGCTAATGTTAGAATTAACAGCTGTTTACTGACCATTCTTTCAGAGAGCTTCAGCCATTGTTGTGTTTACATAATAATACGTCCTGTGTGCAGCTACTTCTTCAGCACAGACTGGATGCTACAGTGACTCGGTATCAGAAAGTGATGAGACAGTCTGGAGCTAGCTGGTTAGCATGCTAACTTCTGGAGACAGCTCTTGGCAATTAAAGGAAGGTTGATGTGAGCTCACAACGTTTCTTCTAGACTGGTAAGTAAAAAACTGATAATGCTTATGTTAGCTATGTAGCAATAGCAAAAACTTACATAAAGCTCTTTTAATCAACTAATTGTTCCAGCACTAGTTAAGTGACAGGTATTCAAAGGGATCTCTTCCCACTGCTTTTGTTTGACATTAAAAGCATTGCATGAGCTAAAGACATGGAGGCTTTTCTTGTGAAACAACTAGAGGAAATGCATTGTGTTTTTCACAACGGTGAGCACCAACTGCCATTGTTAGTAACACTTATTTATCCTGTATAATCAGTAGCCTATACTTGTAATAACTGGTTTCTAACAGACTACAATGTTAGATAAGGACAGGTTTGTTGTTCATTATTATTATTATTATTATTTTCATCATTGATTAGTCTGAAGATTATTTCATTGATTAATACTTCAGTCTATAAAAGTCTGATAAATGATCTGAAACCTGAATATATCCTGTTCACTATCACACATGACAAAGATAAGCAGCACTGTTTTTCAATCATTCTCTGATGTAATCTTATATATTTTGTTTATTTAAGTTTTCAGTTTTTACTTGTGTGAATAAACTGTTTATGTATGTTTGTGTTTGAAAACTCTCTTGTCTCAAATTGCTCTTTCAGATGAACAAATTAAGTACTTTGAACTGAATTTATTTATTGTCTCTGTCAGAGTTTCTAAGACACAGATAAATGATGTTATCCTGCTGCATGGAGCATCATGGACACATTTTAATTTGAAGGACTTGTTATTTGGGAAATGAAGTGTAAAAAAAAAAAGGAACAGACTCTGCTGCCAGGAAAGGAAGAGGGTGTCAGGCTGCAGGAGATCAGAGTTCACAGTGAAACAGGAAATTCTGCCACCTGTTTACTCTTGAGTAACGTTAAAATGTGTGTGTGTACTTGTTTTACTCATGTTGCAGGGACATAAATCTGTATACAACCATTTTGGGGGCAATATGCAAGTACCCATAAGGTAAATCATTAAATTTTAGTGATGTCCTTTGAGTGATGGAAACATGAATGTGTGTGTGATAAGTGTTACTTGCAGAACTAATGAGAGAGAGAGAGAGAGAGAGAGAGAGAGAGACAGAGAGAGAGACAGAGAGAGAGAGAGAGAGAGAGAGAGAGAAAAGAAAAACATGAAGTGGTTCTCTTAAGTACCATAAAGTAGGTGTCTTCTTATGACCCCAGTAGTTGGTTAAATAATACTAGTCCCCTAAAAATGGTTGTGATGAAAAGTGATTTTCATCATGTGGTTGTCATTTGTCATCTGTTGACGGTGGTATCTTCCTTGTAAACCACTCAGAAAGTGGTGTCCCTTGTGGAGGTGGTTTATTCATACATCCCTAAAGTATGTCTAATCGAGTTTGTGTGTCCATAAATGTGTGTGTGTGTGTGTGTGTGTGTGTGTGTGTGTGTGTGTGTGCGTGTGCGCGCGCGTGCGCGTGCGCGTGCGTGTGTGTGTGTGTCTCACCGGTGGAGGTTTAGCCACCACGCAGCAGCCCATCTTGTGCCAGAAGTCACTCATGCCAACACTTCGCCTGTCCAGCTGCCAGCCGCTGCTCTCTGCTGCTGCCCTGCAGGCCGGGTGAGGAACTGCAGCCTGAGGGTAATCCTGGGGCATTCAGACGAAAAACTGCACCAACACTGTCACTCAGAGGACCAAAACCCTGAAATTACCCCACCTTAGACTGAACACTAGACTCCACAGAGTTCAGATCCAAAAAAATATTAAATAAAATCAGAATATCCACAAGTTCAGACACAAAAGGATCAAAAATGTAATTTACTGGATCCTCAGAAATAAAAATAGAAAAAAAAATGACAGAGTCCAAAATCTGTTGAAGTCCACTGATGGTTTTTCTGCAGCCAGATGAAAAACGACAAATCCAAAATTTTGTTGTAATATCCAAACTGAGCTTCAGGTCTGATCTGAGGGGACAGAGAAGCAACATTACAAACACATTTTTACATCTTTTTAACAAACATTCTTTAATCTAATTTTCACAATTTATTTCAAGTTGATATTTTTTTCTTATTTAATTCATCTTGATTTTGTAGGTTTTTTGTTCCATTTGTATAGTCTTTTCTAGTCTTTTCTGTTGCCTTTAAGATTCCCCTGATGCCCACATTTATCAGTATATTTAACTGTGCAGTTTGTTTCTTAGGATTAAGGAAGTGATTTATCGTCTTGAGAAACCTGATTGTGTAACTTCATCTCTTGTAATCAGGCAAAAGTGTTTTTGACTAATGAAATTTTCCCATAAATGAAAATTTTAATCTGTCAAAGACCAGGATAGAAACTCATTACAACTATCTTTACCGAAGAAAAATGATCAATCAACGACCATCAACAATTTAGAGAAAGAACAGAAAACAAAATAACAGTGAAACATGAGCTGTGATGTAATTATTGATTGATTCATGAATTATTTTGTCTTTAACACTTTAATTTATGCTTCCTGTTATTTCTTAATTTTTTAGAAAGTTTCCAGGAGAAACTATTAACTATTAACTATTAAATAGGGGAAATACAAAGTTCTTCAAAAGCACATGAACCAGCAATCTATAGTCATAGTGTTGGCTAGAATTTATGATCAGAAGTTGACCTCCTTGAAGAATTCCTGAAATCTTAATGACTAAATCAAATTCTACCCTTGATGCTATAAAACCAAATCCGATACGTCAAACAGCCTTTTGACAAAGTGTGGTCCCGAGAAAATGTCCTGCACAATGCAGAAGTGTCCAAAAATGTCATCAGTTCTTAACAATAACCCAAAATTTAACAAAAGATTATACTTTCAAAAAGTATTTTCACTTTCCAAAAAGTGTCTCTATTTCTTAAAATGAACTTCTTTTCCTTAACTGTTCTCACTCTCTAAACATGTTCTGAACTGTTTATATGTTCATTAAAACATCCTCACTTTCCAAAAAAAGTCCAACAGTCCCACAGATTTGAAAACATCCTGTCTTTCTGAAAATGTCCAAACTTTCCATAAATGGCTCATCTTCACATTTACCAGAAGTGCGCAAATGTTGGTCACTTTCTAAATTAAAATCATTTTTCACTTACCAAAAATATCATTTGCAAAATTTGTTCACTTTTAAAAAAGTGTTCCAAACTTCTAAAATTTCTGTTTACCAAAACTGAGGTCACTGTGTAAACATTCCCAAATATGTCCTCTCCTATTAAAACATCCTCACTTTCCACGAAAAAACTCCAACATGTTCTCAGGACGTAAAAAGTTATTAAACTCAAACTTGGTCCTCGCAAAGATAGAAGAACAGGAACAGCTTCACTCTCTGAGCAGCATGGGAACCAAAGCTCTGAGACGTCAACACAGTGAACACATTAAGTATGACTAAACACTGGGTGTGGTCCAAACATAGCACAGGAAGTACCACACACACACACACACACACACACACACACACACACTCTCTCTCTCTCTCTTTCAGTCTTGTAAAGCTGAAATTAAAGAGTGTTTCTGGATGTTTTGTTCTTGTTGTTTCCAGATGAAACAAACTGAACTGATCCTGAGGCGTCAGACTAAACAACAACTGTTGTATGTGTCTGACACACACACACACACACACACACACACACAGCTGACCTTTGATCCCTCAGGTGAGACATTTACAGAATGAAAACAAAACAGACTAATAACTGATCACTGTAATAAAACAGTAAGAAGGTCATTTACAGACTGACGGTAAACAGCTCCACTGTTTCCTCCTCATTGTTATTTTCTGTGTCGAGATGCAGTCTGCTCCTGCTTCTTCTCCTGTCATACGTGTTTAAAGAGTTACCAGTGTGTTTAAGCTCCGCCCTCTCTAAACATGCAAGTAGAGAGAAAAGTGAACAGTATGTATCATCATGGGCAACGTGAGATCATTGGACATTAAGATGGACAAGGCAGTGAGGAACCGGAGGAACTTCTGTGAGTGTAGTGTTGTGTGTTTCACAGAAACATGGCTACAGGATGATGCAACAGACTTCATCACTACCATCGACGGCTTTCAAACTGCCAAGTCAGAACGGATGGAATATTTCTGCCCAGAGCTTTCTTCATGATCTTCAGGGAAGACGCCATGGTTCTAAAATCAGGATTTCAGCAGTGATCCACCAGACTGTTTAATCAGAGTCCTCACAATACGAAACATTATTCAGACTTAAATACATCACTGACCTTTTACTTCTCACATTTTTGTTGTTTTTTAAGATACCACAGGTCCCTTTGTGTTTGTTTTGTACTTCTGTTTTCTGGTCTATTAGGAACCTGAGATGAGATTTGATAAAGGATCCTTCAGATATCTATACAGTACTAAAATATTACTGCACAACACCTCAGATGTAGAATATTTACACGTTTATGAGCTGTGATTGTTTCTTTCGGTTTTCCACTGTGTCTGTTTTTCTTCCCAAACCTCGAGGCCTGGGTGCCAGCAAAAGGTGTCCACGGTGTTTCCTAATGACATAAAGGGTTAAACTCAGAAACTCAGGTTTCTATTTTCAGTCTGTTCTGGTGGTGCAGGAGAAAACATCTGGAGTCTGTCCAACTCATTTCACCAGATGATAAAGAAAGAATGTGAGAGGCCAGATTCTCAGAAACATGTAGCTTCATGCTTTACATCCAACACTTATCAGCAGAGAGGAATTCAGCTCTGCAGCCCGAGGCTCCGATATCCCCTCATCTGTGTCTCAGCTGAGCGAGGACGGATCAACACTTCCTGTTTGAGCTGGACCGTCTGTTAGAGGCTCCGTGGTCTGAACTAAACAGGAGAATTATTTAATCTGCAATTTACATCTACAGGTTTGACCCTGAACGAACCGCAGAGGAAACTTTCATTTCTGGTTTGAGATAAACAAAAATAAAAACTGTTCATTAACCTATGTTTATACCACAAGTCTAAAGTGACACAGCTCCCGTTTTTGAATTCTTCTTAACTGAGTTCTGATCCTGCCGGGTCCACGTGGCTCAACTGTTCCTGGGCCAGATGTGGTTTTTGTCTTCTGTTTACATGGACACAAAGGCCACTGGAAGACTCTCAGGAAGACATCAGGGTCCAAAAATACCAGATAATAAAATCAAGAAAAACTGTTTATGAAATAGTCTAAATTAATTTATTAAAGGAACAAGGATGAGAGTGAGCACTTGATTACTGATGAACTTTAATATTATTGGCTAAAATGTCATCCCAACACAGCCTGTGATTGGACAGTTTTAAATGAAGTGAATATGAAGAGAAAAAACAAAACCCGTGAAACTAGGCAGAGATAAACAACTGAGGCTTCGTGAATTATTCTCAATAACTAATCTGTGACTAAAGGATCGTTTGGATCTGTCTGTCATCTAAAGTGACAGTAATAATTCCTCTTCAGTTATAAAAGATTGATGTGTAGTTTGTTGAGGTTGTGTGACGACATGGAAATCATAAAAAATCAATCCAGTCAGAGTTTTAAAAGTCAAACAGACAATGAAAAATAAACGTGGACATCTGGACATCAGCTTGTCTGGTGGACTGAACGAGTCCAGACCACCTGACCTGTCCTCTGGTTCCAAGCCTGGAGGTCTGGACTGACCGAGGAGCCACGAGACCTACGTATCTGAGGGGTCAACAGATGACTGACGGGGGTTAAACGCAGAGAAGATGCGTTTCTATTAGAGTAGCAGCATGATCAGTGTCTCCTCACCACTCTGTGTTTAACTGTCTGAGTAGGGAGACTACATTGAGGAGGAGGCGGTTTATCAATAACTAATAATCAGTTGTATTCACAGGAGCATGGTTTAGACATAGCCGCAACAGTAGCTTCAACTGCTCATATTATTCTTGATAGATTTAAATTTATTGACAAATGTATAAATAATTAAAATATGACAAACCAGTTGATGCGCAGTAGTTGCCGTAGTAACGTACGCAGATGCAGCAGCCTCTCATTGACTGAATGTTTCTGTGTTTTATTTGTCTTCAACTGGAAAAATCTTTTATTCCGAGAAACTCAGCTCAGACAACAGGATCCTCTGGAGGTCGGCAGAGCGAGCACAATGGAGCCTCCATCTTTGTTTCCACTGACGCTACACAGCAACACTCAGGAATGAAACCACAAGGAGACATCCTGGTCTGGACTCGTGGAGGTGGACTGTGGTGGACTGTGTATATATCCACAGTGAAAGGTGCAGGAACACTGTGGTTGTGTCTGAACACGGAGTCTGCAGAGGGAGGTCAGATCTGTTGTTACTGTAGCAGTGAAGTACAAGTTCTTCTGGATCTGTTTCCGGCCTGTGACTCTTCAGACTGGGTTCAGTTCCCTGTATGTACTGTGAGCATGTGTGGAAATGACAGTAAACTTGAATCTGAACCTGAATCTGTGGCCCCTGTGGGTCTGGGGCCTCAAGTGAGGTGACCAGCCCTGCCTGTAGGTGGCGCTGTCAGGACGATAGACTCTTGTTCACCCTACAGCAGTTTAAACTGTTTCCTGACTCTATTTAAACCTCATGACTGTGTGTGTGTGTGTGTGTGTGTGTGTGTGTGTGTGTGTGTGTGTGTGTGTGTAGAATATTTGCCCCATGATGTCAGTGTGAGGAGGACGAACAGTGAACCACACGCATACACACTCATTGACATGATGCATTCCCCAACCTCTTACCCAAACATTAACCCCCCCCCCCCAACCAACCCTAACCTAAACCTGAATCTGAACCAAAACCTGAACCTGAGTCTAACCTGAACCCTAAAAACCAGGTCTCAACCCTCAAACATCCCTTTGAAGGTTTGAGGACCAGACAAATGTCCTCACTCGGAAAGGTGTAAAACTCAAACTGGTCCTCATAAAGATAGACGTAGCCCCCCCTCTACTCTGTCTGCAGTTTGACCCCACCCTGCAGATCGCACGGTCCTGTACCATTTGTTTGTCAGTTTGAATTCAGGAACTGAAAGTGGGAGTGGTATTGCAGTCTGTTGATCAAAGGAAAAATTAAGTTTGAGGAAGTTTAGCAGTGACAGTTTGTCAAAGAGTAAGGAAGAAAAAACAAAAAAAACAGACTGAGCCTCACTGTGAAACCTGTGGGTCAGTTAGTCAGTGTTATTGTGAGTTTCCCTGTGAACACTGACAGTAAAAGTGATTCAACAAAACGTCATCACAAAATGAGGATCAACTGCACTGATGGTCTGAATCCGCCCCGAACATCACATTACATCACTTCTCTTCTGCTGATTAATGACCAGTACTTAGACTGATCCTTGTCATGGAAGGTACAGTGAGGTGTGTTGAGTGATCATAGTTTGATAAAATCATCTTAAAACAGTTCTCATTTATTGCCTTTATCCAGGTCTTTGAACCGTCAAGTTTGATCGTATGAATCCAGGCGTAAACAACAAACAGCTGCAGATACAGAGAGAAACAGAGAAAGTAGAACAGAGAAAGTAGAACAGAGAGTGAACGTGTTGGTGAGGCAGCAGTGTGATGATCATCATCCTCCTGATCTGTGATCAGCTGAGACTTCATTAGACCTGGGAACAACAACGCGACTGTTTCTGTCAGACAGTGACCGCAGCACTCAGACGGATGGATGGACGGTGGCCCCGGAGGTCTCAGACAGAGAGAGTCACATGATGACAGTTTAATCAGCTGAGAGAGGAAGAAGAGAAACCTTTATTTAAACACATCTGATGAACAAACTGACCTCTGTACAGTTGTTCAGATAAGAAACAGACTCAGACCTGGACTGAAGTCCTGTCCTCCTACAAACCAACCAGCAGCTGTAGACACAAGGTCACATGACTGACAGGTAACTCTGAATCCAGACCTCTCTGCACTCACACCTGCACACATCATGATGTCAAGACCTGCTCAGTAAAATACACTGAAATGAGTCTCAGAGTCAGATATTTCAGACCTGTTTTTATACACAAATTGAATATGTGAATGAAAACAGGAGGGAAACATGCGCACTGACTAACAGCAAAACTGTGTGTGAATAGTTACTGTGTGTCAGTAGTTACTGTGTAACTGTGTGAATAGTTACTGTGTGTCAGTAGTTACTGTGTAACTGTGTGAATAGTTACTGTGTGTCAGTAGTTACTGAGTTACTGTGTGAATAGTTACTGTGTGTCAGTAGTTACTGTGTAACTGTGTGAATAGTTACTGTGTGTCAGTAGTTACTGTGTTATTGTGTGAGTAGTTACTGTGTAACTGTGTGAATAGTTACTGTGTGTCAGTAGTTACTGAGTTATTGTGTGAGTAGTTACTGTGTAACTGTGTGAATAGTTACTGTGTGTCAGTAGTTACTGAGTTACTGTGTGTCAGTA